AACTTTCTTGACAATGTGTCCAACATAATGAATCACAAAATTCATAAAAAGAAATTGGGGATTCATATTAACTTTATAGAAATTAAAGAAAAATCAAAATTTTTAAATGAAAAAGTGCTGTTTTAACTCGAAAAACTTTTAATTGGAAATTTCATGCAAAAAATGACGTCAAATTGTGGCTTCAAATCTCAAGATCCACTTTGAGATGATAATGAAAAGAAATCGGATGAAGCACCGCGTCGAGGATTTGTTTGCCCGATATCTTTTTATCCATTTCACGGTTTCTCTTACACTTTTCCATAGTGATATTAATATCGTATTATTGCCGGTATTCCACTAAAAAAAAAAATATTCTAAAATTTAAAATTTGAAATTTCATGACGCTAGCGATTAAAATTTGAAATTTCCTTTGTTTGGAAAGAAAAAAAAAGTAATTCAAGGCTGTCAATATACGCCTACAAACGGAATTGGGCACAAAACAACCGAAAGAGACGATTAAAGGCGATAAGCGTCCAAAAAAGATAAGAATTTGGCTCGGTTTCATTCCAAACAGGCTATTTAAGAGCGGGCAAGGGAAAAAATTCGATCGGTATTTCATAATTTTGCAACGATAAGGTCACGAAATCCGGTTAGAGAGCGCGAGAGCTCAAAAAAGAGATCGATTCCGTGTAAAATCTTCACTCGAAGTGGTCGCTCTCATTCTGAGGCTTCCACCTAGAGCACGGTCCCCGGGCTCCAGCTACACCATCCACTACATTCTGAGCTCGTCAAGGCGCAACTAGATGGACCACGCGCAGAAGAACGGTGCGAAGGACCGTAAGACCATGCTTTCAACTCTTTCGACTACACGTTTGACTTCTAGTTCGCCAAAGGCGGTTGTTCGTTATAGCTTTGAAAGTTCTTGTTCACCGCCTAGTCGATTACATCAGACTAAAAACAACAAAATAAATGATTGATTGATTGATGATTGAGCTCTTTGGAAAAAAATTCGTATGTAAAGATGGAAAAAAATGCGCTTCAGACAGGCAATAGAGCTGGAAAAATTTTTTTGATTTCGAACTCTATTTTTGATCGTAAACATCTAAAAAGCTTCGAAAAAAATGATTAAAAAAATTTTTTTAAACAAAGCCACGACCTGAATTTTTATTTCGAAACTTCCGAGAAAACCTTCAAGTTGAATCGACTACATCATATTCTGAAGATCAAATGATGTCTTTAGGAAAAATGCGAAGAAGAGGAAAATATCGAAAAGTTTCGGGAAATGTTGGAAGCGCTCGATGGAGAACCAATTACTTTAGAAAGCGTACTAAAATAAATCTGAAGGCATCAACTTGAGATAAGAGTATTATCTTATACAGATTTCCACGTTTATTTCGATAATCTACTTAAAATGGCGTGATAATTGAGAAATCAGCTATAAAAAAAGATTTCCAATCAAATGAGCTCAAGTGAAAGATTATGGCTTACGGAAAGACGCAGAGAAGCAAAGAAAAAAGTGAATCTGCAAGTTTCAGCGAGAAAAATTGGTCAAAAAAATTCTTCTTTTTTTCCTACATTCAAAGCCCTTCAAAAGGAACTTTTTTTAATTTTTTTCCAATATCCTATCAATCCCATTTTGAGAACAAATACATTGAAAATATTTCGATATTGAAGCAATTTTTAAAAAAAGAAATTGTCCAGAATGTGGAAAAAAATGTTTCAGTTTAGCTTCAAATTTTTAGTGTTTTTCCTACAAATTCCAGCCTCTCTAAGGTCTCAAGTTCCAAGAACCAAATGCGTTATAAATTATTCGGATTAGCGGGTTTTTCTCAGGAAAGAGAGTGGAAAAAAATTCGGGTCGGAAATAGACCGAACACGTGACCTTCTGGTTCTTTTTTTGGCGCAGTGCCAATGTGGATGACGTCATTTGTTCGAGAGTTCAGGTTGAAAAAAATCGAGATCAAGATTCTCTTAATATTCAAACTTAGAACGAGATTGAAAAAGTGTTTTTTTGTTTTAAGTTTTTTTCGCTATTATTCCTGAACTGTGTAGATTTAAAAATTACGAAGAGCTAGTAAAATATTTAAAATATGAGTACAAAGTTGAAAAGAAGAAATTAGCCAAGAAAAAGCGTAAAAAATTTGAAAAATCTTCATTCTTTCACTGAAAAAAACAAGAAACTGCGCACCATCGCAGAGCCGTCTATTGGAGTGTCGTTTGAAGCATTAAAAACTAATGAAGAGCTCTTTTTCAATCTCAAACCGGTTGTAATTACTGATAAAAGTGATAATTGGTGATAATGAAAAGATAAACGGGGGATGATTACTGATAAATGAAATGTCTGTTCTTCACGGGAAAATTTGGTGAAAATCGGTTATAATTACTGATAAAAAGTGATAATTGGTGATAATGAAAAAGATAAACGGGGGATGATTACTGATAAATCATCGATAACCATCCCAGATCTGATCCTGAATTGCGCTTAATCTCCAAAAATTACCGATGAAATGCCCATTGTTTATAAAATATAAAAGTTTTTTTCTGAAATGTCTGTTTTTTTCACGGGAAAATTTGGTGAAAAATCGGTTATAATTACTGATAAAAAGTGATAATTGGTGATAATGAAAAAGATAAACGGGGGATGATTACTGATAAATCATCGATAACCATCCCAGATCTGATCCTGAATTGCGCTTAATCTCCAAAAATTACCGATTAAATGCCCATTGTTTATAAAATATAAAGTTTTTTTCTCTGAAATGTCTGTTTTTCACGGGAAAATTTGGTGAAAATCGGTTATAATTACTGATAAAAGTGATAATTGGTGATAATGAAAAGATAAACGGGGATGATTACTGATAAATCATCGATAACCATCCCAGATCTGATCCTGAATTGCGCTTAATCTCCAAAATTACCGATGAAATGCCCATTGTTTATAAAATATAAAATTTTTTTTTTCTGAAATGTCTGTTTTTCACGGGAAAATTTGGTGAAAATCGGTTATAATTACTGATAAAAAGTGATAATTGGTGATAATGAAAAAGATAAACGGGGGATGATTACTGATAAATCATCGATAACCATCCCAGATCTGATCCTGAATTGCGCTTAATCTCCAAAATTACCGATGAAATGCCCATTGTTTATAAAATATAAAGTTTTTTTCTGAAATGTCTGTTTTTTTCACGGGAAAATTTGGTGAAAATCGGTTATAATTACTGATAAAAAGTGATAATTGGTGATAATGAAAAAGATAAACGGGGGATGATTACTGATAAATCATCGATAACCATCCCAGATCTGATCCTGAATTGCGCTTAATCTCCAAAATTACCGATGAAATGCCCATTGTTTATAAAATATAAAGTTTTTTCTCTGAAATGTCTGTTTTTCACGGGAAAAATTTGGTGAAAAATCGGTTATAATTACTGATAAAAAGTGATAATTGGTGATAATGAAAAGATAAACGGGGGGATGATTACTGATAAATCATCGATAACCATCCCAGATCTGATCCTGAATTGCGCTTAATCTCCAAAATTACCGATGAAATGCCCATTGTTTATAAAATATAAAGTTTTTTTTTTCTGAAATGTCTGTTTTTCACGGGAAAATTTGGTGAAAATCGGTTATAATTACTGATAAAAGTGATAATTGGTGATAATGAAAAGATAAACGGGGGGATGATTACTGATAAATCATCGATAACCATCCCAGATCTGATCCTGAATTGCGCTTAATCTCCAAAATTACCGATGAAATGCCCATTGTTTATAAAATATAAAGTTTTTTTTTTCTGAAATGTCTGTTTTTCACGGGAAAATTTGGTGAAAATCGGTTATAATTACTGATAAAAGTGATAATTGGTGATAATGAAAAGATAAACGGGGGATGATTACTGATTAAAGTGATATTTACTGATAAATATTGATAACTAGTGATAATTTGTGATAACCAGTGATAATTTGTGATAACCAGTGATAATTAGTGATAATCAGTGATGTGAAGAAGCTCTGGGGAACGCATGCTTCCAACGCATGGAAAATCACGAAAAAGTGAAAAAGATGGAGTTTTTTTCGAATAGGTTCAAAAACGTTTTTCATGTTTATACGCCTCAAAACCTGGAATAAAAAGGAAAAAAACTGCAAAAAAAGTAATAAAAAAACTGCAAAAAAAGTAATAAAAAAACTGCAAAAAAAGTAATAAAAAAACTGCAAAAAAAGTAATAAAAAAACTGCAAAAAAAAGTAATAAAAACTGCAAAAAGTTTGCATGGGAACCGAACCTATGACCTCGTGATCCCCAGTCCGCCGCCTTCCCACTGCTCCTCGCTGCCGTTTTTTTCGACAGCCGCTTTTACCACACCGCGCTCTTATCACGCGCCGGAATTAGAGGATGTGTAAGATTGCGGGATAAGACGACAAGTTGTTGCGACGTTCTGAGAAGATGGTTGTGGCAGGGGGACCTCCATGGTATCGTAGCGGGGGTACGTGGGGGGAACCACACTACTGGCATAGACCATTCTAGAATCTTTTAGAATCCTAGCTTCATAGTTATTCTTCAACAAACACCTTCCAAGGATTGTCCGAGCTCAAGGAATATTCACGCAGTTGATTTTCTGAAAACAGCCTCAACTTGTAAAGTATCGATTTTCACTCCTAATTTCGTATTATCAGTAGTTACGGTATGCAAAAAAAATTCAAATTTTCACGAGTTAGAGGCCAGGAAAAAACAAAGGAGTATTTTCTTATTATTATAGAAAGGACATAAATTGAGGACCTAGTTCATTTCGAAAGAAGTACTTTAAGTTATGAAATACCGATTTTCAAGTCCCACAGTGCAACTTTTTCTAGAGTGAAAGGCCAGAAATCGAGAAAAGATCATTTTCTGATTATTGATCAGTCATTTTCAAGTCCAAGACCGATTTTCAAGTTCCGTATTATCATCAGTTACCATATACAAAAAAAATCAAAATTTTTCAAAATTTTTTTTTTCACGAGTAAGAGGCCAGGAAGGGCCTCAATGAGCACTGCGTCGACTCGGCTGCACCGTTTTTTCCTGCTCCTCCGTCGATCGGCAAATCGATCTGTGAAAAAAAATCATTAGTATTTTCGAAATGGCGACAGCCGGCGTCGCTTTTTGAATCTGCCTTTTTTGGATCGGAAAATTTGAAACGACACCCGCGGTTTTTTTTTGAAGATTTATTTTTTCAAAGCATAGGAGCAGAAAAAGTAAGCTTCTCAGTGGGGTTGGATGAACTAACTAGGGAACTACTCGGACTCGGGTACGCATATCGAGTTGAAACTTTCGTGGTTTATAGACCTAAGTGAGAATACTTGAAAACAAGAGAGAATATCTGCTAAACCCGATAGAGAACTGAGAAAAAATCAGTAGAAAATGTGAAAATTAGGCCTGAAAATTTTCAGAATACTGTTTTTTACCTTATTTTCTAGTTTAATACAATCGCCTTGAAGGATCCGGCTATGATAAACTCTAAAAAACTTTTTTCCCGCCAAAAGAAGGAGGAAAGAGAAGATTTGATAAATTTCAAGCCTATACTGTTCATTTTCAAAAGGATTTTTCTCCGAAACCTATGGGGTTTAGCAGATAATTTCTCTTGTTTCTAAGTACTCTTACCCGGGTCTAATAGCCACAAAAGTTTCAACTCGAAACGCGTACCCGAGTCCGAGTAGTTCCCTAGTAAGAAGCCTAGCCTAGCCTATCTAGTGAGCAGTACCTAAGATAATTACAAAAAAAAAAGCCTGGCCTAACCTATCTTTACGGCGTTCGGTCTCTTCAATTGTGCCCACTGACCTTCCCTCGTTGTCGACCGAGTCACGGTTGGTGTCCGTTTGATCGTCAATATCATCCTGCACTGAGGTTTCCTGGAAAAAAAACTTAATTACTTCAACTTTTCATCCTAGAACAGTAGGTAATGGTCCTTTTTCCTCGCCTTGAAAAACTATAGATTTCCTAAGTTTTCTGCTGAAATTCACGCCCTTCCTATTTTAGTCCATTCATCGCGACTTGAAAATTTTCGCGTGTCTGCGTCTCTCTGTTCCCTCGCCGGTTAGGTCAGAGAAAAAGGAAAATAGCATTGAGAGGCCAGGAGGACGCAGAGAAAAATAGCAGTTTCAAGTTGTGAAAAACGGACTAAATTAATCAGTTTTTACATCAAAAAATTTCCCGAAAGTCAGGGATTTTTCTGTGATTTTTGAATTGGCGCCAAAATGTCTTTGTTTTTTGAATTCAATCTAGGGCTTTACCTACATGGGAGTTGAATAATTGAATTTTCTAGATACTGTAGATACCGTAGAGCTTGTTACGGTCGGCTTTTGGCGCGAAAAAAAAATTTGAAATCCAAAAAAGTCAGACTTTTTTCTGGGACACGGTGCTCTGAATTTTTCAAAAAATTTACAGTAACCAGTAACAAAAATTCGTGTGGATTACTGTATTCCAATTCCGTCCTTTTTTCTCCAAAATAGTCAAGGCCGACATGATTCTGATTTCTGATTCACAGCTGGCTTGAGCCATCAAAAAAGGTCCCGAAACGATAACAGAAGAGATAGTGCCTGGTTGGGGGAGAGCGCAGACACGCCACGCCCCCTCAGTGTCCCAAGTTAGCCGTGAATCGGGTATACTAACCGTCCGATGTCTCGTATAACTCCTGCTTTTCCTAGTCCTCTTAGTTTCTCTAGAGAACCGGGATGTGCTTCGTGTTCTCTCCGGTTCGCTCGAGTCGGACTGAAATTTCAAAGATCATTTAATTTCGGAAAAGTTCCTGAAAATTGGTCAGACACCATCTTCAGTGTAGCAGGTAAAGATCCGGAAGGGGTCTGAACCTGCACAAATTCCCACTTTTCGAGAACGGACCTCTTTTATTATCCTACCTAGGAATTGACAAGGCTATTTTTTCAATTTCTCCCGAAAATTAGGCGCCTGTGCAGGTCGAGGCTTCTAGCACCTTTATCTAGTACACCTGGCCAATTTTCAGAGAAATTTCCAAAATAAAATGACCTTCTCAATCTCAACCATTCTCAAAAACTAGAAATTTTTTCGCAGGCTCAGACCATCTTTTTATTTTTTATTTTTTGTTGGAGACTCCCAGTTCTTCATACTCCCCTGATCGAGGGCTAGACAGTGTGAGAAACGCGGAGGCACCCAGACAGTCAGATAAAATCAAAATGTCTGGGCGCCTCCACTTTTTCCACGCTCTCCGACCCTTCATAAATTCTTTGAAAAACGAACGCGTATCGCGACTTGACGATTGACACCGGGGATCTTGTTCAGGGTGAACGATTTAGCCTTGGGTGGCGGGTACCTCTTCATGAGTCTCCACACCTGGAAAAGGTATATTTGCACTTTTGAAAAAGCAAAAAAAATGAAAACCTTCTGACAAACGTCTTTCATGTTCGTCCGCTTATTCGATTCGACGACCCTGAAATTATAAAAATACCATCTTATGGATTTTGGTAGTGAGAGACCCTCAAGTACCACTTACTCTCAATTTTTCATTCAACATGAATTCAGTCTTCTCGGACCTTGGTAACGCGAATCGGACGTGTCGGGGCATTTATAGTGACCACTTTAGTGGCCTCAGAACTCTTAAGTGATCCCTAAAAACGTCCAGAGCGGAACAGACGTGCTCCGTACATGTCGGGGCATTTCTAGTGATCACTTTAGTAGCCTCAGATCTCTTAAGTGATCCCTAGAATCGCCCAGAAACGTCCGTTTCGCGTTACCAATGTCCGAGTTCGTCCTCATTAGAGGTCAAACTACAGTTTTCGTCTTCTTTTCCGAAAATTTTTTGTGACTTTTTCTAACTAGTGAAATTTAGTTAAGGGCCTAAAACACTAAAGGAGCTACTTGAACACTTATTTTGAATGGTTTTTAAGGTCAAAAGTATTTTTGGCGTCTTTCAGGCACTGTTATTCGATAGAACTTTTGCTGAAACATGGCCGAAAAGAAAATTTAGGGCCTCCTGATTCTGAAAAAAAAAGCAGTGAAGCTACGAAATTCAAACTTTGAGCAGCTCATTCAGTGTTTTAGGCTCTTCAAACTTCTAAAAACTCTCATTTGTGTTCTTTGCGAATATCAAAGGCTCGGAAAAAAAAAAAATCTATTGCGTGAAATTTTTTTCGGGACTTAGGAATCCTTAAGTGAATTTCAACCAGGGGCTTGAAAAAGTTCACTTGTTCGACTTGAAAACATGCAAAAAACCACTAACATCCTTCAAAAATTGGCAAGACTCTTTGGTGAGCCAGGTCATTTTTGATAAATCTTTCTTCGCTATTCTTCAAAACGATCCCTTGAAAATTCATTTTAGACCCAAAAAAAAAATACAAAACGCTTTTTCATCCAAAAATGGCAAAACCCCTCTGCGGGCCAGGTCATGTTAGGCTCACCGCGCCGGGGGCCACCGCAGCGGCCACACCGACTCAGAAACGGCGGATCCGGACCTAGGCCTCACAGGTTGAAGGCTTTTTTTTCATTGTGGGGTTTTGGGGGGCAAGCCCCCCGCCGACCGCCGCCGACTCTCGCGTATATATACCCCCTGCAAAAGTTGCGCCCGACTCGACGCTGGACGTCTCGTCGTCTGGCCTCTCCGCAGAGTTTCTGTGCTCTCGTTCGAGTCTCCGAACAATGTTATTGAGGGCGAGGTGAAAAGAACCAGCTTTCTGATTGAAACTTTGCTGAAGTGTACTTTTGGACCTCCTGATTCCGGAGCATGTGAAAGTTTTTTTGGAACTCCAATGTGATTTCGTAAGATCATGGAAAATCAATATTTGAGGGGTTTTTGAAGCGAATGCAAGACATTTCTTCTAGAATCAGGAGGCCCGAAACGATCTCTCTGCAAAGTTTCATTAATATTCAGTCAGAGGCTTAAAAATCTCCATTTTCGGCAAAAAAAAAAAATGTCGGCCTAGGTTTAATCATAAATCAGGGGCTGAAAAAAGGCCCATTTTCAGCCGCTTCGTCAAAAAAGGCCTCTTTGAAGCGTCATCTAAACTTGAAAATGCGCCTTTTTGACTTTATTGGGATCAGGATGATTTAGAGTACCTCTCAGTCAAGTTAAGTCGAAGAAAAAGATCTTCGGCTCTTCTAAGGCTCACTAAACCCACTAAAAAGCAAAATGAACTTTTTTCAACCTCGGGCAAAGTTGGAATGGTGGGTAGAAGAGAGGCTCGAAAAATGTTGCAAAAAGAAGCAAAGTGAATTCCTTCATCGAGCCTTCCACTTTTTATGAGGTCGAGAAACGGTGGAATAAGGAAGAGCCAGCAAAAATGGTCCATGAGAGCCGATAAGATGGCGCAAAAAGGCAGCAAAAAAGGGGCCTTTTTCACCCCAAAAGGATCATTTCTTCTCAAAGTGGTTGTTCGAGCATAACTTTTCTAAAAAAAGGCTCAAATCACTTGAAATTTTGCACAGACTTCAAACAACTATGCATTAACTTAATTCCAGAGATAAAACTGGTTTGCTCGAGTCAGACAAGTTTTGTGAGCAAAAAACCGAAAATCGAAAAAATCGAAATTTTTCTCTTGAGATTCGAAAAGAGAAACGTCAATTTTCAATCAGAAACCTTTTTTTCTTGTAAAACAAGTCTTCGGCTTTCCAAAAAACCTAACCAGCCCCTACCAACCCGATAGTAACAGCGTAGTGACTTTTTCTTCGAAAGGCCCTTGCATTTTGACGCCTCGTCATTCTAATGGACTATACGAGGTCAATTTTGTTTGAGAACACCCCATTTCCTGTTGAAAAACTTCAAAACACACTCAAGAGTGATTTTACACTGTTTTCCTCAGCTTTATCACTCTATCCTCTCTCCAGAACTCACTAACTTTACTAGGTTTTTGAAACTTCTCACCATTGGTCCGGACGAATAAAACAAACCAGAGCTTGTCGACGATATCCTTGACCTCCGACGGCGTCCTCTCTGGCATCGGCGGCATGTTCCCCTTCCGGATGTTGGTTGCCACTTTTTTCGCTGGATCGTTCGGCCAAGGCTTTATCCCCTTCATTGAAAGATCTAGAATCTCACTCAATTATCGATTGAAACTCGATCGATATCACCTCGTAGATCAGAACCCCGAAACGCCCACGAGTCGCTGCTCCTGGAGAACTTCATCGGCCTTCTCAGGGACTCCGGCGCCATCCATCTAGTTTCAGCGTGATTTTTTAATCAATCTCTTTTCCAACGAACCTGACGGGAATCTGTGGTGAGGGGTCGTCCATGCCGTCCTCGTCCTTCTTTTTCTAAGAGTTTGGAGAGCCCAAAATCGGCAATCTTCAAGTGCCCTGTAATGTTTGGGAATCAAAGATTTGGGCTGGAAGTTTTTTATGTTTTTTGAGAGGTCTGGGATTTTCTCGGGATAGTTTAAAGGTAAAAAAGGGTTGATTTGACAAACTCAAAGTGACTTTTCTGGAAAAAATTAAGAATTTCCGGAAAAGAGAATTGAAGGGTTGCCTGGAGGGGTTCGAAAAGTGTTTTTAATTTAAAGGTGAAACCAAGTTCTAGCTTGAAAATGCCTCAAAAATCAAAAATCGGCTAGAAGATTTAGAAGGATACAGCTCAAAAAGTACGGAAACAGTGGGAATATAGAAGTCGATCCTCCATTTTCAAAAGATCTGAAATTTTTAACTGGGAAAACAAGAGGTAGGCTGGAAACCGAATTTTAAAAATAACCTAGAAAATTGGCTAAAGATCAGAAATTTCAAACTGGGAAAATTTTTAGTGCCCACTATGGAGGCTCGCCAAGGACCACTTGGAGAGAAAACTAAAGTGGTCACTAATTCCCGTTTTAGTGACTACTTCAGTAGTTTTTCATCCAGTATTCCTTTCAGTAACTCTGATAATTTCAAAACAAACAGATTGGACCAGTTATTTTGATCCATTGACCCCTAGAGTGGCCACTAAAATTTTTAGTGGTCTGGTTATAGCACTTAGACCTCTAGAGTGGCCACTAAGTTTTAACCCCTACTAATTCGACTACTATAGTGGCCACTAAAACGTCAAAACCCTAAAGGGTCGACTAAAAAATTTTCCCAGAATAACTGATGAAGATTCGAAACTCTTTACTTTAATAAGATGATCAAAAGTTGAACCTTGAGCCGAGATGAGACAGTTTCGCGCCGCCAAATCGCGATGAACGCATTGCCTGGAGTGGAGATAACGCATGCCTCTGGCCGCCTGCAATCATGAGCTAATATGAGCAATAAGAAGATTTTCATGAGTAAACTAAATATTATTTGGAACAAAGTTGTTTTTTTCGCATATTTCGACTGTTTGGCTGCAATTTTCGAAAGATACGCGCAAGGAGTTTCTGGTCGGACGCACTGCCCTAGAAATCAGAAAATCGCTTCAAGGACGCCTTGATCCATTGATCCATGTAAAACGAAACGAACCTCCATTATATATACCATGCGTTCCCCAGTCTCAATCCGGTCTCTCTGATCGACAAGGTGCCTCTCGAGATTCCCGCCGGGGCAGAACTCCATAACAATCAGTATGGGTGGGTGGTCCATTGCTACACCGTGCATCTGAACGAAAATTCATCAAAAAGCCTGAAAAAAAGAAGATTTTTATCAATAGAGCGCGAAAGACCACCTTTTGATGGCTTTTTTCTGTCATCATTTTCTTCAAAAATTCAAACTCAAAAATTGGGTTTTTGAAACGGAATCTCTTCTCCAGTCGTCCAGCTTTCAATAACAAGACTTCCACATTCAGAAAAAAAAAGGACGTTCTCATTTTAAAATCTTCCTACAGCACTTTTTTGAGAATTGATAGCTTCTTTGTTGTGAAGAACATTCTAATTTTTGACGCAAAAATTTGAAAATAACAAAAAAAAAGTGTTTTTATCAATAGAGCGCAAAAGACCACCTTTTTATGGTTTTTTTGGGATTTTAAGTTTTTGAGGCTTCTTTGAAAATCTGACTCAAAAATTAGTGTTTTGAGATTAAATCTTTCCCAGTCGTCTAGCTTTGCAATAACTTTAAAATTTTCCAAAAATTTCGATGGATTTTTTTAAAATTTCGCTTTGGTAACGTTTTTATGGTTTTTTCAATTTTTAGCGAAAAATGCGATTTTTTAGCTCAAAAACTGGATTTCGAGTCTCCTTGTACTATTTTTTGAAAGCGCTTTTCGAAAAATTAGTAGGAAAGTTCGCCAGAGCGCATTTTCCAGGCTTTTTAGGCCTTTTTTCAGATAAAGAATTTCAAGCTCTAAACTAAGACTTTCAAAATTTAAATACAAACGGTCGCATTTTAAAAGCTTCTTAAGGCACTTTTTCAAAAATCTATGACTTCTGTTTGGCCCGAAATTTCTTCTGATTCTTGACCCGAAAATATAGAAAAAACCTTATAAAACCATTTCCCCAGTCAAATGTTCGCATTTTAAAAACAGCACCAACCAAGATGACATAGTGATGCACAAAGTAGCTCATCGTTTTCGCCTCCTGTAACATCATTTCACGAGCTTCTCGTTGCGCCTCCGGCGACTTTCCCAGCTTGACCCTGATGGCAGATCTGAAAAAAAGAAAACCAATCAAATGACCGCTTAAGTGGCCACTCTAAACTTTCACGGCCACGGTGATCGACTCGTTGTGATCACGTGCGTACGTTCCTTTGTAAACGTCGCAAAAGTTTCCCGTCCCGAGTTTGTCCTGTGATGAGGGAGAATGAGCAATAGTAGTGTTTGAATTTAGCACAGTAACCGTATCATGAGCAATAAACGATTTTTGGTGCAAATATTTTCGTTTTTAACTTTGATGGGATAACTTTAAGGGTATGTTTGCGATTATTTTGTTTTTGGTGGAAAATGAGCAATTATGTCTATAACATGAGCAATGCGAATTCTAGCACGATAAAAGAAAAAAATCTTTAACATGAGCAATGATGAGCAAAACCTTTGTTTAAAACAAAATTTTTCTGCATTTTTTTGAAGATCAACTTTTGTAGAAAATATCTACAGCGACAAGTTTTCTTTGAAATTTGTATAATATGAGCAACGGTGAGCAATTTATAAGCAAATAGTGACATTTCGAAGAAATTTGAGCAAAAAAATGAAAAAATTACCGCAAAAAAATATCAGAAAATCGAGCAATTTTTTTGATATCAATTCGTTTTTTTAATACAAGAAGCCCATTTTTAGCCGAATATCTTTTAAATAAAAGTTTTTGTTGGATAACATTAGCAATAAGCTTGCAATAAGAGCAAAACAGTGCAACACGTACCTTTTCGGGGTTATACGTAACTTTCTCGTGCTTTATGAGCCAATCGGGTCGCGCCACGGGTCGCTTCAGAATTAGATGGCTCGATATTCGGTGTCCCTGAGGAAACTTGTCCGCATTATTTCTCCTCTATTTCCTTCATTTCCATTACTCTGTAGTATTCGATGAGCTGTGGTATAGTGTCGAACCTCACGATTTTCGCTTTTTTTAGAATTCCCAAGTGCCACTTCCCGTCAGAAAAGCTTTAAAAAAAACGTAATTCTTTGTAAAAAAAAAATGGATTATTAAAATTTTGTGGCCGCAGTTGGAATGGCTAGACGCGTCGCGACACTGCTTGCGCCCGACCATGAAACGGTTTTTCGCAAAATAATGTAGAAGATCATTAATAGAGACCGCTTAATGTCTCAAAGGAAAATGGAGTTTTTAATTGCGCCCGACCCAGAACGGGTTCCGCCAATCTCACTTGCGAAACCTGCAAGAGCTTGTGAAACTTGCGACTTACGAGCTCGGCAAATTTTATCATAAATAATTTTTTTTAAACCATATTTTTTAAAATAACAAGAGCGCAACGTTTTGAGAGAGCCCAGAAAAAGCAGAAAAGTTTTTGAACAGAAAGTTTTAAAAAAAAGGAACGATTTCTCAAAACTTCCCGTTTCTTCTGACACATTTTATCCAAAAAGTAGTACCAAAAATATTCGTACGGCTTCAAATCATCCCAATAAACCGCAACGCGACCGCGATGCCTTGAGCCATTCCAAATGCGTCATGACAGTCGAAAAAAACACCGTCAAACTCTAATCGATCATAGGAAAAGATAACAAACACAATGGTTAGGTTAATGATGCCTTTGTCGTTGCTCTTCACTGAAAGAACTAATTCGACATTATTGGTGCGGGCGTCGGTGGCGCGGACGAGAAAGTCTCCAGGTTCTGGCAGCAGGGGCCTTGAAAAGTAGTATTAGAATGAGGTTTGAGGGTGCGGTGGTTCCTTAGGAGAGGTCTTGAAACGAATTATTGAGATGAGAGGGGAATATACTGTGAATATTTCGGTTATAGCTACGGTAGACAAGAAAAAAGAAAAAAGTTAGAACTTTAGTTAGGGACCGCAAAGCCACGCCCCTTTTCGCGATAGAAAAAGTGGCTTTTTTTTGGTTTTCAACTTTCCTTTTGCTGTAGTTGCAAAATATGTGGAACTGGCTAATAAAATTTGGCAGACATGTACAGAAAAGCTTCCTCTTTCGTTTAAAAAATATTTCACGCTTTTTTGATGCGTTCGCGCGGAATGTCGTACAAAAACGTGAATGGAACTAAAAAATTTTGTCGTTTTTTGCTTTTTCATGTGTATTCAGGTCGAACGCACTCTTTCTTTTTTTATATAATGATTTTTGATTCAAGTAACGGTAATTTTAAAACAATAAAATAAAAAAATTCGTCTTTGCCAAAAAAATTTTTAGGGAGTGCCGAAAGTCATAATTCAAAATATCGTTAATAAGCGAATATAATCGAGTTTTTGTTTTTTCAGAACTTAGACCATGGGCTTATTTAAATTTTTCTCCACAGAATATGTGCTTGAAAAAGTTGTTTGATACGCAAAAATGCTCTTGAAAATAGAGAATAAAATTAGCGGCGTTTATCACACAAAAAGCGGTCGAACGCAGGTTTTTCAAACGATTATATACATTTATTAGTAACAAATCTTTCAATTAAAAAAATAAAATAAAAAATTCGTCTTTGCCGAAAATATACGGGGCCGTTTTAATGCAGCGATCGTTAAACGAGGCAAAAAAACACTAAAAAAAACAGCTTTTTTTCGAAGTGAATTTCCACGGAAAGTTTGAGTAAAGATTTGCGAACATATTCTGATAAAAAAATAGCTTAATTACTACAAGTTTTTGAAATAGGCAATCTGTGCTATCCAAACGGCTCAAGGGTATGGCGGATGGAAACTCCCCTCGCTAGACCTAACAGCTTGGCGCAGCGCGTGCGCTGCGATTTTTCATTTTGAGGTCGCGAGTTCGATGCCCGCAAGCGCCAGTTTTTTGTTTTCTGGAAAATACCGACTTTTTCGGCAAACTAGCTGATTAGCATCATTTTAGCACTCTATTATGATTTGTTACATCATAATAGACCAGTATCAAAAACTTGTTCTAGAAAAATCGAGAAAAAAATGTCAAAAAAATGGATAATACCAAAATTTCAGTTCTAAAAATGGTGCGCGGCGCGCCACATTTTTTCGTCATAACTTTTTCATCCTCAATCTTTTTCAAAAAACTAAACGGTTCTGAGTTTTGAATCGAAACAGCTATCAAACCATACAAAGCTCATTGCTGAAAAAATTTTTTTGAAAATTCGTCTGCGGTCCCTAACTTTAGTTCCGAAAGGAGGGCTTGAAGAGGTTTTGTGGGAATTTAGTTAGACAAGGTCTTGAAACGAAATATAAGGGTGAGGTTTGAGGTACGGTAGAATTTTGAATTTTAATTTGAAAAAGGTACTTTTGTAGAAGATTAAGAGTGATTTGAGGCGCGGAAAAACCTTGAATAAGTTAGGAGAGGTCTTGAAACGAATTACTAAGATGAGAGTTGAGATAAGGTGAATATTTTGGTCATAATTACGGTAGAAATAAGTAGAAAAGTTAGAATTTTAGTTCGGGAAAAATTTTTTAAATGGTTGGTTAGTCTTGAATTATGGTAGGCCGTTCAAGATCGGAGACGTCTTGAAACGAAATTTCAGGGTAAGACTTGAGGTACGGTAGAAGATACTATTGCAGAAGATTTGGTGAGAGTACCGTATGAGGCTAGGTTTTTGTGAGAGAGGTCTTGAAACGAAAAAGTGAGATGAGAGTTAAGATACGGTTAATTGTTTGCTTACGGCAGAAAAAGAAAGAGAGTTTAGGTTTTCAGTCCTAGAAGAAGGGCCTTCTTAAGACTTGCAGAGGTCTTGAAACGAAAAATCAAAACGATGACTTGAGATACGGTAGACGGCTTGAGTTATAGTAAGAGGCAAAAATTATTTGAGGTAAGTTAGGCTTGATTACTGTAGAGAAGGTCTTGGAACAAAAAATCAAAGCAATAACTTGAAATACGGTAGACGGCTTGGTTATAGTAAGAGGAAAAAAATTGGTATTTGAGGTACAGTAGGCTTGATTATGGTAGAGGAGGTCTTGAAACGAAAAGTTACAATAAAGGACCTTAATGTACGGTAGAAAGGTGTGGAGGAAAGTCCTGGGAATCATGTAAACTCTTCGCGGAACCAAGCAAAATATTCCATTGAAACCGAAAAAAAAAACTCACTCCACATCTCTGCGAGGCCGAAAACCATGGTACCAGGACTGCTTCTCGACGTCGAAATCATCGTTTTTATAAATCTTGAGAAGAATGAACTCTTCTCAGGAGCCGAGGAAAACGAGCAACTCACTCCCATTTCAGTAAAACGACTCCCTATTCGAGCTGCTAGTTGAGTAAATAACCGAAAAGTTGACCTGAGATTACTCGTCGATTCGTTCGCTTTTCGGAAATTATGTCAGGGGTCAGGTTATTTTCCGAGAAAAGAAATGGCAAAAAAAAGTTTCGTCGTGGGGAGGAGCCGAACTTGGACCTTTGGAATAATGTAAAAGCCTAACTTTTAAGGCTTATTATTGATAAAAAGCGAGATTTTTGAGATCAACGCATAAAAAAATTGTGAAGAGGGGGAACAAACTTGGCACTCCTAGCTGTTCAAAAATTTTAAAGCTTAAAAATTTTTCATTTTAATCTCGCACTTCTTTGAAAAATTATATAAAACAAAAAACAGCTCTTTTCTCTGCAAAAATGGCAAAAATTGAACCGCTGTTAACAGAAATCGAACCTAGGTCGTCTAGCTTACTTTTCAAATTTAATATTCGATGAAATTTTTCGTCACCTTTTTTGGTTTTGTTTAAAAAATTACCATGAAGTGGTTCTTTTTATTGAAAAAAACGACAAAAAAAGTTTTTTTAGCCAACAGGTCCTCAATCCAAGCATTTCTAGAGATTTTTCAACTTTTTTCTCTTCTCGCTCCCAACATAATCTCCACAATTCCCTTCAAATCAAACAAAAAGAAGGCAAAAAAGATTTGCCGCCAGCAGGGGTCGAACCTGCGACCTTGGGCTTATTAGACCCACGCTCTAACCGACTGAGCTATGGCGGCTGCGATGGCTCCAGCAGGCCGGCGCGCATATGTCACCAGCAGATAACGTTGTACATGTTGTAGAAAACAGAATTTTTTCCCAAAATTTTATTCGTTGCGTGGAGAGGCGATGGCGTGGAAAAACGACACAATGTATCCATTAGGAGCGCGGAAATAATGGAGGGAGGGAGTCGTCAGTTGCGATGGTCTGGAAATGAGATTTCGATGGGAGAAAGTTGACAAAAACAAACGTTCGGCGGTCTCGATGACCCCTTCTTCTTTGATGGCGGCGTCGGAGGTGATGCCATAACTAAGCGTTTCGGTGCACTCGGAGTATTCCGACTCCTCCTCCTGCCAGTCCCATGGCATGCGGTCCGAGAGGTTGTTTTCGGCTCTGATCTGAAACAGAAGTCGATTCGGTTTTCGAACGAATGCCTAATTTTGGTTCTACTCCAATACTAGCGATTTTGAAACTTTGTTGATCACAGAAATCTTTTTTCCCTGCTCTACATGTCCCTTTAAAATTTTATCGGACAATCTTCAGAACTTTAAATGATTCTACCGAGTTCAACCCTTTGGAAATTTCCCATGAGCAGAGTTAATCCTGAGAGAAATAATCTGGGAAAGTTGTAAGATCACAGGTCTATTTCCAGAATTAGAGCTTATCCTTTTTCAAAGCTTCTAAATGTAGTTTCAAGCTTCTGAAAGTCGCAAATCATGCGAGAAGCTTAGTTGATTTCAAAATAAAGCTTCGTCGATTTTTCTCAAGTAGTGAGGGAAAAACAAGCTTTTTGTTCAAAATCAAGGTAAAAATAAGATTTTAAAACTTTGTTGGGACAAGTTGTTCAGCTTCGAAATGGAACTGTATCAATAAAATCACCTGCTTGATCAGAACCCTCAGTTTCCGGTAGTCGGGGACTGCGTAGAAGTCCCAGCGGTCAATGACACGCATGATCTCTTCAAACCTTGAAAAAAAGGCCCCTTTCATTATTTTCAATGGAAAGAAGGCTTACTGCGCCGGGCAGCCGCGGAGGAAATGGGGCTTTCCGCTGGTGCGAGCTCGCCGCTTGGCCGTGTACGTATCAGCGCGGTCTGCAAATCAGAATCTTCGAACATATCCGGGGATCAGCGGCTTTCGTTGCACTTTTAATGGCATCACAATTTTCTTCGCAATGCCTTACAATGTTCCAGCGCTCAAGTAGTTTCTAGTCGGACCAAAAACTTTGCAGCTGAGTCATTCCAAATGCGACCACAGCCTCTCAATCTGACAACATCTTTCTTACCCGTGATCAGACGCCAGGGCAAGAGTCCAGCCGAGAACTCGACGAGCATGTAGAACCAGCTCTCGAGATCGTCGGCGCGAGACAGATCCTGCAACGAAAAGATAACGTAACCCGTATTTAGGTGAAAACCATTCGTTTGTGAGCCGACAGGCTTCCGTAACGGACAGTTCCCCGCCAGCCGACTTCGCCACGTGATGGAATAACGTTGTTATTCTGGAAAATGGGATTTTCGCTCCATTTTTGAATTGAAAGGCGCAGAGCATCGTTGAAAAAGGGGTTTTGGGACGATTTTTTAATCTTTAGGAAGGTCATTATACAGTGGTTTTTTTTTCAAGAAATGGGGGATATGGCCGCTAAAAAAGAGAGGCTCAAATAAGGCCGCAAAAAGGCTGCAAAAAGGCCGCAAAAAGGCTGCAAAAAGGCTGCAAAAAGGCCGCAAAAAGGCTGCAAAAAGGCTGCAAAATAGCAGCAAAAAGGCAGCAAAGATGGTCCTTTTATCAAGCCTTCTACTTTTTGTAACTCGACAAGTGGCGGAAAAAGGGAGAAGCAGCAAAAAAAGGATCCTTTGTCACCCTTGGGATAGTCAGTGTAAATGGACTCTTGTGGGATTTCTGTATTATTCAAACAAAAAGTCGGTTATTGCGTCTTGAAACGATCGAGACAGGTTAAAGCTTCGCCCTGCGCCTTTGAAATCTTGGTCGAACTCCAAAACTTTACCCTGTCCCGGTAACGTTTTGCCAACCCGAAGTCGAACATGTATATGGTCTTTGAGCCGCCATTCTCACTGAAAATAGATTTATTGCGGCCAATTGTGATAATTTCTATCATTTACCGTACGCCAGGGGCGAAGTTGGATGGCTTCACGTCACGACTGATGAAGCCCAGGTTGTGGAGCTGCTCGCACGCCTTTAAATTATCATTATTGAAAAGGTTGGTAGGTTTAGTAAGGTGTATAAAAGTGTACTAGGGCAAAGAAAAAAGAGCCGGAAAAAATGGACGCCAAAAAGGATTGTGCGCCCCATTGACAAAACTATCCAGGTTTACAGTTTCCTTTGAGCTTTATAAAAAAATGACTGATCACAAAAAGTGTTCGTAATTTTCTCTCTCTATTTTGTGGTAAGCTATCGTGTACACTTCTGAACTTGGAAAATATCCAAAAAATCCTTACTTCAAGCGTTTGAAGGGCAATTTTGGTGACAGTGTTGAGAGAGAATTGACGAGACGGCTGCTCGGACCGGAGACGGTACAAGTCCTTGCCGAGCAAGGACATCACCACGTACGTGAACTCCGGCTTTACGGCCCCCTGATTATATTGATTAGATAAATAATTGAAATTTTATAGTTACGTAGGAATAGATCTGGCAGAAGTGCTTGCAACCGTCAGCGTTTGCCACCTTCATCACCTTCACTTCGGTGGGAAGCATGGACGTCGAGTATTTCTCCGTCTTCACGGCCACCGTCCTTAATTAATCGGCTCATTTTGGCTTGAAGATTGTAAATTCCATAAAAAGTCGATTCATCCCGGCTTCAAACTCTCTGCACCCGACCTTTCGTGACTTGCGCGTTTTTCCATGCTCTCCGGGCAAAGTCGGGAAAGGTCGGGCGCAGCAAGAAAAGCACGATTTGTAGTCTCAAATGAAACGATTCTGGTAATATAACTGATTCACGGCTGAGCCATCGAAAAATGGGTCCTGACACGAATTGAAGAGACAGTGCCGGTTGGTGGAGAGCGCAGACATTCCAAGCCTTTTTGCGTCCCAAGCTAGCCGTGAATCGGCTATTTTTCTACTTACAGTAGATTTTTCTTTGAATCCTTGTCAGATTTCTCTAATTACCCACCTGAGTCAAGTAACCAAGTAATTATAAAGTTAATTATTTAATCGGTCCATTAATGGTTTGATTTCTGTTTCGATATAAACATTTTCCCAAGTCCATTCACCTTAATTATCACCCTGGATTGGTAATTAGGTGCCTCACAGTTGATTAGCAATTTAATGTTTCTCTAATTTCTCGTTTTTGTACTTTGGCCTCATTTGATGTCACTTTGTAAGACTTTTTCATGTTCTCTTTGTTTCCATAAAGTTCAGAGTGTTCTCAAGCCACATTTAAAAATCTTATTGGTTCATATTAGAAAAATTTCCAGCCGAACTAGACTAAAACTGTAAAAGAGCAAAAATACATCATTTTGAGCGACTATGCAGCATTCGCGCGCCATTGAGAACCTCGGCTCTTGGGCGCGATTTACGTTTTTTTTTATTTTTTCATTTTTCTCTTCGTTTTTACTAATAAATTTTATCCCAGTTTGCTGGTTCGTTCAAATGACAATAAAGGAAATCATATATCGGAAATGTAATATATATGTCAGTTTTTTTTCTTCATTTCTCGTGGAATTTTTTTCAAAATATTTTCCAGCAAGCTGTGAACTTCAAAATCATAGATCGTTCAAGTATTTCATAGAAGCTCGTGTTTATTTGAATTAGCTTCAAAACTCATTAGAATGCTCGCTTCTGGAGAACGAAGTACACAGTACAACCGCGCTAGTAATAACCACCTGGAAAAAAATTCGCGCCAGGACTTTTTTCAATCGAGTTTTTAAAGTTAATAGTTTAAAAAAACGAACACGTCTTCATGCTTGCTGAGGAAGACGAGCCCCATGGCGCCATCACCGAGCTTTTGGAGGAACTCATAGTGGACCCCGCGTTCGCCAATCACGTATTCGCCGACGTCGGGCAGACGGTCACGGTTCTCCCGTTTCTCACGGCGGGAAGACTTCTTGGCCGGAGCGGCCACCGGAACCTGTTTCGTTTTATTTTTTATTGAGCATTTTTGTTGAGTTTCATTATCAGTTTTTTCAGCTTCAGGGTCTTTTTGAACTTGCCCTAATTATAATTATTCATATTTTATTCACTTGGAAATTGTTAACGCGAAACGGACGAGAACTGGACGTGTGCCGGGAAATTGCTAGGGACCACTTCAGTAGCGTTACCACACTTAAGTGATCCCTAGATCTCCGAGGCACGTCCGTTTTGTGTTACCATTGTCCGAGGATTCACAGAAGCTTCCTGTCTTGTTCAAAGGATCATAAGAGAAACCACAGCGTATGTTTTGTCGCAATAATTTTTTTACAGTGCAGTAAGGCCACGCCTTGTGCCTTGAAAGATCTTAGGAAAATGAAGAAAAAATTTTATTTCGCTTCAATGGATTTTTCTTTGAAGCTTCACTGTGAAAAGAATAATTGATGAATTTTTCAAAATATTGAGAAGATCTCAATTCTAAACGTAATTCATGTATAAGATTGAAAATTTTCACGTCAATAAAACAATTACTCAACGTTCAAAATTGTTCGAACGTGGGAAAGGCCGTAAGACCAAAAAAAGAAAAAAAAAATTTTTTTGTTCGAAATTTTTCGTGAGAAATCGGATTTTCGGTTTTTAATTCTTTTCAAAAAATGTCTGGATAACTTGTGAATGCATTATAGAGGTGTCTTTAAAACCCTTGAACGGATTTTTCATAGGATTTCCCTAAATATTTGAATTTTCAAGCTATAATTCAACTCCTTTGGACGATTTCCCATCAGATACCGATCAAGTTAAAGTCTTATTATCATATCAATATTTCATGTTAACATCCTTGCGACTACCATAAACCTTATAGAAACACATTTCCTGGGGTTTTTTGAAACTAAATATGTCTTGAAATTAAAAACGAGCGCTGATAAATACTTCAAAACAGCTCATTTAGAAGCATTTACTCTTGATTTCGAGACATGTTCCGTTTCCCTACGGAACACGCCATCAACATCCCAAAGAACGGCAAGCTGTGCATGAAATCGATTCGATATCACTGAAACAACGTTTTTTTTTGTCTGCTCACCGGCACTTGGGGAGCGACGAGCGTCGAGGTATCGACCGTTTCGCCGGGAATAGTCCGCTCCGCGATCATGCTTCTTTGCGTCTCTGAACCTTGGATCCAAATTCCGAAACCTTCCGAACCCCGTAGTTTTTCCAAACTCACTGGTGGTAGGTTTAGTCGGTGAAATGTCGCTGTCTTCACGCCCCTCCCGTCGATAATTTTAAACGTCACTTTTTTCAACGTCTTTGAACTTTTTTACCGTTTTTTTTATAAACTCGTTTAATCTTTTCTGCTTTATGTTATGTTGGACAAAATGGCCTCTCAAGTTCACGAAAAAAAGAAAAAGCGACCGAAAATCCGCCTTAATGCATATGGCGCACGCTTTAACCGCCACTGCCGCGCAACTTTCCTCGCCCCCAAAGTGTAAACAATTTCCAGGAGGAAATCACTGAAAAATTGCGTCGTTATCGATATTGACGATCAATTACCCGGGTTCATGACGGTTGGAACGCAAGAACAAGCCTTTTTTGAAGCAGCCATGAATCCGCCTGTTCTTGAACAGGCTCAGGCTTTCGGAGTTTCGACATCGAGGGTTTGCTTTTTTTTTTAATTTTTCATTCTGTTTTTTTTTCTTATTGTTTGTAGAGAACTAGTTAATTTTGTACATCAGAAAAGTTTATAATATTTAGGGCGATATGAGTTATTTTCCGAATTTAGTTATATCTTCTAGTTTTTAACAAAATTCCTTTTCAAGGTTTTTTTGTCATATTTTTTGATTCTTATTTTATTTGATGTGTGAAAAGAGTAAATAAATTGTAGGTCTTCTCAAATTTTTATATCGGTTTGTCTTAAAATTTCATGATATTTGAAAATTGGAAGTTATGAAACAAACAGGCAAAATTATGAAATTTAGAACGTTTTTTTTTATTTGAGGAAGATTTTTTTATTAAATTTGGTTCAATCTTATTTTTTTCCTTCATATTTTTTTACGGATAACTTCTATTCTTTCAGTTATTCCCCGATTATGTTCTTCCCGAAGCAATCGTCGAGAAGATCCTCACCAAAATGGATCTGGAGACGGTTCAAATCATGACTCAACTGAATAAAGACTGGAGAACCAAAATCCAAAGTATCCGGCATATATTAAAGTATGGAAATTATGAGAATGGGATTTTACTATAATTTTTCAGAAGAAAACGGGTTTTGAAGCTGGAGTTGCGGTCGAATGGAGCGTTTTTGCTCATTTGCTGCTGGAAAGATTCCGAGCAAAGTGAACAGATCGATAGTCGCTGGCGACGGGTTATAGTTCGTATTTAGATTCTTGTTTTAATTGAAGATCATGGGAAAATGGAAATTTTGGGTAAAATTTCAATGGAAACGTTTTTCTCACTCTCTTGTCGTTTTTAAATTTTTAAAATTAAGTAAAGAAATTCGAAATATTGACGATTTTTGCTTGAGAAGCATGTTATTTTTTTATACTTTATAACTTTTTGTTTAAGTTTTTCTTTAGAGATGAAAAGTTGGTTTGAAATCGTGTTTATCGGGGATTTTTTGTATGTTGTTTTTTTAATTCAAATCAAAAATTAGGGTTTTGAAATTTTTTTATTGATTTTTTACCGAATTTCGGAAAGTTTCTATCGATTTTCACAATTAGATCCAAGGTTTTTTTTTTTTGAAAACTTTGAAAAGTTCTTTATTGAGTTCTGAAGAAGGTGAAAAAGAAGGAAAGGCAAAATTTGCAACTAAAAAATCTTTTTTTCTAAAATCGAATTCTGTTGTTTGTTTTTTGAATGTGAATCGAAAAAAATGGAACTTTTTCCACTTCAGACTCTATAAAACTCATCTGAAACTTATGAAAGAAAAAATAAAATAATGATGAGAGATTTTTCAAAAGCGATTTTTTTAGAAGTCTTCTCGTGTTTTTGATGAAATTTTAGTGTTATACTTTGCTGGCGCGAAAATAAATCCAATATTGAGACGAAAGTTATAAGCGGTTTAAGGGATGATTTGTGAAAGGTTTCAAAAGAAAAAAAGCTGAAAATGTTGGGAGAAGAAATAAAAAAAGAAGATAATTTCTGAGCAATTTTTAATTTTTTTGAAGTTTTTCTCGTGATTTTTGATCCAAATTTAGTTTTTGAAATTTCGCAGGCAGAATCCAAAAAAATGTTTATAAACGCCTAAATGAATATTTTCTACTATAATAATGTAAGGTTAATTGAAAATATTGGAAGAAGATTTGAAATGAAGATATTTTTTTGATTTTTTTCAATTTTTTTGAAGTTTTTCTCGTGTTTTCCATTCAATTTTAGTGTTAGTTTTGCAGGCGGAGTCCAAAAATAAGTTTATAAGCGTCTAAATGATTATTTTTCTACTATAATAATGTAAAGTTATTCGAAAAATATCTGAAGAAGACTTGGAATGACGATAATTTTTTTAGTTTTTAATTTTTTTCAAAGTTTTCTCTTGTTTTTCCAATGAATTTCAGTGTTGAACTTTGCAGACGCGAAAGTAAATTCGATAAAAAAAAATTTAAAGCGGCTGAAAAAATTTTTTTCATTATGATTTCGCAAAGATACTTTTGAAAATATTAGAGGAAGACTTGGAATGACGATAATTTTTTCGATTTTTTTAAGTTTTCTCGTGTTTTCCATTAAGTTTCAGTGTTGAATTTTGCAGGCGCGAAAATATTTCATTGCCGGCGACGACTTTTTCCACCACATTGCCTATATCAGCCCTCGAATCGCTTCCATCAAAGGCGGACATCCGAAATTGAGCATGGGGCTGGCGACGATCCCGGATTGGTGGTTCAGGAACGTTTCTCAGGTGGGAAAAAGGGAAAAATCTCTTGAAAAATAGTTTTGAATTCAAAAATTGTGCTTTTTATGAGAAACTTTATGAACATGAGGTCGCAGTTTTTTGAAGAATGTTCTGAAATATTTGGGAAACTATTTTCAAAAATTCCTCGGAAGTTTCCTTTTTTCCAAGATTTTCATTGGAGAAGATTCAGATTTTTTTTAAACCCATTATCAAATTTAATGGCTTTTTCTTATTGAATTGAAAGAAATTACACGGCTTTACTGGTTTTAGAGGTATAAAGAATACGCAAAAAATAATTTTAAAGTGAAAATCTGCTCACTTCAGCCTTTCCGACGCCAAATTCGACCAATTTTTCATAAATTATCCGCTCTTTTCGGCATTTCGACCACTTTTCTGTGATTTTTGAAGTTTCTAAAGATTCCGTGATTTCTTGCCTTTATTATCGGAACGCGACAGATAAAGTCGCCTCCGAACGGTTTCCTCGAAATTTTCCCTCAAAAATTTCATTTTTTTGATGGTCATACCATAAAAATAAGTTCTTTTTTTATTAATTCGTTCGTTATCGAAGCACTGAATGTGAAGACGAAATGACCAAAAAAATATATGATTCGAAACGTAGGTTCGCTGGTTTTTAGATAGCTCTGAATAATGTGAAATGACGTTTTTTTCGGATTTTGAAGACGTTAGAAACGAAATTTCTGTAATAATTAATTTTTAAAGGCGAGGTGAAACATGGTTTTTAACCGTATTGGGAAGCAATTTCTTGGAATTTTTCCGTTTTGAAATGTTCTTTTAGTGTTATTTTTCTAGCTATTTTTTTCGTGAAACTTTTTAAAAATTTATAAAATTCGTAGTCTCTTAAAAAAACATTTTTTTAATGAGACAACAGATTTTTTTCATAATTTACAAAAAAATACTTAAAATCTTCAATTGTTGATGGTATACTAAGGGCTCGGCATTATTTTTAAAAAAAAATAGTAGGGCATGAAAAAAATTTTTTTCACGCTGTCTTGCCTCATGAAATTCAAAATAAGGGACTTGACTCTGTGAACGAACTTTAAAGTGGCTTCCATGTTTTTTTGTTATGTTAGATGTGAACTTATTCAACTTTCAGTCGAAAATTATTGAGAACTGCCTCAATTATTGCAGGTAACCTACCGCCCGGGTCCTCGATACAACATCGACCTGGTGGAATTGCTCAAAAGATGTCCGCAAGTGACCGATTTGCACTACAAGAAGGACCCCCACTGCGCGACCGGATACGACTGCGCCGACTTGATCAACGCCATGACCAGCGTTCGACGATTTCAGTGCGGTTTTGGATAAATTTTCGAAAAAAAAAACATTCTGAAAGATTCTATATAGTCTGTGTGCCACGACTTGAAATTTCACCGAACGACATTCCGCTGTTGCGCTGCGTGCGTTTGCGAAGCGTCTTTCGAATCTAGGTCACGATTTCAATTTATTGTTATTGCTCTGGGATCACATGAAATTAGAGTACCTTGATAAAAGAAAAAAAAAATGAAAAGCGCGACCAAGGCTCCCGAAGGCGTGCAGCGGCACAGCGGAATGTCGTTCCGTGAAATTTCCAGTCGTTTCAGTTTTGACTGTGATTTCCTTTAAAGTCAACCAGAACACTCCTTGAAGTTCCAAAAAAGATCCTCCAAGTGCCAAGCTGCTCAACGTTCTAGTTTCTGAGAAAACCTTCGAAATCCGTTAAAATAAGTATTTTTGTTCTTTGAGTCCTTGTTTCTCGAAAATAGACAGATGGCCGTTTGAAGTTGTCATAAAACTTCTTCTGATTCATCGACATACATGGGATAGTCTCGGTGAGACCTGAAAAAAAGAAGGGGGTTGGCGAAAAAAACCGAAAAAAATTTTTTTCAGGGTGCGCGTTCGTCCGATCTTAAAAAAATCAAAGCAATTTTTTTGTTTCACAGTTAGAAAGATCGAAAAAGAAAAAGAGGGGGGCGCTTGGCATTAAGTGAGGGGGGGCTGTTGTCAGTCATGCTTATCCCATGTATGTTCATCGAGCAGATACCTCTAGGCTAAAAAATGAAAAGACCTTTTTTTGTAAAAGAGGTAGTTTCAAAAAAATGAAGATAATTTTTTTAAACATGGATAACAAATCACTGACTTTAGGAAGACATGGGGGAGTATTGTCAACTTTTTGAAAATTGTCTACTCAAAAAAAAAAAAAAAACAGAGATAGTCCAACAAATGACCGCCTAGAAATTTTTTTGCCTCATCCTAAAAGCAAATAGGATTTTTTTGATCCCGGAGTCCACAAAATTTATGCGAAAATTCGCGAAAAATTGAAATTTTCTTGTCCCCACATGTTTCTGAGCATTTCTAGGGACCACTTTAGCGGCGTCAACACTTTTTAGTGATCCCTGGAATCGCTAGGAAGCGGTTAAGGCTACTGAGGTCCGACCAACCTCAGCTCTAGCTTTGAAAGAAATACAAGGCTTTTTGAGATTTTTTTGCTGTTCATCTCAAGTCGTTCATCTCAATATTTACCATGTAATTTAATAGGAAACACCTCATTTTTATGTTCAAAAGACTCATTTTTTTATTTTTCAAAATCGGAATTTTGCGGTCGAATGTGTAGGAAACTGCGTGTCATGAAATAACCGAATCGATTTTTTTTTCCTAGAAATATGAGACTTTTTCCTTTTCAAATATCTCTATTTATCAAAAATCAACTTTTTAGAATGGACCATATCGCCGGAACACGGGCCGATGACCGAACTCTGACGGCTCTGATCGAAAAATCGCACGAACTTCGCCATTTCATCGTCTATGAACTCAAGACCAACTTCAGTCTCGAGAAGATTTTCGACGTTCTCCAGGTGCGCCTTATCAACCTTCTTTCCATTGAGGAACTGATAAGAAGAAAAAAAATCATAAAGTTTTAAAGGGGGAAGGAATGGAAAAGTGATCTTTGGTGAGAGAAGGGGAAGTAAGTTTTTCAATTTTTCAAAAGAATAATATTTTTTTAAAAAAATATTTTTTTCTTGATACTTAGAGTTTCAGTATTAAATTCAAAAAAATACAAAGCATTTTTCAAATGATTGAATAAGTGAGCTTTTTTTCTGTGATTTTTTTCATGTTTTTTTAAATTTTTTTACTTGTAATAATTTAAAAAAAGCCGTTTTTCCTTTGGAGGCAATTTTTTGAAAAGATGGAAAGCTTGAGTTTACTTTGAAGAAGGAAAGGAAATCTTTAATGTTTGAAGAAAAATGTTTTTTTTTCATTAGGTGAATAATTTTTCAAGTTTTGAAAGCTTTGAATTTTTGAGAGTTTTGAAAGAACCTAAGAATGAACCAATAAATGAACTTTTGCGTGTTTTTCATGTTTTTTAAAGTTTTTACTTTTGTAATCTCTCTAAAAAAACGCAGTTTTTTTCGAGAAAATCGATTTTTTTTTTGTTAGTACAAATCATAGGCGAACCTCTTATTCTAGGGCTCATATGCCATTGAAAAAATTTTCAGTATATTTTTTTATAATTGTTTTTAGTATATTTTTTTAGCATAGGCTCTTAAATAACCCAGTAAAAGTTTAAATGGACCTCATAATCAGTGAAAAAATGGGAATTTTTGAAGATTTCTTGACTTTTGAATGTCCTACTGGTATTACCTCAAAAAAGCCATTTTTTGAAGTAATTTAATTTTTTTTTGGTCCAAATGATAGAAGAACCCCATATTCTAATGCTCACATATGCCCTTGGAAAAATATAATCCAAAAAAATGGCGAAATCCTTTCCAGAGAGCCCATTTCGCCGAAAACTACGTGCCCTTCCTGCGTTTTGGCCGTCTTCCGAGCGCCAAAAGCGAACTCATCGAATACCTGAATCTGAGATCCCGCAACATTGCCATCAACCCGAGGATCCTCAACGTTTTCTTCCGTTTCAAGTTCCAAAACGAACATTACACGTTGAACTCGTCCGAGTGGAATTGGAACGCCGCCCAGAGACAGATCGCCATGTGATTTTTGTGTTTTTCGCCAGAATTTTGAGACTTTTGGGCTATTCTTGAGCCTTTCAAAAGTCCTTTTTGCTGAAAATTTGTCTTGATTTGAAACTTTTGACCAATTTTCACTCATATTTGATGACTATACCCGTTTTTGAGCTTCCAACTGTCTTTTTTCGAAATTTTCGTCTTTTTTCGACACTCCCGGCTCATTTTTACCTTAACATTATGACTATACCTTTTTTGAGCCTTTTGTCTTTTTGATTTTTTGACTAGTACTCGATATATCTTTTTTGCTGAATTTTCAACTTGATTTGACATTTTTATCTACTTCTTTCGGCTCATTTTTACCTTTCTATGACGTTTTTTGAGCCCTAAACTGTTTTTTCTCTGAATTTTTGTCTTTATTTTACACTCCAGGCTCATTTTCACCTTGATTCTATGACTATACCTATTTTAGAAAATTTTATTCATGTTTTCTCTGAATTTTGCACATGATTTTAGCCCGAAAACCAGCTTTTTCGGCTCAGATTTCATATTGATTCGTGTATTTTGCTTTCATTTTGAACCCTATTTTTATCCTAACCTTTTTGGCTCATTTTTTACCTTCTTTTTTAACTTCTTCCTTTCATTTGGAGTTAATTTTGCGATTTTTCATGTCTTTTTTTCATTTCGAAGAATTTTTTTACCGTATTTCCCTCACACAAATATTTTTTTATGACACTTATTTTTTTGCTGATTTTTCTCCATAGTATGTATTTTTGAAACCGCGGATAGTTCATTTTCTGTCTTTTTCATCAGAAATTTTTTTATCATTTTCGATTTTTTTCACCTGTTTAAAATGACTATTTTATCGTTTTAAGCTCATAATTTACTTTTTTTCGCGACTATTGTACCTATTTTTTTGAAACTTTGAACCGCCCCCATTTCATCAGAAAATTTTTCAAAATGATTTAAGGCTTCTAAAATTAACCTCAAATTTTTTACCGATTTTTTTCATAGTTTTCTTTGTACGTTTTATCTTGGCTTTACATTGTGTTTTCTCAAAAAATCTCCAATTCTGAATCGAAATGTCCATATTTTATCCCATGTTCCCAAATTTTTTGCTCGAATTTTCCAGGAGATTTTAGCCTTGAACTTGCGCAACGGTAAGATGGAAAAAGGCCGAGATAGAGTGTGGAAAAGTTGGAGACTTTTAGACGGGAAAGTGTCTGGCGTCTCCACTTTTCGTGTTGTCTCTAACATTTTCAATTTTTTTTTATAGATTGGTGAACTATGATAGCATAGAAGTAGAGAGAAATTGAGGAAAAAGAAATGTCTGATGTCTCTATTTTCCATATGCTATCTAACTAATAGTTTTCAAGTTTCCCACCAAAATTTAAGCCTTTTTTCCGTCCTACCGAATTTTACAAATATTTATCATGGTGCGTCGTGGATCAGCTACAATCACGTGTAAATCTTTTGTGATATACGGCCGAATTTCCCTTTTTTTCCCCCTCAATCCACGATAAAAAGAAACAATCAAGCTTTCCTTTCGCTCCAAATCACTTCATGTATATGCTCTTCGTGTAGCTTTTCTTTCATTTTTTCCACTTTTTTGAAGAGTTTTTATCACTCAATTACCGCTTCGGGTTCAATTGAAAAGCCGAATGAGTTCTTTTCTTTCGAATTCTCTTCCCCACTTGCTCTTGTCTTTTCCTCACTTGTTCCCGAAATACGAAAATTCTGCATCTTTCATTCGTTCGATAAATGACGCGTTTTGAGACTGCATTCAGTACTTGGAAAAGAAATGAATACGTGAAGATTGCGAGGAGATAAGCGGGGTATAAAAGGACCTGGAGCGGGAGGACGGGGCACAACAATATTCATGGCTCAATCGGTCCCGCCCGGAGATATCCAGACGCAACCCAACACCAAGATCGTCTTCAATGCCCCGTACGACGACAAGCACACCTACCACATCAAGGTATCCCTTCTTGGAGCATGAGCTCTTGAGCTTGAGGTCCTTAGTTGGACCTCAAGATGAGCTGGAGCTTCAGGAGCCTGAAACTTCTGTCCTTAGGATAATCATAAGACTTCAAACTCGGTTAGAGCTAGGAATTTTGAATCTGGGGGTAACTTGAAGTCTGTGAGCACGACTTCTCAAGCTACAAGTCCCTTTAGGCCTTTTCAAACTGACCTGAAAGCTTTATTGCACCCATGACCTTTCTTCTCAAGCTAACCAATCCACCTTCCAAAAATAAGATGTGCAGGTGATCAACTCGTCGGCCCGGCGGATCGGCTACGGCATCAAGACGACGAACATGAAGCGTCTGGGCGTGGACCCGCCGTGCGGAGTCCTCGACCCCAAGGAAGCCGTTCTTCTCGCCGTCTCTTGCGACGCGTTCGCCTACGGACAGGAGGTATACCGTACTCCCTCTCTACAGTAACCCTTCGCTCCAGGACACGAACAACGACCGCATCACGATCGAGTGGACGAACACCCCTGACGGCGCCGCCAAGCAGTTCCGTCGCGAATGGTTCCAAGGCGACGGCATGGTCCGCAGGAAGAACCTTCCCATCGAGTACAACCCCTGAAATGAAGAATTATGGCTGCTGCAATAAAAACTCCTAATTTTGAATTTTTTTTTTTTGCTTTGGTGCAAACCGCTACCTTCTCTGAATCTTTGAGGGTTTTGAATGGGAATTTAGTGCATCGGAAGCTTGAACTTTGGAGGACTTTGGTGTCGTTGCCGTTGAGATCAATGAGGTTTCTTTTTTTTGGAAAAATTGAATATTGTTCATTCTTGCTTCTCCAACTCATTCTGGATCTATAAGCCAGTTCTGAATGAAGAAATTCTTACTAAAAATGGCAAAAACCATCGGACTGGTCAAGTTAGGCTCACTCCGTTGCGAGCTCCGCAGAACCTACGCAACGGATGCGGATTCGGACCAGTATCCGATGGAAATTGTGTGTTGCTTGGGGAGCGGGTTGTTGGGGGCAAGCCCCCGAAAGTTGACGTTGATTTTACAAATTATATAGTCCTCCAAAGAGATGCAGCCGACTCGCCGCGGCTCGCGCTGATTGATATTTTTTTCGATGCTTTGTCTCGGCTTTAATGAATGTAGAACGTTTTTCTATGATTTCGCTCACAGAAACGAAACCAATTGAAAAATTGACTGTTTTCCGAATTTTTGAATCGAGTTGAATATTATTCTGGATTTTTGACTAATCTATAGAGTTTTTTTGTGATTTTTTTATCGATTATTTAATGAGGTTTTTTTGCGATCGATATGAATTTTTTTAGTTGCTTTCCGTTTTCTATTAGATTTTCTATTGGAATATCAGAATTTCCCGATTTTTTTGAAAAAAATTTTATAGAAGTTTGAATCAATAAAGTCTCACTTCCGAATTTTTCAATTTTTTTATTAGAAATAAATTTTTTTCAAATTGAAATTCAGCTCGATTTTTGAACCAGAAATTTCGACTTCAATTAAAAAAATTTTTTTAGTGATTTTTTTATCATTTTTTTCAACTCATGTCAGAATTATTAATCAATATGCAATCACCCAATATTGTGGACTATATCGCAGAGAGAGTAATACTATACTGCGGGGGAGCCGCACTAAGAATAACTGCCGAGATAAACGCGAGACACTGGCGGTACATTGACGAGCTCGCAAACATCTCGCTTTTTTTCTCGCGCCGGTCTCGCATTTTTCTGGGCGCGAGCTCGCATTTCTCTCGCAATTTGAAAATTTTCGAAGTGCGAGATAAATGCGAGATGGCGCCCAGAAAAATGCGAGGTCGCGCCGAGAGAAATGCGAGATCGCGCCTTGAAAAAAGCGAGATGTTTGCGAGCTCGTCAATGTACCGCCACCGACTCGCCTTTTATCTCGTCAGTTATTCTTAGTGCGCGAGCGATATCGCTCGCCTCTCGCTGCGACCTCGCAAACGTCTTGCGCTATATCGCTCTCTGAAAAATTTTTCTTCAAAAATGTTTTTTCTTGAATTTGATCCATTTCATCATAAAAGTCAAAAATAAAGCAAAAAAATTTTTTTTTAATTTAAAATTTTTGAAAGAGAGCGATATGGCAGCGAGACTTTGACGATATCGCAGCAAGAAGCCTTGGCTATATCGCCTGCGGCCCGCTGCGATATCGGCAAATATGTTGGGTGATTTGCGGAAGGACAATTAAATTTTTGGAAATTTGAAATTTGAAAGAATGTGGGAACATAAAAGTTATTTTTAAAAAAACAACAGATAATGGTTTTTCACGAATTCAAAAAAATCTTAATATGATTTTTTTGATTTCGAATTAGTTTTATTGACCAATTATTAGCTTTTGAATGAAGAAAATTCACGAAAAATGGAAATTTCAAGAATTTCCCTCGGAAAAAGTGGAAAACTTCCCGTTAAAATTGAAAAATTCAGTTGCTCGTCGATTTTTGGACCTTAACATGTTTTTTTCAAGGCCGTTTCAAAGAAAAAGCGATTGAAAACCACCGCGGCCGAGGCGCGACGCGAAAACCGGCGCGAGTCGGCTGCGCCTTTCTTGGAGCCTATATAACCGTCAAACAAGTAGGCGGCGCCTGGGGGGTTCGCCCCCCACTCTTCATCACCGAAGTGGAATTTTTCACACCCGGTAAAAGTGGTCCGGATCCGTGAGGTCGGATGACGTCCGCGGACGTCGCCGGCTTGGCGAGACTAACTTGACCACGATGCATTTTTTTGCCTTTTCTTTTCTGCGAAATTGATTACTTCGAAACTTTTTGAGACATAAAATGTCGGATTGGCAGTTGGGCTTGAATATATTCTTCTGAAGTCTCTTGAAAAATTTAAAAAAAAAAGTTCATTTCATTCTGTAAGTCTACGAAAGTCTGGTTTGGAGAGCCTACTTGACCACGATGCAAGTTTTTTTACCTCGCGAAATTGAGTATTTCGATACAAAAAAACTGAAAAAAATAAGCGTTTTTTTGAGTGAATATGAAAGACCCCTATAGGGTCCACTCTTCAATTCCTAAGAATTTCTGTTCACTCAACGATTTTTCTTCCCTCAATTAACATTGATCGAAGACTCGAACGAGAGCACAGAGACTCTGCGGAGAGGTCAGACGACGAGACGTCCAGCGTCGAGTCGGGCGCAACTTTTAGAGGGGGTATATATACGCGAGAGTCGGCGACGGTCGGCGGGGGCTTGCCCCCAAAACCCAAACTTGAAAAGAAACTTCCAACCAGTGAGGCCTAGGTCCGGATCCGCCGTTTCTGAGTCGGTGTGGCCGCTGCGGTGGCCCCCGGCGCGGTGAGCCTAACATGACCTGGCTTGCTGAGGGGTTTTTGCCCTTTTTAGTCAAATTTTCGTTTTTTTGGGTTCAAGGTGAATTTTCAGCATTTGAAAAGCGATAGGTTCGTAAAATAGCAAAAAAAGATCCCTGGCTCGAGAGTTTTTGGCTTTTTAGTTAAATATTTCTCAAAATATCGAATTTCTCCCGTATTTCAAACCGAAAACTGACTTAGCAGCCAACAGTGGGACTTCTGAAGGATAGTTCTCACAGGCAAAGCCCAGAGGATCCCAAAAAACGTTCAGAGGCTTACTTTTTTGACGAAAGAACCTTTTCAGAGAAAAGCAAAAAGGGGAAAAACGGAGATTAAGAGACCTTCTGACACCGCTTCAGGAACTCCTTCATTTTGACGCCCTACCGGAGTAAAATGCCAATTTTTATTCAGACTTCTAAAAATTCCTCCACTTTCTCCTCCCATGCAACCTTCAACACCAACACGACGTTTAAAAAACCATAATTTTTATTTCGCGTATTTATTTTCAGAAGACGTCATCTATGGGTTGTACTCGATGGGAAGGTTCTTCCTGCGGACCATGCCGTCGCCTTGGAACCATTCGCGACGGAACTGCTTGGCGGCGCCGTCAGGGGTGTTCGTCCACTCGATCGTGATGCGGTCGTTGTTTGTGTCCTGGAGCGAAGGGTTACTGTAGAGAGGGAGTACAGTATACCTCCTGTCCGTAGGCGAACGCGTCGCAAGAGACGGCGAGAAGAACGGCTTCCTTGGGGTCGAGGACTCCGCACGGCGGGTCCACGCCCAGACGCTTCATGTTCGTCGTCTTGATGCCGTAGCCGATCCGCCGGGCCGACGAGTTGATCACCTGCACATCTTATTTTTGGAAGGTGGATTGGTTAGCTTGAGAAGAAAGGTCATGGGTGCAATAAAGCTTTCAGGTCAGTTTGAAAAGGCCTAAAGGGACTTGTAGCTTGAGAAGTCGTGCTCACAGACCTCAAGTTAGCCCCAGATTCAAAATTCCTAGCTCTAACCGAGTTTGAAGTCTTATGATTATCCTAAGGACAGAAGTTTCAGGCTCCTGAAGCTCCAGCTCATCTTGAGGTCCAACTAAGGACCTCAAGCTCAAGAGCTCATGCTCCAAGAAGGGATACCTTGATGTGGTAGGTGTGCTTGTCGTCGTACGGGGCATTGAAGACGATCTTGGTGTTGGGTTGCGTCTGGATATCTCCGGGCGGGACCGATTGAGCCATGGAACTCGTTGTGCCCTCTCCTCCGATCCAGGTCCTTTTATACCCCGCTTATCTCCCCGCAATCTTCACGCCTTCATTTTTTCCTTTTTCTACTTTTGTGCGTAATAATTGTCTTCATTTTTAGTAGCGAGACGCAAGAAATGTGTTTGCTTCCGATTTTGGTATGGACTTGAAAGATTTCCAAAAACTACTCATAGCTTGAGGATCATAATGAATGAAAAAAAAAAGTCTGAAAAAAATGGTGAAGCATTAAGCATAGGAAAGCTCGCAAGTCACAAAATGTCGGGCGCAATTTTTAAATAAAGTCTATGCTTTCGAAATGAAAATTCCCAGACAATTATTCAAATCGCCGATGCCGTCGTGCCAATAATGGACCAAATACGTTGGACGCATTTTCGAGGTTTCCAATATGCGGTTCGTTTTCCAAGGTAGAGTAATTAGTTTTTTTTTGTTAAAATCCAGGTAATGAATGACCAGGCGAATAATATAGTGGACGCCTTCGAAAATTGCCTCGAGAAAGGCGGATGGCCCGCTTTTCCGCTAGACAAGGCGGAAAGCGAATTTTTTGGCCGTTTGCTCGGTATTTTCCAAAAAAAAATTGATATTGATCAAAAAAAAAATTCAGATCAACGGAGGGGAAAAGGTGCGATAGCGTACATGTCCGTAACAAGGGAGGTTGGTTTTTTTGATTTTTTGTTGAAATTTTGAGGATTTCTGACGGTGAGTATATTCAAAAAGTTGACATTTTTAAAAACTCCAGAGTGGTCCCTGTAGGGGCCACCTTAGCTACCCTCGAAGTTTCCCCTATAGGGGCCAGTAAAGCTTTCTAGAGAGGACCCTATAGGATACATGCTGGTCGATTATTGTTATGAGGCATTTTCATGCGGAAAAAAAACTCAAAGAATTAGCGAATCCGAAAAAAAAAGGATCAAAAGACCCTATAGAGACTCTTTGAGCTATAGGATCTTAGAAGTCAGACCGTGAATCCCTAAAGGAACCACCCAAATATTACCCCTACAAGGGGCGCTTTCCCCTAAATCCTATTGGGCCTTTCTCTGGCCTTTCTAAGTTAAAACCCATCGGTATAGATTTAAAAAATTTCGCTTCAGGACCTTCTTTTGAGTTTTCATTGTGTGCCTTTAAAGTCTATAGGCGTATATAAATGAGCTGTTTCTTAAAATTTTCTGCTGGTTTTTTTTTTGAAATTTTCCGTTTTGTCACCGAAATTTCATGTTTTTTTGCTTTTTAAATACGTTCAAAATTGAATTATTTGCAATGGAGCAGACTCGTCTCGTTAAGAAATATTTTGGCGCCAGGACCTTTCTATAGTTTTTCTTAATGCGCTTTTTGAACCCTTTAAACTTTCATGAATGAACTACTGCGCGTTATTTTTCTGTGTTTTTCCACTTTTAATTATTAATTAATTGATTAAGTCTCCATACACGGTCGACGAGTGGCGAACGGCAAAGGGTCCGATCAATTTCGACTTAGTTTCGGATGAATCGATTGACTTTTTGAGCTATCATTGTATGGTGGTTGGTTTCGATATTTGTTGTATGAAATGAAATAAAAAGAGTTCTACGAAAAGTGCTTGAAAATGGAGTTATGGTAACTTTGAAGCGAAAAATTGATTATTTAAAACAAAATAAGACCTTAGGAAGTCCTATCAAAGCCCAATATCCCTTCAGTGGCCACTTGAATTTGATTCTTGAGGGGTTTTGGTTTCTTGGACATTCGAAGTGTCTCTTTAGGAAGTGTTTTCAAGCTTAAATGTCTTTCTAAATCACTTAAATGACCACTCAGCAAGTGCTATCCGACAAGGGATAACTTGAGCAACCTCAAAACAACTTCATTTAATTTTAACGCCTTTTAAGTGGCCACTTTGAGATGAATGGAGCTGGTAAATGTCCCTTATGCCGTGTTCAAAGTAATTTCCGCGAAATGCGAAATTGTCTCTGACCCTCCAAAATTTAGTTCTCTTTCTCTTTCTCTGACGGCTATTTTGAATTTCGCGGAATTACTTTGAACACGGCATTAAGTTTTCACTTTGTCTGAGACCACTTTTTGAGTGGTTTGAGGATAAATTTGTTAAGTGGTCCCTTTAGAAGTTTCTCAAAGCATTCTGCGGTTTTTTTTTCGAAGTTTTGATCCCTTAAGTGCACTCTTGCATTTTCTATCAGATCATTATTCCCTTAAGAGACCTCTTCAGCATACATTGAATTATTTTAGTACTTCACGATTATTTTTGCCATCAAAAATTAATTATCCCGAAACTTTTTCACATTTTGAGGTAAGAATTGATGGAAGCTGGAGCACGTTACCTTGTACGATACCATTTAAAAAGATCAATGTTATTTGCCAACGAGTTTACGGTGATTTTGAAGAATTTTCAATCAATTTTCTTAACTTCAAACAGATAGAGCTGGAACTTGGATGAAAAGGAAGACACAAAAACTGAAATGCAGTGAGTTTTTCTCCTTTTCTCCTTTTTTCCGAAAAATTTAATTTTTTCACTATCAATTTCAGGCTGTGTAACAACCGTGACGGTCATCGCAAGTATCGGAACGTTCATTTTTTTGATGATCGGCATTATTTTGGGTTTCCATGCTTTAATGGAGCAAATTGGACTTTTTGATGAGGAATCACAAGATATTTCTGATGAACCTGATTATGTCTCCCAATAAATCTAATTCGTCTTGTTCCGAGTTTTTTATTTTTGTTGCTGAGAAAAACGAATGAAAAAACTAGTTTTTCATTCGAAGGCTACTGTACTCAAAGTCTGGTGTGTCTGCGGAACAGGCATTTAACCCAACGACTGTTTTTTTTCAAATTTTAGTTTCGAATTCATTTTTCACTTTTTTACCTCGCTTCTTCGTATTTTCGCTTTCACTTTGGTTTTAGTATCAAAATTGAAATTCAGAACATGGCGGGGAACGGCCCGATGGCCGTGGAGCACTTGGGTGCCGAAGCGGAAGACTTTTGCGTCTCCCAACATTTATATCTGAAACCGACTGCACTTTTAAAAATCACTGTTCTTTTGCCAAAGGTTTTTCGAAATTGAAAAAATTGTTGAATTTAATAACTTTGTGATTTAGATGCGGATACCGGGACAATCGATTTCGAATTGGGATTTGATGGAGAGGCTTAAAAAAGCGGTGGCTCCGGTTCAGGTGCTTGGAAGTTTTTCAAAGGCGCTGAGAATATCATTTTTACTGTTATTTAATGTATCTTTTGAGTGAGGATATTTAAAAAGACATTTTTTTTTGCTCCGTTGAACGTATTAAATACCCTTGATTTTCTGGTTTTTCAGCTCGATTCAATCCGAGTTCGGGAAAGTTCAATGGACAGTGTTGCGTTTGAAGCCGAACTCTTGTCTCAAATGATTATGAAAAAAGTAGTGATGAAATATCATTTTATAAACTCACGATCTTTTCCAGACGATCAAAGCTTTGAATTCGGTGACTATGAAGGTTAGCGGATTTTCGGAATCTTTGAAAGTCAAGGCGGAGGAAGCACAAAGCGATTTCCCAACACGACACGATTGGGACTTGTTCTTTATGAAAAAAATAAAGTATTTTATTGCATTCGAATTTTTTTGAAAGTGATTTTTATCGGTTCAGATGAACGAGACGAAGCCCGGCGAACGTCCAGATACGGTTTATTTGGCCAAGATTCCGGTCAAATGGTTCAATGTGTTTTTTTCTGCTTCCAATGGAAACAGCGGATGATTTTTCTTGTTTTTTTGCGAATTTTTTTCGAAAGCGTTTTTTTAGTTTAGTTTGTTAGCTAGATTTCTATTGGACGTTTTGGTATTTAAAAAAACTTCTTTTTTTAAATTTATATAAGATATTTTTTTCATTTTTTCACAAAAGGAACAGGAATACTGTGGGAACATGATTTTTTTGAATAATTTTTTTATTGATTTTGTCGAATTGATCTAGATTTTTGATTTGTGATGAGTTTTTTCAATAAATTTTGTATAATTTAAATGAAGCCGTCTTGAAAATTCTAGGTGGAAAAAGGGAGAAAAGTCGAAAAAAATAAATAAACAAAATATGTTTATTCTTGGCGAAACTTTCGTTAAAAGGTCTAGGCTTCTTCAAACACTCCTTTAAAATGATTTTAACTTTTTTTTTTTTCGGAAAAAAAGAGTATTTACATAAAACTAATTATAATGAATGATTTTGGAAGAAAAAAATTGAATTTTTATACGTTAGTAATTCGAAAACATGATTTAGTGCAAGATTTCCATGGATATATCTTCTCAATACTCCTTTTTTCTTACTTATTTTACATATAAGTTTATAATTTCCTGTTTTGAAGGACGGCGTGATCGATTTGCCTTCGGAGAATCGTTTGAAACGGGCCATGGAACTCTTCGGGAAAGTTCGAGCCGTCGATATTCCAATTTGCGACCCGCTGAGGCCGATGATGCCCGCCAAAATTTCTGGCATCAAGACCAAGGGTTTCGGCGTTCATCAGGTTTGATTTTTTGATGAAAAATATGTGTTATCTTTCGAAGGGAACTTGGAAAATGACTGAAAACTGCCCCAAAGCATTTTAGAAGGTTATTTTGAAAAAAAAGGTAAATGATCTTTATCAAGTTTAGTTCCGTTGGTTTTTTTTTGAGTCCTATAAAAGCCTAAAAATGGTCCCAAAACACTGTAGAATGTTGTTTTTATTATCATTTTTTTGATGAAAATAATTAAATGATGGGTTTTTAAAAGACTTGGAACGTGTTTCTTATTTTCTCGTGAAGCTTGAAAAGGGCCTGAAAAGGGTCCCAAAGCCTTTTAGAATGTTGTTCATTTGAAAATAAAAAGCGGTGTTTATCAAGTTTCATTTTGTAGATTTTATTATTTTTTTATTTTTTATCATTCAAAGGAAGCTTAAAAAAATGTCCAAAAAAAGTTTCAAGATTTTTTTAGAAAGTTATTGAAATTAAAAATAAAATAAAGAAATGAGTAGTCTTTATCAGGTTTCACATTGTTGATTTTTGAATTGAAATGTGCTTTTTTTCCTAGTGAAACTTGAAAAAAATACCTGAAAATATTCTAAAGCTGTTTAGGAAGTTGATTTTTCCTTTGAAAAAAATAAATGAATAATCTTTTTAAAGACTTAGCTTTTTTTCGGTTATGTGTTATCCTTCGAATGAAATTTTTAAAAAAACTTGGAAATAAATCATTAAACAATAAAAAAATTTTTGGTAAAAAAACTGCGTTTCTTCATTTTTTTATAGTTTACTTCAAGTAAAAAGCCTTTGTTCTGTAATTTTTGGATTTTTTTAGTTCAAAAATAATACGGCATTACAATGTTAATTTTAACTTTTTTGCTCCTTTTTCTCTGCATTTTTATTCTTTAAGAACCTCTTCTTCGAAGCCTACGTCCAATACATGGAATACAAAGGTTTTGCGACGGCGATGGATCAGCTGAGGAATAAAAAATGGGCGAAAAGGATTGATGGGAAATTTTTCCAGGCCGCTGTCAAGGTTTCTTTTTCGGTTATTTTTTCGTGAAAATGGCAAAATTCAGTCATTTTCATTGGAAAAAATGAAGCTAAATGTTTCAATATGCATTTTAAAAATAAAATTATTGCTTCTTGTTTAGAATTCTATTCAAAATTTGAACTTTTTTTCAGGGAGAAACTATTATTTTTTTAGACCTTTTTCAAAAGTTTATCCATTTTTTTGTTAAGAACCACTTTTACCTGAAAAAAAATTCTGATTTTTTTCAAAAATTTTTTTATACCGCCACACGAATCTCTCCGCTCCACACAAACGACGCCTCTCGTATAGGTTTGACTTTTTGCAAAAAAATAAAAAAATGTATTGAAATATTTCTCGAGGTGGACTTTGACCGGACGAGCCACCTCAGTGAGACGATGATTTTGAACCGTCTGGATGAGAGGAGAAGGATTCTCAACGAGAAATTGAAGAAAGAGGAGGACGAACAGACCGCCAGGTTCCTCGTTTCCTCATTGGACTTCATCGAGATTTTTGAGAGATTGAAATAAATTGATAGATATTCAAGCTTGATGAGAATGCTCTTTGTATCCGAGTGAGATAATTATCCAGATTTCTGAACTTTCTTTGGAAAAAAAATAATAAATTTTTTCTCAACAAAAGTCTTCCTCGGATTTTTCAAATGAACCGGGGGCTTTCAAAACTTTAAAGGACACCTTAAAATGAGTCTTCGCCTTGAGACCTTCATGAAGTTTGCCCATGCGCCTTTAAAATTTTCCCAGCGGAAAAAATTTTTTAAACCTTCACAAAATTTTTTTGACGACCAAAAATGAAATTATCAGTCTTGAAGGAATGGTCTGACGTTCCATTATTTTTACTAAAAAAATATTTTGATCAACTTCCTAAAGTTAATATTCTCTAAGAAGCTCACAAGCTTAAAAAAGGCTCTAAAAATCAGAAAACAAATGATTCATTCCTACAAAAAACCGAAAAAGACGATATTTACTTGAATCACAACATGTTGAGCCATTCCAAATGCGGTTCTGGGACTTTTTCAAGATTTTCTCATAATATTTTTTTAGGGACTTTAATGTGTTTTGTTCAATTTTATGTTGTTTTTAAAACGTAACTTGAAAAAATTTGGTCATTTCCATTCCTATGGAACCCTTTTTTCCTACCATTTCTGAGGAACATTATCCCAAAACCACGGACCTGTAATTAATTTTCATTCAATGTTTCCATAGTCAAAAAAAATGCTATATCTAGGTTCAAAGTATTCGTTTTATATCTAAATCACTCTAAATTTACGCAACTCTTGTTTTAGAGTATTGGAAGAACTCAAGCAAAAACAAGAGGAAGATGAGAAAGAACAGCGGCGAGAGGAAAGAGAACGGAAAAGAAGGGAAAAGGTTCCTTTTTCGATACAATTTTCCTGAACTTCGATTTTATCATCATTTTTCAGAAAGAACTCGAAAGACAGCAGGAAATCGAAAGACAGAGATTGGAAGCGGAAAATCTTGAAATGGAACGGAGGGCGAAGCAGAGGAGAATCCTGGAGTCGCAGAGGCTTCTGGAATATGTCTTCGAGAGGATCTCTGTCAGTAATTTTGTTATAAATCATTGAATTTTTTTGTTCCTAGGCGAAGGAAGAGAGGAAGAAAAATGCGCGAGGAGGAACAGCTGCGACAGGTCTTGAAAAAGGTAATTAATCGTGAATTCGAAAAAAATAATCCCTTCAGAAAAGCTGTTGTAAATTTCACTGTGAACTCTGGATTTTTTTGAAATTTTTGAAGTTATAACTATCATTTTAAGAAGTGAAAGCTTCAGAAATTGGCCAACTTGGAAAAGATCCGAAATTTTGAATTTATCGGTTTCAAGAGTCGAAGAAATCTCTGGAGAAAAATTGACGTGGTGGAAATTGAAGAAAGTTTCCTTTTTTATGAGATGATCAAAAACCCCAATCTGCTAAGTTCTTTTTCAGTATCCTCCCTCAAAAATGTTGATTCAACTAACCAAAAAACCTAGTTAAAAACAATCAAGAAGCTTAGAAGTGGAAAAAGAAACATATGTTGGTTGGATCCCACCCCGGGGTGCGGCCTACCTCCTCCCGAAAAATGCGGCCTCCCCCCCTCCCAAAAATTGCGGCCTACCCCCCGGAAAGTGCGGCCTACCCCACGGAAAGTGCGGCCTACCACCGTAAAGTGCGGCCTATTTCAGTCCATTTTCGAATTTTTTTTTCGCGCTCAAAAGGCTGGAATGGGATCCAGCCGATGTATGAAAAGAAAGCAAATGTTTCACTTTGAAGTGAGAAAAGATTGGAATATCGCTCGCCCCAAGACTGGAAAAGTCGATTGATCCACTTCTCAGGGCTCTACTGTTGGACTGAGATCTCCGAAAATGATAGATAAACATTTTTTCGAGTGATAAAGATGTTCTTGGTAGTCCCGAGATGTTTCAGCTACTGAGTACAACTTTATATCTTCATTTTCCCAAATTCAGATCGACGATTTGGAAGAGCAGCCGGTTGAGAAGGAAGAAGCTCTACGTGAAGCTCTGTTGAAGCAACGGGAACTGAGAATGAGGGAAAGGGTGAATTTTTCGTCAATTTCGGTTTTCCGGGTCAAAAGTGAGTGTAAATCTTGAAAAAACTGGTTTTTGGTGAAAAAAGAAGGGTTTTATTCAAAAAAAACGGGCTTTTGAGCCTTTTTTTCATTGGCTTTTTTCGAAAATGAAGGGTTTTTGGATATTTTGATATAAGAACAGAGGAAAAATTTGTAGAAAATTGGGATTTTTGGTTCGAAAAAACAGAATTTCATTCGAAATAGTGAGCAATTTTTAATTTTTTACCGGTTTCCCTTCAGTTTTTTTTTTATTTTTGAAAAATGACAAGTTTTATCACCTTTTCTAGCCTTTTCATTTGATCAATAAATTTTCGAAGACGGAATAACGATTTTTTTTCAGCTCAAGGAGAAAATGAAGCTGGCCGCCCTGGAGAAAGAACTGTCCAAAGAGTCTTTCTCGAAAAAAGCCTCTAAAAAGAACGGACACAAGGCGAAGAAACGCCGGAGCCGCGACTCGACGTCTTCTGATTCCGACGACTCTTCCTCGACGTCATCTGACACTTATTCCGATTCTTCCAGCGAGGAGGAACGTCAGAAACGCAAGAAGCGCAGTCACAAGGTTGGTGTGGAAGATTTGAGGGGAAAGTGTGCTCGATTGATAATGTTAAAACAAAAAAGGGAGATAGTTCGATCGGAAAAATTGGTAAAAGACTAATTTTAAGGGAGAATTTAAGCTCCAACGATAATTTAGAAGGAAAAATAGTTAATTTGAGAATCACCGAAGAAAAATATAGAGTGAAAACGGTCTAGGAGGTTGTTTTTGTCAATATCTCCAGTTGAATATCTTTGGGGGCTTTTTAAATCTGGAAATTGTGCTCTAATGATAATCAGACGTCGGAAAGACGTTTTATCGGACCCATAGGACGTCTGAGATTTTGTAGGGAAGACTTGAAAGTGCTGCTTAAGGGGTCCCTAGAAACGCTCAGGACTGTCCGGTTTTTTTTTATAAAAAGAGCAGGAGAATTATATCAATTCATAAAAACGTGCTTTTCTCAAACCAGTGAAACGTAATCGAAACGAGAAAAAAGTATTTCTTCGATTCCATCAAGAGATTTCCAGAAGAAAAAGAAAAGCTCATCGACGCCCCGAAGAAGTCCCTCAAGGAGAAATCATAAAAAATCGGCCCGGGACCGTAAAAAACGACGTCGAAGCTCTTCTTAACTTAATTTTTATCAATTTTTGATCTCTTTTTAGTTATTTTGCGTTTAAACTTCACTTTATGCATTCCTACTGGTGTTGCCTTCGTGTTGAAGCATCGTTTTTAAATTTCTTCTTTTTTCAATTAACTCATCATGATTTTACGGTGTAATATGTGTGTAAATACGCGTCTTTTTTTGTTGATTTTTAATTTAATAAATGTAATTTTTTAACATTTTTTGTCGTCTTTTTTTGTTTTTGTTCCCTTTTCAATGTATTATACTTTGAAGAATTCGTAAAATCCCTCGCTTTTTATCATTTTTTGAGAGGAAATGCTCAACTTGGCCCGACGGATACGTGAAGCCGATGAACGGGCCGTCCTTCTGGCCGTTTTGAAAGAAGTTTCTTTCGAAATTTCAGGAGAAGACGTGGAAATTATCAACGCGATCGTGGACTCCTTGCCGCGGTTCGCCAAGTTTTTGACCAAAAATGAGGTTTTGGAAGTTTCGAAATGAAAAAAAATATGATGAAAAATTTTTTCCACGAAAAAACGGAATTTCTCGGGTCCTGAAGCGAAAATTTACTTTATTACTGTAGGAAAGTTTTTCTACACCTTTCTGTATTCGAAAAGTAAAATTAAAGGGATTTTGAAGGTATCAAGTCGAATAAAACCTGGAACAGTTAGGTTCTCCATGGAGCGTTCTTGACTAAGAAGGCGGTGGCTATTTTTTCACTTTTCTTTTCTTTGCCGCGGTTCGCCAAGTTTTTGACCAAAAATGAAGTTTTTAAAGACTGAATATGAAAATGAAAAATGCGCTGGATAAAGCATTTTTTCACACGAAAGAAAACAGAATTTTTTGGGTCCTGCAGCGAAAATTTACCTAATTACTGTAGGGATGTTTTTCCACACCTTTCTGTCTTCAAAAAGTTGAAATAAAGGGGTTTAAAAGGTATCAACTCGAATAAAGCCACGAATAGTTAGATTCTCCATCGAGCGCACTTGAATAAAAAAATGCGGAGGCTATTTTTTTCACTTTTTTTCAAAATTTCATACTTGAACAATTTTTTTGAATCTATGGTTTCGTCTGGAAAAAAAAATCAAGGAATCTCGTAGAATTTTTTCATTTTTTCATTTTTGAAGCTTTAAGTTCAAAATTTTCAAAAATAACCCTAGTTCAGTTGAACTCCCGCTTGGAAAACGTGACCCTTTCATTCGACCCTCGACGCAGCATTTTTGCTCTATCGAGAAAGCTCGACGCAAAACTTCCCGAGGCTTTTATTGTCGTCCGCTGGTTTCGGAGGATATTGGAAGAAAAGTTGAGAAGCTGTCTTGAGGCTTCCGTTTCGTTGGATCCGAATGATGGTAGGTTTGGGGGGGTTGAAGTAGGAAGGCGAAAATGTTTTTTTAAAAAAAAAACCTGTTTCAAGTTTATAGTTGTAACAAGCTCAAGCTCCGCCCCTAACCAATCAAGGAGCGAGAGCCTTTTCCAATGACGTCATTGCACTTGACAAAATCTGAACAGACTTGTCCCTATAGGTGCGCCTTCAAAGGTTCCGAATTCACTTCAAATTCCCCTTAAGGGGCCACTAAAGCTTGCAAAAGTGATCCCTATAGGGACATGCTAGTCCTTCATTGTTAAGAACCGCTTTAACGCGAAAAACTCGATGAATTGGCGTTCACAAAGACCAGAAAATTAGGAGACCCCTAAAGGGACCACTTTTTTGACACCTATAAGGGCTTATTCTTCCCTAACACCTCTAGGAGGCTTTGGATTATTCATTTGGGAACTGAAATCGATTTTTCCCTTTTTCCAGACTTCCAACAGCAGTCCTACTCGGAAATGGCAATTTCTCTGTCTTCTCTCCCCGATCGAATCGCGAATTGTCGTTTGACAGCGACGTCTTCAGAAGACGCCGATGACGTCAACGACTGCATCAGATCCTTCGAAGACGTCGTCGTGACGTCACTCAAATCGACTCTCTCAAAAGCCCATGAAGACTTGGGACGTGCCGACGTTGTTAATCTGCGAACAATTGCCCAAATTATCATGGTGTCGAGAAATTTGAGACTTTCTGGGGTTAGAAATTCACCGAATCCTTTGAAAATACCATTTTTCAAGAACTCCACACTGCTCTCAACGATTTTCCACTGGTTGTGCTCTCAAACCCCCTCGGATCCGAAATGGGATCGGGTCTCGCAGCGAATCTTCACCGACGAGGGTTACGGTATCCGGGAATTCGAAGCGATGGTCGTTGGCCTGGTGTTGGAGGCCGAGAATTCGGATCAGTTGATGGTTTGTTATAGCTGGTTCACGGCTAGCTTGAGACTCTGAGGGGCGTGTCCTGTCTGCGCTCTCCACGACCCAGGCGCTGTCTCGTATTTTATCGTGTCAGGACCATTTTTTCGATGGTTCAAGTCAGCCGTGAATCAGCGATAGCTAGAAAATTGAGGAAACTTTCAAAAATGGCTTTTTTTTTTGACTATTTTTGGGCGAAATCTAGTTTTTTAGGAGCTTTTTTAGTATTTAGAAGTTGAAAAAAATTTATTGAAAGCTGTAATTTTTTTGTGTTTGATGACTTGAAATTTTGGCCTTAAAAAAATGGTCGTGGTGCGTTTTTGGGGCGAGATTTAACTCCCCCTTCGTCAGATTTTGAATATTGAGTCGTCGCTCAAGCTCCGCCCCTAACAGAGCGATGAACCAATCAGAAAGCCGGCCCACAGAGCATTTTCCAATGACGTCATTGGACTTGACGTTCAGAATCTGGACAGACTTGCAAGAAGGCGAAAAGAAAAAGATATACTTTCCAGAGAGTCTTCGGCTACTCCATCCAAAAATCACCGACCTTGCAACGGATTTGCACGAAGAAGCTGCTTTTCCAAAGGAATCTTCCGGTTCCGGCCCTCATCGCCCTCATGGATTTTATCCGAAGAGCTGCCGGGAAAGATGTCCTTCTCAGTGTTCTGGATGTTCGTTTCGTTCAGAGTTATTGAACCTATAGTCTATACAAATGACAAGCAGCTAACTCCGCCCCCCGGATTACAGTACGCTTTCGTGTCGATTAATTGCTCGCGATGATGATATTTCGATAGCGTTTCTTTAATTTGTTCCATTCTGATCTAACAGCTTCAAAAAAGAAAAGAACCCTTTCCAAATCCAAAAATGCTCCAAAAACATTAAAAATCAAAAAACACTGACGTAATAAATTTAAACGTCAAAAAACCGTGGAAGGGTTTCATTTCAACCGACCCGAAACGGTTTCCGACGGTCCACGTCATTTTTTGTAATGAATCCTCGACCACCTACGTTTCAAACTCTAGACAAGAAGACTGACTTGCTTTGTTAAGTGTTGCTTTTGTGTTTTTTGGTAGATCCTTCTAATTTCAATTGAAAACCTTCTGGAAAACCATGAATATTTCAAAAGCCTTTCTAATTTGTTGTTTTTAGCCCTATAGGGAACTCTATTAGAAAATGCCTTTATTCTCAAAAATCGCGAGGACACTAAAGTGGCCACTAAACCCGCCTTTATAGTGGCCACTATTTTCCGTTTTAGTGGCCACTATAGAGGTTCTCTACTTAGTGGCCACTTCAGTAGTTACTGCAAAACGCCTTTTTGGCGGGAACTCAAGCTTTCCTTTCTCCGACTTTAAATTATTTTTTCTCCAAAACTAGCAAGTTTGGTACGTTTTCAAGTTCACTGTTCAATTCGCAATGAAAATCATTACAAAGTACCGCTTCGAACTAAAACACCGTTTTTTACTGCCCCTATGCCTTTAAGAAAACCATCAGAATCCTCTATATTCGATTATTTTTTCCCTTTTTCTCGGAAACTAGAAGTTACTGGTTCCAGGATCTCCATCTGGTACACCAAGAACCGACCTGGCCAATTTTTGAAAAAAATCCCAACCAGAAAGTAAAATGACCTTCCTTATTAGAAACGTTAGAAGTTGATTCAGAGGTCTTCGATATTTTCCCACACCAAGGATTTCTTATATCTTTTTTGAAAGCCATGGTTTCAGGACAATAATCTTTGGAAATTCTCTTCTTTCTCAGATTTCTAGGATTTTTTCAAGCAGAGTTGAGAACTTCATGAGAAAGTAGATGGTGGACTGATAAGAGGAAGTGGAATTGAAAACCCGGAATGGTTGAAGAATTTGATTGATTTTAATGAAAAAGTTTCTCTCATAGGAAAATCAGGTTCTCAAAAGGATCATTTTAGTGGGAAATTTTGATTTTGAAGGTTTTTCCACAACGTTCTTTGATAGAAAAAATCAATTGTTCAAAAAAGACAGAAACGAAAAAGCCACTGGAATGGTTCCTTTCCACCGAATTTTTCGACAAAAACTTAAAGCTATAACTACAAAAAAGTATATGATGAAGAGTCCTTCAAGTCGCAAAATCACATTTTTTGAGTTTTGATACTTGAAAATTGCAAAATAGTGGTTTCAGACGTGATTTCGTAACTCAAATTCAGAAAAATCATATCTCCAGAAAATTTTTCGAAATCAGCGACTATAAAGGATTTGATCTTAGTTTTTCGAAAATTTTTCACGAAATTGCAACTAAAACTTCACACTGATGTGAACTCCCTATTTTCTGACTTTGGACCTCAAATTCAGTTCATTTTTCTTTTTGATGCGCTTTCCTAGGTTGAAATAAAGATTTTAGTGATTTCTTTGCCCAAAAAAATCGTTAAAGCTCATCCGCTCTACTGGGAAAATTTTAAGGGGCCCTTTTAGGGTTCTGACGTTTTAGTGGTCACTATGGTAGTCGAATTAGTGGCCTCTTGAGTGAATGAAATTCAGCGACTCTTTAGGAGTCTATGTGGTACCCCTAGACCACTAAAACCACTATAGTGACCACTAAAACCCAAAATAGTGACTTCTATAGAAGTGGGTTTAGTGGCCACTTTAGTTAGGGACCGCAAAGCCACGCCCCTTTTCGCGATAGAAAAAGTGGCTTTTTTTTGGTTTTCAACTTTAATTTTGCTGTAGTTGCAAAATGTGTGGAACTGGATAATAAATTTTGACACACATGTACAGAAAAGCTTCCTCTTTCGTTTAAAAAATATTTCACGCTTTTTTGATGCGTTCGCGCGGAATGTCGTACAAAAAAACGTGAATGGAACTCAAAAAAATTTTTGTCATTTTTTTGCTTTTTTTCATGTGTTTTTAGGTCGAACGCACTCTTTCTTTTTTTAAATAATGATTTTGATTCAAGTAACGGTAATTTTAAAACAATAAAATAAAAAATTCGTCTTTGCCAAAAATTTACGGGGCCGTTTTAATGCAGCGATCGTTAAACGAGGCAAAAAGCACTAAAAAAAAAAGTTATTTCAAAGTGAATTTCCACGGAAAGTTTGAGTAAAGATTTGCGATCATATTCTGATAAAAAAATAGCTTAATTACTTCAAGTTTTTGATATAGGCAATCTGTGCTATTCAAACGGCTCAAGGATATGGCGGATGGAAGCTCCCCTCGCTAGACCTAACAGCTTGGCGCAGCGCGTGCGCTGCGAATTTTCTTTTTGAGGTCGCGAGTTCGATACCCGCAAGCGCCAGTTTTTTGTTTTCTGGAAAATACCGACTTTTTCGGCAAACTAGCAAATTTTTATCATTTTAGCACTCTATTATGATTTGTCACATCATAATAGACCAGTATCAAAACTTGTTCTGGAAGAAAAATCGAGAAAAATGTCAAAAATGGATAATACCAAAATTTCAGTACTAAAAAAGTGGTGCGCGGCGCGCCACATTTTTCGTCATAACTTTTTTCATCCTTAATCTTTTTCGAAAAACTAAACGGTTCTGAGTTTTCAATCGAAACAGCTATCAAACCATACAAAGCTCAATGCTGAAAAAATTTTTTTGAAAATTCGTCTGCGGTCCCTAACTTTAGTGAGTCTTGAAGAAAAGTCTCAAAATAATCTTATTTTCGTAGCTTTCTTCTAATTTCTTCTATACATATTATCCTGAACTAATCTTTAGTCTTTTTTTATAATAATATAAAAACATTTATCTAATTTTTATAGTTGTACAAGTTTCCCACGTAGGCAGGAGATTATGACGATAAACAAAGAAATAAAGAGAATAATAGAGCCTAGGTACGGATCGAAAGTTTGGAGTACCATTTTGAATGAAAGAAAACGGATTTTGGGAGCAAAGATGAGAATAAGAAGAAATTTTAGCGGTTTCGAGGGTCTGAAATGAAATATTTTCCAGGGGGAAATTTTAAAACTACTTAGGAACGTCAGAGTGGTCACTAGAGGGGTTACGGAGACCTTCCTTATAGTGGAAAAAAAGCTAAAGTTTAGGTGATCCCAGAAGGATTTTAAAATATATTATTTGAGAATAAGTGGTCCCTATAGCGGCCTCAAAAGCTTTTTTCATCTAAATCCATCTTAGTCCACTAGAATGATCCCTCACACCGACCATTAACTGTCAAGCATACGCTTCATTCTGAGGATAATTAAGAAATGATTTTCCTCGACTTGTTCTTACGAGAGTCGGGGGAAAAACAAAGCCATTTATCTGCTATATTCAAAAATATTTTCCTAATGAAGTTTAAAAATGTAAAATACCATCAAGACCCTGACACCCCAGAGTGGCCCCTTTTGCAAGCTTTAGAGACTCCTTAAAAGTGTGGTGGTCCCTAGAGGGGAACCTGCAAGAGCCTTTAAGGTTACCCCTTTAGTGACCACTCTGGCGCTCCTAAGTACTCATAGAAGTTGGACTGGGAAAGTTGTTAGTGGCCACTATAGAGGCTCGCCAAGGACTACTTGGAGAGGACACTAAAGGGGCCACTATTTTCCGTTTTAGTGGCCACTTCAGTAGTTTTTCATCCAGTATTCCTTCCGGTAACTCTGATAATTTTAAAACAAACAGATTGGACCAGTTTAATTGATCCATTGACCCCTAAAGTAACCACTAAAAGTGGTCTAGTAGCCCTTAGACCTCTATAGTGGCCTCCATTTTTTAACACCTTAAGCAGCCACTAATTTGACTACTGTAGTTGCCACTAAAACGTCAAAACCCTATGACGATGATCCTTTAATAGCGCTACATTTATTGACTTTCCTATTAAAGGAACATCGTGCATCGAAATGACGAGAAAAGGTAATGTAGTCATCTGCTTGACGTTCAAAATATTAAGTCATTAAAGTAGAAAAATCGAAAGGTAATGTTGCATTTTTTCCAGACGACTATTTCAATCTGGAGCGGGGCGGCCTTTGTCAAATACACGCCTTCAGAACAACAGAAACACATTTCCCGAGTATTCCTGCTGGTTATTCGAATGATCTCGTTTGATTTCAACTCCGAATCCTCAAAAAATTCCTGTTTTTTGTAGGGAATCCAAGTTTGAAATCGATTGGAGCCTGAAAATGGTCCAAGTGATCAGCGGCGTTCAGACGCGGATGGAAAGCGCCGGTGAGAATTTTCAAAAAAAAAGAAAGGAAGTTTTACTGGGAAATTGGTTTTTACTAAGAAAAATTGAATAATCATGTTTTTTTCGGGACTTTAACAAAAATTCAGGAAAATCGGACAGATTATTCAAAAACAGCGAGTTTCATTAATATGAGAATATTTTTCGACCATATATATATAAATTCGTCAATTTTTCGAGAATTTTCACTAGGAAAAAAATAGTTATTTCGGTCCCTATAGGGGGAACCTTAGGATCCCTTGAAGGGACCACTTTACCAACCCCTATAGGGACCACTTAAGCTTGCAAAAGTGGTCCCTATAGGGGACAGGATAATCGATGATTTTTCCATGAGAAAAATTTAATAAATAAGCGTTTTTGAGGGAAATTGAGAAACCCCTATAGGGTCCACTTGAGCTTTGGGGGCAAGGGGTCAGACCATGAACCTCTAAAGGGGTGGCTAGAGATCCCCATAGGGATCAATTCCATTTTAACTCTACATAATTATGCGTCGCAGTGTATAGGGACCACGTTTTCAGCCCCTGTAAGTTTTATCTTCTTCCCTAACCCCTATAGGGACCACTCTGAGATTACTGAGTCAGGACCCGTTTTTCAATGCCTCTCAAGACAGCCGTGAATCAACTATACGTTTATTCCCAATTATCAAAATGATCCATTTTATTTCCAGACACGATGATCCGACAATCCGGCATGTTCATCGGCGAAAAACTGTCCGGATTGGCCGAGAAGAACTTGGAAGCCAAGAATGACGACAAAAAGAGATTGAAGTTCGATTATGAGGAAGACGGATGGACCAAGGAAATGCGAAGGTTTTTAGAAAAATTGGGGAGAAAATATTTTTCTATAAGAGAGATTCGTCATTGGAAATATGCGTTATATCCATTGATATAAGGAAAAATTGATTTGTAAAATTAAAAAAGTCCGTTTTCCGGAATTTCAGACCAAACTCGAAAATTGGGCTTAGTTTAAACTTTTTTCGGGTTTTCCTAACTTTTCAAAACTTCTAGACAGAAATCTAAAGATCTTCCTCTGAGCGATTCTAGGCATCCCTTAAGAGTTCTGAGGCTACTAAAGGGATCACTAGAAACGATCCGACACGTCCGACTTTCCGGGAACATTTCTAGTGGCCACTATAGAGGATCGCCAATGACTACTTGAAGAGGACACTAAAGTGGCCACTAAACCCACCTCTACAGTGACCACTTCAGTAGTTTTTCATCCAGTATTCCTTCCATCAACTCTGATAATTTCAAAACAAACAGATTGGATCAGTTATGAGGATCCATTGACCCCTAAAGGGACCACTTAACTTTTAAGGGGTCTATTAGTAGCACTTAGACCCCTGAAGTGGTCACTTATTTTTAAGCCCTTAAGTGGTCACTAATTTGACTACTATAGTGGCCACTAAACGTCAAAACCCTATAGAGGTCGCTAAAAATTTTTGCAGTTCTTTTTTCTTTTTCAAGTACTTTGATGAAAATTTAGCTATTTTTGTAAATCTATTCTTGGTCAGCGAATCACCAGAATAAAAGGATTATTCAAGTCCTCATCCGGGTTACTGTACATTTTTAAACTTTTCAGGTTATATGAAGAAAATCTTCAAGAGTCTAAAGAAGCTGAAAAAATGGAAGAAGTTAGTTAAAATAAATATTTTCCCTAAATTTTTTCCGGAATCCCAGGAACCACAACCGAGCACATCATATTCTACACTGCCGGAAAAGTTGAAAGATGTAAAAATCGATCAAAGTCGCCAATTGGACAGCGATGACGACGAAGATTTCCCGGTTTATGAGGTTCCGGAAGAAGAAAGGCGATTTGTGAAGGTGAATATGAGTTTTTTTAGAAATATTTTTCTCTTGAAAAAAATATTTTTTTCAATGAGAATTGACCCTGAAATTGGAGAAAAGAGATAGGAAAAAAATCTAAAATTTTTCAAACGAAACATTGAAAATTGTGAAAAAAATCAGTCAAAAAAAATTACAATTTTGAAGTTGTAAGCCTTTATTCTTAGAATTAGGAATTTCCCAAAAGTTGATTTTAACCTTTTTGAAAGAAAAATCGGAACAAAAGCTCGAAAAAAAGGAAATTTTAAAACCTCAATCTTCAATTTAAGCTCTGAAAATCTAGAAATCATTTTTTTTTTTTTTGGTTGATCCGAAATCTATATTTAGTTCTCGCAGGTGAGCTTGAAAATGATGAAAAATCACCAAAACTTGATCGTTTTCTATATTTTAATGAAAAAAAGCCTGGAAAAAAACCATTATTCGAAGTTATTTATCCACCCAGTAAATCCACAAAGATCGGCTCCCAGTACTGCGCCCCAGTCGCAATAAACCGCGCCCCAATTGCAATATGCCACGCCCACTGGCAAAAAAATAATCTTGTTTAGGAAAAAAATGCGCTCTAGATAATGAAATTTAACATAGAATTGGACTTTTTAGATTTTTAATTCAATTAAAGCTATTAAACTCCGGAATTTTTTTCTTTTTTTGCGAGCTGGTTTTTAAAAAGAAGCTTTTTTTCCAGGGAACTGATGGAAAAGAGCCGGAAAGACGAGGACCGCCGCCGAATTATATCAGCGACGCTTTCGAAAGGCTTCTCGAGAAGGAAAAGTATGAGGTACCGAGAAGAAAAAGACCAAGAAACTTATTTTTACGATGCCTTTTCAGATCTTCGAGGCCTCCTTGAATGCTCTGGAATCGATGATCAAGAGAAAAGCCTTGGGATTCTCGAATATAGCCCGACAATTGGCAACGAGACTCATTTTCCTCGATGATTCTTTTGGAACCCCAAATTTTGAGGTGAAAATCAAAAATTTGTTTCTGCCTCTCTTTGAAGCATTTCTAAGGAAAATTCCCAAAAAAAGCTGTATTTACGGTAGCTTTTTCTTTGCTGTGCTTCAAATTAATTGCGCGAAAGAATTGTGAATAAAAGTTGACGTGAAAATGATCCGAAATGAGCGGAAAATTGGTGCGAAATAGGACAATGTTGGCTACGAGACTCATTTTCCTCGATGATTCTTTTGGAACCCCAAATTTTGAGGTGAAAATCAAAAATTTGTTTCTGCCTCTCTTTGAAGCATTTCTAAGGAAAATTCCCAAAAAAAGCTGTATTTACGGTAGCTTTTTCTTTGCTGTGCTTCAAATTAATTGCGCGAAAGAATTGTGAATAAAAGTTGACGTGAAAATGATCCGAAATGAGCGGAAAATTGGTGCGAAATAGGACAATGTTGGCTACGAGACTCATTTTCCTCGATGATTCTTTTGGAACCCCAAATTTTGAGGTGAAAATCAAAAATTTGTTTCTGCCTCTCTTTGAAGCATTTCTAAGGAAAATTCCCAAAAAAAGCTGTATTTACGGTAGCTTTTTCTTTGCTGTGCTTCAAATTAATTGCGCGAAAGAATTGTGAATAAAAGTTGACGTGAAAATGATCCGAAATGAGCGGAAAATTGGTGCGAAATAGGACAATGTTGGCTACGAGACTCATTTTTCCTCGATGATTCTTTTGGAACCCCAAATTTTGAGGTGAAAATCAAAAATTTGTTTCTGCCTCTCTTTGAAGCATTTCTAAGGAAAATTCCCAAAAAAAGCTGTATTTACGGTAGCTTTTTCTTTGCTGTGCTTCAAATTAATTGCGCGAAAGAATTGTGAATAAAAGTTGACGTGAAAATGATCCGAAATGAGCGGAAAATTGGTGCGAAATAGGACAATGTTGGCTACGAGACTCATTTTCCTCGATGATTCGTTTGGAACCCCAAATTTTAAGGTGAAAATTAAGTTTTTCCCCCATTTTTGCCCGAACAAGTACAGTAAACACTGCAGACTTCATTTCGAAACCTCCTTTTTCGAATTTTTCGAAGCATTTCTAAGGAAAAGTCCCAAAAATAGCTGCGTTTACGGTAGCGTTTTCTTTGCTGCGCTTCAAAATAATCTCGTGGAATAATTGAGAAGAAAATATCCTGAAAAGGCTCAAAAATGAGCGGAAAATTGGTACGAAATGAAGAATTTTTGGCTACGAGGCTCATTTTCCTCGATGATTCGTTTGGAACCTCAAGTTTTAAGGTGAAAAACAAGTTTTTTCCCATTTTTGCCCGAACAAGTACATTACACACTGCAGACTTCATTTCGAAACCTCCTTTTTCGAAGTTTTTCGAAGCATTTCTAAGGAAAAGTCCCAAAAAAAACTGTTTACGGTAGCTTTTTCTTTGCTGTGCTTCATAAAAATCTCTCAGAATATTTGTGAATAAAAATTGACGTGAAAAGGCTCCAAAATAAGCTGCATTTTCGGTAGCTTTTTTTTCGCTGTGCTTCAGAATAATCTCGCGGAATAATTAAAAAAGAAATGTCCTGAAAAGGTTCCAAAATGAGCGGAAAATTGGTGCAAAATGGAACACATTTTTGGATCTTTTCAGAGATGATGAAAAAATTTGGGTTTCTGTTTTTAAACCCCTGAAAGGACCACCTAGATTGAATCTCTCTAGGGAGCACTATTTTGTCCCTGACCCCTCAAAGAACCACTCTGCCGTTTCCAAGCTCTCAAGCCCAAGTCTTTTGGATTTCGCCAAGTTTTTTTTTCTCAGGAAACTCGGAAAAAGTGCACCGTCGGCTGCTGTGTCCAAATGCCACAAATCGTGCCGGATCTCGTCAATTTGATGTTTTCCAGCGATTGTAACATGTCTAGACGGTTTTCAGCTTCAAAAATAAAATCTCCAAAAAAAATCATTTTTCTTCAGTTATCTAATCTTGGAGTGTGTCCACACGGCGGCCAAAGAACTGGCCGATTTTGGCGCGACTCCGACAAAAATCGTAGAAGATTTGAGCCTTTCTGAGGTTTTCAAAACTGTTTCTTAAGGTGAAAAATGATGTTCAAAATATTCCCGAATGGCGGAAAATTGTCGATGAGCGGATCAAATCGAAAACGAAGCGATTTGGGGCGAATAATCAGTCGGGAGCTGCGAATTTGAAGGTCAATCGGCTTGGAGAGGTCGGTTTTCTATGTTGGAAGGGGCGGAAAAATAGCAAAATAGAAGTTAGAGTGGTCCCTGTAGGGATTAAGAGGAAACACAGCCCCTAAACCTTGAGTGGTCCCTATAGGGGTCTCTCAAAAAGCTTATTTATTCAGTTTTTCGCATGGAAATGCTTCTTCACTTCACAAAAATTATCGATTAGCATGCTCCCCTATAGAGACCACTTTTGCAAGTCTTAGTGGCCCTTATAGGGATTGGTAAAGGGCCCCTAAGGTTGCCCTTATAAGGACCACTCTGGAGATCCTAAAAAGGTAAGTAAGAGTTGAAAAATCAATACTCGAAAAAAGAGCTACAAAAAAAAATCATCTGTAAAATAGCCACTAGGAAATTAGCTTCAAAATGGCAAAAATCAATGGTGAGCCCAAATTTAGCCGCAGAAAAATAGCAGCGCTCATTATTCACAGCTGAAAAAGGACGTGGAATAGCCTTGATAAAAAAGCTCCGAAACTCAAAAAATATGAATTTTTTTTATCTGAAAATAGCTTAAAATTAGCCTTGACAAAATTAATGAAGCAAATAGGCTCAAAACTTCAAAAATATGAAGCTCGGTTTGCAAAATGAGCCTTGAAAAAAAGCTAAAAATTCGAGTGAGCTCCAGAAAAAGAGCCATGAGAAAATAGCCGCGCTTTTCACGGGTATAATCAGTTTTCAAGTGGACTGAATAGAATAAAGGGCTTTTAAAATAAAAAAAATTTGATAATGGAAAAAAAGTTAATAAAAGAGCCGCTGAAATTATAGCTTCAGGTGAAGAGTTTAAAATTAGCTCCAAAAAAATAATCATGAGTAAAATTAGAATTCATGCGTTTTTTTCAAAGACAGATCTGGAAAATCCGCGAAAAAAATAAGCCATGAAAAAAATAGCAGGGCTGAAAAATTTAGCCATCGAATTAAGCTTCTAACCATTCGCTACCTTAAGTGTAAGATGAACAGAAAATCCTCATGTCATTGCTGTTTCTTCAAAACTATTTGTAATTTTTTTCGTTTGAAAATTTTCAATCTCCTTTAAATGGCGTTTAAATAAGGTTCAGTCACTTTTTTTCATATTTTCGAAAATTCAAAAATTTTTTTATTCAGTTTTTAAATTATTTAATTGTAAATGCGTAGAGTTTTTCGATTCTGGTTAGGTTTTACGTTTCGAAAAACCAAATATTGGCTGCTCAAAAAAACAAATTTTGTGTTTTTTTCAATAAATTTCATGTCAATCTTTTAATTTGAACGGAAATCGATATGTCGAAATGCGAAATAAAGTTAATTGAGATTTGAGAGCATTTTTGGGGAAAAATGGAAAAAAATTGAAAAAAATGAGTGGATTGATTGAACATTAGGCATTATATACCGTTATGTAATGTCTTTTTCAGAGCAAATTGTATTTTTCGTGGCTTTTTGGGGGCTATTTTTTTGTCGTGCCCTTTTTTTCGAGCAGGGGGAGGAAGGGACTTTGCATTAGAGGGGAAGGAGTTTGGCATTTAGGGGGACCTTGGCTGTCGCTAGTGAAGCTCTTGAAAATTTTTGGTTGAAAAAAATGCCCAAATACTTCCAAATCTAGTAGTTAGTCGCTATTTGGTCGCGAAACTCCGGTTTTTCATGATTTTTTTTTCCAGGTCTCAAAATATTTCTTCTATCCTCTGTTGGTTCACTCAACCGGCGAGCATCTTTCCCTGAGAGTGAGATTTTTTTTTTCTTGAAAGAAAGTGATGAAGTTATCACTTTAGGGAAAAGATTCGACCCTCTTCGCCCGTGTTATTTTCGTGGCCGCTGACATTTTCCAGAATTCCGGCATGGTCGCGAGTTCTCCGAGAATGGCGAGGTGAGATTAGAAAAAAATATAGAAGGTTTTTTCAGAATTTCACTTTCTCCATTTACCAGTTCTACGTGCGGGGGGAAGGGGGAAGTTTGAAAATCAATTGAAAAGTCGATTTCTGGTCGCATTTGGAATGGTTCGAAGTGTCGTTTGAGCTAGGGCTTGAGATTCGGGATAAGTCCATGCGCAAGTCGTTTTCCGGTCGGGCGCACTTTCCGAAATGCAATCTTTCTACCGTTTCTTCTGCGAATCGCTCAAAAATAACACGAAAAAAATCTGAAGGGTTCAAAATTGTGAAAGGAACTTCAAAAATTCAAAAAAAAAAATCAAAAAATTTTTTCAAGATTTTTTGATTTTTTCAGCAAACTAATCGAGTACACGGCGAGTTTACGGTATCACGACGACGCCTGGGTCCGCGTTTCTGTACTTTACGCACATTGGGCCATCGTCGAAACTTTGAATCGAGAGGTATAAATATTCCAAAGAAAGGAAAATTTAAATTGAAACGAAAAAATTGAAGAAAAAAAAGACAAAAAAATTGTTCAATTTTTTTGAACGGATTTTTTTCGAAATTTTTGAACATTTTTTTACTGATAGCGAGCAGAATAATATGAATTCAACCTCTGGGGAATTATTTTTAATCCCGATTTTGACTCGAAATGCGAGAAAAAAATACATAAAAAAATTCAAAAAAATTGCCAAAAAAAGATTTAAAAAAATGTCCTTTTTTTAAAAATTTTTTTCTCTTGAATTTATCAAGCTCTTAATAATTTTTTTAACTTTTTCTGACTGATTTTTTTAGAGATTTTTTTAGCTCTCCTGAAAATTTTTGAGATTCCTGAGTTTTTTTAAAATAACTATTCGAATCCTCAAAATTTTTGGACTTAAATTACCTGAAAATGCGGGAAATTCCGCTTTTTCTGTTTCCAAAAAAACATTGTATTCTTAAAATCATTTTTTTAGAGAAACTTGAACTCCGTAGAAACCTCAAAGCTCAGAAAAAAAATTAGGAAATTCGTAGAGAAAGAAATTTGAAAAAAAAAAAGCGAATTTAGCAAACTTTGAAACACTGATAAAGCTTGCCATACTGTAATTCCTGTCATTGAAAAATGGTTTTTATTAAACTTCTGTTAATTTTTGAACTGTTCTAACCGAATTCCTTAAGTTGCTAGCCTTCCCAGGAAGCTTAGAAATTTCAAACTTTAAATTTTTGCTCCCAAATGACCTTAATAAAACCCTCAAACTGCCCAAAAGTGGGTCCCGAAACGAAGAGGTGAAGAAAAGATGTTTTAATAGGTATAAGAATGGAATTTCTTCCCTTCCTGTAGTAGAAATCAATAAGGAGCAGCTGTACTTTTCGAATTCTCATCGTTTTATCACTGATAAACTTGAAAACTCTTGTTTTACCTGGTGGAAATCGATACGAAGCAGCTCCTTTCTCGAATTTCGAAATTAGTTGTTTTCTCTAAGTTTCTAAGGTTTTGGGATAGTTAACATCGTAGCAACCAGCGGATCTTCGTCTCGGGACCTTTTTTTATCAGAAATTTTCCGTTTTCGCATTTTATTAAGATTGGGAAGGCTTTTCAATACTTGATGTTTGTATCAATCGATTCAGAATGTGAAGATCTATAAGAGGGATTGTGAATCTTTGAATTTGAAGAATTTTTAAACACGAAAATTTGAACAGAAGCGATTTTGAAAGATCTTTTCAAATACCGTAGTAAGGGAGATGTACAGGAGCAATGTTGCTTTTTTTCTTTTTTTATTACGATTTTTCATATTTTTTTCGCATTTTATTAGGATTGGGAAAAAGTTATAGTACTTGAATGTTGTATCAATGGATTCAGAAGAAAAAGTTGTTCTAAGGAGTTGGAGGTTTTTTGATTTGAATGAGCCTTTAAATTTTTAAAAAAAGCGTTTCTGATATTTGCTTGAAATACCGTAGTCTTGCAGGTATATTAAAGAGGCGTTTCTTTTTTTCTTGCCGTATTTTTCGAAAATCTGTCTCTTTGATACTTCCTAAATTATCAAAAAAATAGGATTTGAGTGAACTTTGACTTTTTTTAAATAATATATATTCATTTTTCCGCAAAGCTAAAGCTCTCCGGTTGCATAGGAAAGGCTTGAAGCATTAATATAGCCCATTCCGCCCCAGAGTGTTACGATTTTTGATCTTCTCCGAGCTACGGAACCATTCCGGGAAGCTCCCCTTTGATGCGCGCCGTCTGTCTCTATGCTTAGGCCAAAATTTCCATTATTTTAAAGGCGCATGCACAGAGACAAGCGCTGCGCATCGAAGGGAAGAGTCCTGTTGCTCGAAAACCGTGACGAGCTGGCGCGGACTCACCGCGTATTTTTACGACGCCACGCTCACAATTTCCGTAACTTTCGATGTATTTGGTGCACACACAGCGACGCTAACTCGCATACTCATTAAATTTGAAAAAATTGTTTTCTTTGAAAAATGGCGTTTTTTCAACACCTGGAAAAAATTTATTCTTTTACAGGCCCATTTTCTAGTTTTTTTATTTAAATTTTGGTTCGCAAATATCTTATTTTGGTTTCATGTTTTTTTCCTACTAATCGAAAATTTAAAAAAAAAGCATATTTTCTTTTCTCTAGTGAATATAATATTATACTTGTTTTTCCACATCAACATAGGTCTTCAAAAATTTTCGATTTCCAGGTTTTCCTGGCGATTTTTGGCGATCGCATCAACGACTGGGCGATTTGGGCGATCAGCGTCGTGGAAAATGTGGACAGTGAAGAGGGCGAACGGAAAATAGCGGCGCCATTTGCCGCGGCTCTTTTGGCCAAGTCCAAAGAACAAGGAGAATAAAATATATTTTGCATGTCTCATGGGAAAATTGCACTTGAAATATTCAAAAAAGCATGGATATTGAATGAAAAATCTTACGGTCCACCGCAATTTCTGCATGTAGAACATGAAATTTTGCTCGCAAAATTTATCAATTCATAGTATTTTCTTGAAATTTTGTTATTGCATTTCAATTTATTGGTTCTTCTCGTCCTCCCAATAAAGACTTTGAATTTATATTAATTTTCTGTTTTTCGCCTATTTTATTTGGTATGTTCCCAATTTTTATCACTATTTCTGTAGATTTGCGTGGAAGTTTGAACTACTTACAACTCCAGATTGGTCCCTATAGGGGCCAACCTTAGGTGCCCTTTGAGGGTCCCCTTTTACGACCACTTTGCCAACCCTTATAGGGGCCACTGAAGCTTGCAAAAGTGGTCCCTATAAGGGTTACTACATTCTAATAATTTTTATAAACTTCACGCGAAATACAAAATAAATGAGCGTTCTTTTAATGAATTCAAAAGACCCCTATAGGGTCCACTTGAGCTTTAGGTGCTAAGGAGTCAAATCTTGACCCTTATAAACCTAGATTTAAACCCTATAGGGACCCCTTTTTCGGCTCCTATAGGTAGGGGGCGCAAAGCCCCGCCCCTTCACGCCACCAAAATGACGATTTTTTTGTTGCAAAAACTGTTTTGAGGCGTTTATACTAGCTAAAGTCCCATTTTAAAAATGAACTGTTTCTGTTAATCTATGTAATCGACAACGCTCTACAAGACTGAATATTTTAAAAACTATGTATTTTTCAAAAATAAGCGAAAAAGTAAGATTTAACACGAAAAAAACTGACAAGTTTCACAAAATCGTCGCGTTTCAGAAAACCAAGTGAGGAACGCTTCCGAACTTTGAGTTAGTTATACATTAACACTTTCTTTATTTTTTGAGTGAAAATGAAAAAAATCTACCGACGCGAAAAAAATATTAAAGCTTGTAAAGTGACACCAAACTTTGAAGCTGAAATGCGAAAAAATTTCAGCGACATGGTATACTTTTTCCTTTCATTTAAAAAAACTCACAATGTGCTCACAAACAAAAAAATTCAAAAATGAAAAATAATTATTGGGACAGCGAATCAAATTATATTTGAGATTTACCAAAACCTCCTTTTTTTCGTCTGCCTCGTTGACGCATGAGAGAATAGGATCGCGTCTATACTTTTTGATTATGTTATTAAGCGTTCAAAAACTCTACCAATGAAAAAAATTATGAAAAAAATCGATCGACGCGAAAAAAAATAACGGCTTTGAAAAACCTCGAAAAAAATAGCAATTTTTTTGAAATTTCGGAAGATTTCGTGCAAGTGTCCGTAGCAGTGTTTGCGTCAAACACACCGATGCGCCCTTTTAAATGTCGCAGGAGCCGGTTTTTCGGAGTCAAATTGCACTTTTTTTCCTGTTTTTATTTCGAATTAACATTATTTTTTTCATTTTTTTCTTTTTTTCCAAATCGAATGATAATAATTTTTTTCTGAGTAGAGAAAAAGAAAAAAATAAGCTGAAAATTCCTTCTGACCTTTTTTTCTAAGTAGTTTTTTTGATATTTTATCAAAAAAATTCTTATGAGGATTGTACAAAAGATTCATACCAAAAACATGAGGCTCAGTTCGGACAACCTCTCAGAACAGAAAACCGATTTAAAAACGGTCCAGAAACGCGCAAAAAAACATTTAAAAAGAAAAGCGTGCGGCGGCGGGTAAACCGTGAGATTTTTGCCTCCAGTTGTACGCCGCGCGCGCTCGTTTTTTTGGCCATAACTTTTTTTCTTAGTGGAGCTTTTTTTCAAAAAAACTAAACGGATTATGAAAATGGACATTCTCCTCTATCGAACAATGTAAAAAACATATTTTTTGAATCGTTCTGAAGAAATGGCTTGCGGTCCCTACCTATAGGGGCTGTTTTCCCCCTAACCCCTATAGGGACCACTCTGGATGTCCTAAATCTGATTATTGTTCGGAAAATGTTGAAAAGCCACTCTAAAATCACTAACTACTGAAAAAATAGAGCCGGCATTTTTTAGACTTCAACCAATAAAAGATCATACGCCGAAAGTTTTGACCTCTACAGAACCCCGGCCAGTTTGCGGCCGCGCCAAAACAATTGTCATCATTTTTGCCGTCGTCCCATCGATTTTTTCTATCTTTCTACTTTTTTTTTGTATATTTTGACGTAATTTGTGCTTTTTAAGAATTACTTAACACTTTTAATTGCCTGAAGTTCATTAATTTAGAGGAGGTTATGATCAAAAAAAGTTATTTTTGAAATGTGGATTCTCTAAAGTTGATTTTTTTAATGAAATATCTCGGTCTATTCGCTTTTTTTGTATCCTTTTTTTGTATTCAGAAATATTTTTTCAGAAATTCCACGACGACTCCATCCCGAAATAACAGAACTGAGCAAGAAAGCAACTGACAGAAGCAAGCGAATTCAAAAAAAGAATTAGGCTTTTTGGAAAGATTTCGATTTAAGACCTGTATTTTCTATTTGGCAATGTTGCTTTCTTGCTGATTCCTGTCAGCCCTTCGGCTTCGAAAAATGAAAGGTGTTTTCTTTATTGTCATTTTTTTGTGGCGCTTGGATAATCGCAAAAATTTTGTGTTGTATATTTCAGCTTCAAAAATACATGCTTTGAAGAATTTGCGAGTCCGAGCATTAAATTTTTCAATTACTTGAATTATTTTGTCTATTTTTCATTTTTCAGATTTTATTCACGGTGAAGTGACGACGTCGGTCATCTACACGCTTCTTCCTGACGTTGACGTGGCTTCTTTGTTCGGATCGGAGTATGGAACTTCGAAGACTCCAAGGAAACGCTTCAGGTGATTTTGAAAAAAATACGTAAACTTTTTCTAATGAATCGAAAGTCGTGCCTCTTTCAGAGCACTTACTTGGAAAACGTTTGAATTCTTTGTTGATTCTGGATGATCTCAAAAAACTTTCAGATCGGTGGTAACGACGTTCTACTAGAAGAAGTACTAAGAGGAGGGAAGATCCTTGTCGAGGACGTCGGGGAGAGATGCTGCTTCGAACCGGATGACCGAGTTCGTTCGCTTCGAATCTTCTCCAGCAGATGTTCATCTCCAGCTTGACTCGAAGGGTGTGCCTCGTTCAGAGTGACTTCGTGGTTTCCACTCGGCAAACTTGTGAAATAGCGATATTTTGCAAGGTTTTCCCGAGTTGAAATCCCGGAGTCACTCCGAACGAGGCATCACTTCGAGGCCAAACTTGCAGTTGCTCGAAAAAGAAAGTTTTTCGGGGTGTACGAGCCCCTTTGCCACCAAAGAACATAAATTCTTGAAGAAGCGCGCCAGGAAACGGACGCCACCAGATCGATCGTTGGTGACGTCCACACCCGGCGCTGTACTCCAAGAGTCTCTGCAAGTTGGGAGGCAAATGCTTGGCTGGGATTCGAACCCGAGTCCCCAGATCGAGGGACGAGTTGCCTCGCCACTCTACCAAGCCCGCACGCTCGTTCCATTGTCCTCGGCGCCCCATACCGCCGCTGGTCCCGAGTGTTGTCTTGCTTGGGTCGAGAGGCGCCGTTTGACCCCCGACTGTAGTTTGACCCGCGGCGCCAAAACATTGCGTCATCCTTCCACAGCCTTCCATGGCCTTCTAGAACTTCTTCTTGAGTCCATCTTTTTTAATCGTTATGCTTTTTACATAGTTTTAATCAACTTTAAGGTGCTCTTAATGTTTTGAATGATAGTATAGGGTACTTCGAATTTTCTACCATCATTTAATTTACTAATCAGTGCTAAATATTTAGATTTGATTGACCTTCATGACTTTTTGCTATCGATTCTGAAGGATAAAAAATTGAAGCTTGCATATTTGACTACACGATAGTTTGTTATAGTTTTAAAAAAGCTTGACTTCGTATTATCAATCAAGTTATGATATTTTATTCTTCGAAAAAGCTTCTTTTTACTTTGTGTTTCTCATCGCAAATTTTTCAACTTTCAGATGGCTCTAGAAGGTTCTGACGGCGTGGAGAAAGTCGAGCCAATCCTGGATTTGAAGAAGTCCAACAAATATTACCCTGAAAGGTTTCCAATTTAAACGAAAGTTCAAATTTGTTTATTTTCATGTTCCGTCGGGAGCTCTCCAATCCGGCTCTCCGAATGAGAAGATGAGTCATTATTGCTATCTGAAAGAAATACATTTCAAAATTATAGATCCATCGGGGGTGAAGCAGAGTGGATTGGATGATGAATGGCAGGAGAGAATCGATTTCCGTGAGGCGATGAAGCGAAGTCAAAGACACTCAAACAAGTTGAATATTCCTTCGTTGTCAATATTTTGAGAGGTCTATTATTTGTTATTAGGAGCTTAGTTCAAAACGAGAGATTATATGACAAAAATGCATTTTTTCGAATTTTTCCAAACTCGAAAAATTATTCAAGAATTTTTTGCGCCGCACGGATAAGTCAATGGTCATTGAATTTCAAAAGGTAATCTCTTGAATTTTTGGGAAAAAATTTCAAGTTCGATGTGTCCTTGGTGCGCAGAAGTTCAGTCTTCCTTTTTCGACTCGCTCAAAATTGACATTTTTTGTTACTGTTTGAGTCCAGCAACCTTGTCATATACTCTCGAAGGCCCATTCTGGAACTGTGTTATATTTTTTTAATATTAAAAACTAATCTTTTAATTAAGGCATCGAAGATTGATAGGGCGGTGCGGTCACGCTGCTCTGGTCGTCTTCGAGATTTCGTCTTTTCGATTTTAATAAAGTGTTTCTTGAATCTTCCGAAGTTAACAAGGGATGATGACCGCAGCGCGACCGCGTCGTAGGGCGTGATGACTTTTAGGAATCAGTAGAATAAAGTGTTCTTTAAGGGGAAAGGCGCGTTGATTAGTAATAGTTCTTGGAGCCCTAAATTTTTCGTTTAGTAAGAACTTCTCAAACTGGCTGAGATAAATGACGTGCTAGAAGATTCGGAAGTCCATGGATGAAAGGAGTAGAAATATAGTGCAAAGCGTGCTTCAGGTCTTGTTTTTCTGAGATTCCCAAGCTTACATTTCATTCAAAAAGGGTGAGCTTCTTCTTGACTTCGGTCAGAAAGAAGAAAGGGGGCTTTCAGCCGGCTCTTTGGCACGGGGATATTCGTGTCGAGCATGACCTCGGTCACTCTTTCCGGAGGGGAGATCTCAGCCGCTCGGAACCTCTGAGTGGCACTTCGGTCCAACCAAGGAGACTGGTGCACTGTCCCACTCCTCCGTGCTCCTGTTCCCAGTCAGTCTCTCTGACTTCGATTTCAACTGCTTGGAATCTCGGAAGAACTGGACTTTCACGTTACTTTGCACGATATTTGATGGACACTTTTGTATATCGATTGGTCTAGTAAATCCTTCAGGAGCCAAAATCTAGCCTTGGCGCACCAATGCACATCGATGAGTGTAGTAAATTCTCCGGTCGAAGCCGAAACCTTCTTTCATCCGTGATCTTTCAAGTACCATTTTCTTGTATTCTTTCTTTCCTAGATTTTCTTTTCTTCTCTCATCTCCAAAAGAGCTTTTCTCACTTCGGTCAGAAAAAGAAGGCTTCAACCTTCACGGAAGAGAGTTCTCGGCCACTTGGACTCCAAGTGGCAACTTTGGTTTAACCAAGGAGACTGGCGATTTTCCCACTCTTCCGTGCTCCAAGTACACTAGCTTGACTTGTCAGGCTTCGAACTTCTTGGAGATGATCAGAAGAGAAAGACTTGTACATCAAATCTCATCCACTTTGGAGAAGACTTCATTGTATGACTTGTGTGTGAACAGAACACATTGTAATTAAGAAGACTTTATTGAGGGGCATAGAAAAGAGGTCATGACTGACAAGGTGAAGATGAAGATTAGAAAAACGCAATCTGAAAAAAACATTCTTAACTGTAAATTCATCATGATCTGCGAATTGAATTTGTATACTTATTGCTGTTTGAATAAAGAGATTACACTGTTACATTGCACAAGAAGTGATGAATTTGAATTGAAAGATTGCTGTATTTAAACTTGCAATTCTAAATACTTGCAGTTTGAAAAGAAAGAAAGAAATTCAGTATTGTTATTGCGGTTCTAATTGAAAAAAAAGGCTGCTTTAATATTGCAATTATGAAAAACTTTCAATTTTAATAGAAAAATGCTGTTTTAATATTGCAAATTTAAAAGAAAAAATGCTGTTTTAATATAGCCATTTCAAAAACTTGCAATTTGAAAAAAAGAAAAAAACTTTATTAACATTGCAATTCAAATAGAAGTAAATGCTTTATTAATAATGCAGTTTCAATAGAAAAAAAATGCTGTTTCAATAAATAACATTGCAATTTTAAACTTTGAATATAGAAATGTAAAACGATTGAGCCCCCTATTCCCTATTTTCCAGAAAATCTGGACTCTCCAAAGGGTCAAAGTGATGCTTCTGAAGTATCTTCTGCCGTGCTGTGATGAGATCGGCCGGGAGAACCTGACCGGACTCGACTTTTGCAAGTCTTCATGAGCACTCTCTCATCACTGAATGGAGTGGCCTCCATTGAGCACAGTTTCAAATGATCAGCAACATCTCCTTGGACCCTTTGGAATAAAGAAAAAATAAGCTCATATAATCCTACAGCTTCGTAAAAATGTCTTAATTAACTGTCTTTCATTTTTATAATAAATTTTTCTACTGTCTGAATTTTTCATATTACAAGAAGAAGTCTAACACTGTTACAAGTGGTTAAGTTTACTAGACAATCGAATAAAAGTATAATACTGAACTTTGGCTCCTAGAGGATTTACTAGATCAATTGATAAGCAAAAGTGTCCATCAAATATCGTGCAAAGTCATGTGAAAGCCCAATTCTTCCAAGCAGTTTGAGTCAGAAAAAGTTGAAGTCAGAGAGACTGACTGGGTACAGGAGCACGGAGGAGTGGGACAGTGCACCAGTCTCCTTGGTTGGACCGAAGTGCCACTCAGAGGTTCCGAGTGGCTGAGATCTCCCCTCCGGAAAGAGTGACCGAGGTCATGCTCGACACGAATATCCCCGTGCCAAAGAGCCGGCTGAAAGCCCCCTTTCTTCTTTCTGACCGAAGTCAAGAAGAAGCTCACCCTTTTTGAATGAAATGTAAGCTTGGGAATCTCAGAAGAACAAGGCTTTAAGCACGCTTTGCACTATATTTCTACTTCTTTTATCTATGGACTTCCGAATCTTCTAGCACGTCATCGACTATCTCAGCCAGAAAGCATTAGGCCTAACTCAAAGCAAAATGAAATGCCCGAAGAACTATTCCTTTCCAACATTAAAAAGGCGTCTTTCCTTCAAACAAGTCCTTATTCTATCAATTCCAAAAATTCATGAGGCCCCCCTACGACGCGCTCGCGCTGCAGTCATCAATTCATGTTCACTTCGGAAGATTCAAAAAACACTTTATTAAAATCGGAAAGGCGAAGTTAGGACTCGAAGACGATCAGCAGCGTGACCGCGTCGCCCTATCAATTTTCGATGCCTAAACTGAAAGATTCGTTTTAAATTTAAAAAAACCTAACTCAGTCCCAGAATGGACCTTCGAGAGTATATGACAAGGTTGCTGGACTTGAAACAGTAACATAAAATGTCAATTTTTGAGCGAGTCGAAAAAGGAAGACTGAACTTCTGCGCACCACGGACAACATCGAACTTCCCAAAAATTCAAGAGATTACCTTTCGAAATTTGATGACCGTTTTCTTATCAGTGGCGCGCAAAAAATTCTTGAATAATTTTTCGAGTTTGGAATTCCAAAAATCGATGCAATTTTCTCATATAATCTCTCTTTCAGGACTAAGCTCCTAATAACAAATAAAAGACCTTAGAATATTGAAGACGAAGGAATATTCAGGTTGTTTGAGTGCCTTTGACTTTGAGATTTCCCGTTTTATTGCCGTTCAATCCGATTCTCTCCTGCCATTCATCATTCAATCCATCATACTTTCCCTCCGACGGATCTATAGATTTCAAAATTATTTAGTTCATAATTTCATAATGATAACTCATCTTCTCATTCGAAGAGCCGGATTGGAGAGCTGCGGAACATGAAAATAAACAAATTTGAACTTTCGTTTTAATTGGAAACCTTTCAGGGTAATATTTGTTGGACTTCTTCAAATCCAGGATTGGCTCGACTTTCTCCACGCCGTCAGTACCTTCTAGATGTATCTGAAAATTAGAAAAAGTGCGATGAGAAACACAAAGTAAAAAGAAGCTTTTTCAAAGAATACAAGATTACATGACGACTCATACGAAGTCAAGCTTTAACTATAATACACTATCATGTAGTACAACATGCAATCCTCCATCTTTTTTCCTTCTGAATCGATGGCAAAAAGTCATGAAAGTCAATCAATTCTAATTATTTAACACTGAATAATAAATTAAAAGACGGAAGAAGCTTCGAAGTGCACTATACACTCATTCAACCATTTAAAAAGCTTTGAATTGAATTAAACAATGTAAAAAGCATTAAAATTGCAAAGAATGACGCAAAAAGAAGTTCTAGAAGGCCATGGAAGGCTGTGGAAGGATGACGCAATGTTTTGGCGCCGCGGGTCAAACTACAGTCGGGGGTCGAACGGCGCCTCTCGACCCAAGCCGACACTCGGACACTTGGACCAGCGGCGGTATGGGGCGCCGAGGACAATGGAACGAGCGTGCGGGCTTGGTAGAGTGGCGAGGCAACTCGTCCCTCGATCTGGGGACTCGGGTTCGAATCCCAGCCAAGCATTTGCCTCCCAACTTGCAGAGACTCTTGGAGTACAGCGCCGGGTGTGGACGTCACCAACGATCGATCTGGTGGCGTCCGTTTCCTGGCGCGCTTCTTCAAGAATTTATGTTCTTTGGTGGCAAAGGGGCTCGTACACCCCGAAAACTTTCTTTTTTTTTCGAGCAACTGCAAGTTTGGCCTCGAAGTGATGCCTCGTTCGGAGTGACTCCGGGATTTCAACTCGGGAAAACCTTGCAAAATATCGCTATTTCACAAGTTTGCCGAGTGGAAACCACGAAGTCACTCTGAACGAGGCACACCCTTCGAGTCAAGCTGGAGATGAACATCTGCTGGAGAAGATTCGAAGCGAACGAACTCGGTCATCCGGTTCGAAGCAGCATCTCTCCCCGACGTCCTCGACAAGGATCTTCCCTCCTCTTAGTACTTCTTCTAGTAGAACGTCGTTACCACCGATCTGAAAGTTTTTTGAGATCATCCAGAATCAACAAAGAATTCAAACGTTTTCCAAGTAAGTGCTCTGAAAGAGGCACGACTTTCGATTCATTAGAAAAAGTTTACGTATTTTTTTCAAAATCACCTGAAGCGTTTCCTTGGAGTCTTCGAAGTTCCATACTCCGATCCGAACAAAGAAGCCAACGTCAAGAAGAAGCGTGTAGATGACCGACGCCGTCACTTCGCCGTGCATGAGTTCTAGAAAATGAAAAATAGACAAAATATCCCAAGTAATTGTAAAATTCAATGCCCGGACACTCGCAAAATCTTCAAAGCAATTTTTTTTCAAATATACAGCACAAGATTCTTCGATTATCCAAGCGCCACAAAAAATGACAATAAAAAATCACCTGTAAAAAAAACGCGAATAGACCGAGATATTTCATTAAAAAATCAGTTTAGTGAATCTACATTTCAAAATAACTTTTTTGATCATAATCTATTCTAAATTTGAATTTCAGGCAATAATAAGTGTTGAGAAACATTTAAAAAACACAAATCACGTCAAAATATACGAAAAAGTAGTACAAAAATAGAAAAAATCGATGGGACGACGGCAAAAATGATGACAATTGTTTTGGCGCGACCGCAAACTGGCCGGGGTTCTGTAGAGGTCAAAACTTTCGGCGTATGATCTTTTATTGGTTGAAGTCTGATTTTACCTCTGCACCTCATTTTTCTTTTAAAAAAATTAATAACATCAAAATGTATTATTTACTTTTTTTAAATCTGTTTCGAAATGTATATCACTCACGTGCGTTACAACTCAAATTAATCCACATAAGGTCAAGAATCATAAATTTTTTGTAAAAAAACAGGCTTGAAAAAAATTAAATGCAGCAATTTCCCGAAATTGAAAATAAAAAAAGATTTTTTTAGACAAACTATTTTTCGTAATTTCGAACGCGCATGCATGCAGAGTGTGAATTACAAATTTGCGGAATCACTGCATACAGTAATATTTTTTCTAAAAAGGCGTCATTTTATTTATTTTTCTTTTCGTTTTATTACAGCTAGCTGAAAGCTGTATAGTCTGTACAGATGTGATAATGAAATCAATAATCTCCTTATGTCATGTCCGGTGTAGTTTTTCGTTTGAATACCGTGCTCCAGAATGTAATGAACCCTTTTGCCATAATTTTTAAATTTAAAAGAAAACTAAAAGCTTAAAAAGTCTTTGAGAAAGATTCCATGATCCGATGATCATTTGACATTTCCTGCAAATCTGGAAAAGTTGTTTTGAAAAAGTATCAATCGTACCCGACAAAAAATCATTTCAAACAACTTATTAGGAAAATATTTATATCGACTTTTAAAAAAAATTAACACAGAACAAATTATTATAAATAACACGAAGAAGGACGAAATATACAGAAATTTGTGAGATTGATGGCAAGGAGACAGGAAGAAAGACGAAATGTAGGCAAAATGAGACCAGTTTGGAGTTGGAAAATGGGGAAAAATGGCGCCAAAAGTGAAAAAATTTGAATTTTCGGCACAAAAATACAAGTAATAAAAGAGGTTTCAAACATAACGAGAACGATCAAAAGTCGTCAAAAATTGTGAAAATCCTTCATTTCTCTGCACGTCCGACACGTCCAGCGAGTTCAGCGAGGCTATTTCCTGAAAAAATCATTTTTTGTTTTGGAAATGACATTTTCCGAAGAATTATCAGGTTGATTAGGTTGGATAACTATATTAAAACTATTATTAGAAAAAAATAATCGATTATCTATCAATTATTTTTCCAGGGGACATTAGTTTCAAAGCGATGTTATTTTTTGAGAGAAAAATGTTGGAATAAGTAAAAAAAGGGTTATTTTGAACTAAATCTATTTATAAGTCGATAAATTCAAAAAAAGCTTTTAACAATGAATTTCTTACCGTTGGTGGTCGATTTGGGTTCTGAAAAGTTTATTAAAGGATATGTATTGGAAAAATTGAACTATTTATTGATAAAAGAGGTCTTGCAGGGAAAATTCTCAATTTACTGTAAAATCTCTCATTTTTGCCCACTATTTCGGTAAACCAAGGTCATTTTCATGGAAAATCTGCTACTTTTAACAAGATCGAGGTTATAGCTGACTCATGGCCAGCTCAGGACACGAAGGGGGCGTGTCTTGTCTGCACTCTCTCCGAGCCTGGCGTTATTTCGTGCATTATCGTGTCAGGACCCATTTTTTCGATGGCTCAAGCCAGCCGTGAATCAGCTATAACTGAACATTTTTCGTGGATCAAAAAGTGCTCCAATTAATTTCCCGACTGAATAAAAACCAATAAAAAATTTTCAAATGCTCTTAAATATGTTCTAACTCAAGGTGACAACCGAATAAAAAAACCTATAAAATAGAAAAAAAGCCCAATATTTCAGGAAAAATGGGTCTTTTTCCTATAATACACGTATCTGTGGTACTAATTAGGATAAAAACAATCAAATACTTCGAGATTTTGTAAATACCTGCAGATCACTAATCGAAGAAGGTCCAGTGGTTGTTGAGGAAGCGTCAGAGGTTCCCGGGTACTTGGCCATTATCGCTGGAAACCTTTTTTTTTCAACGATTCGAAAAAAATCATGAAAATTCAAAGGTTTTATGGAAAACCCCGAGTGGTCCCTTAAGAGAAAAATGGAAAACCCCGAGTTGTCACTTAAGAGCTTCCCCAAGGACTACTCGGAGAGGACCCTGAAGTAGCCTCTTAAAGCACCTCTATATAAGCCACTATCATGCGTCTCAGTGACCACTATAGTCGTTTTATTGGTCTAGTAGTTAGTTTTTCAAAGAGGGCGTTCAATTTCAGTCACTATAGTGGCCACTAAAACGTCCTTTTTTTCGCATGAATATTCGTTATAGAAAAGAAAAAAATCCTGCAATCCTTGAATACTTCTTCGTAATTGAAGAATAGAATAAAGAGTGGAAAATAATTACTTGAAATTGGAGAAATCTTTTTGGATCTATGTATTTTTTATATGTTTATAGAGAACTAAAGCCGTGTCTAAAGTGATTTTGGTTCAAAATGGACGCGTTATTCGTTTAAAATTATCCGGAAAGTTTCTTTTTTTCATATTTTCATAGTGAACTGAGCTCCGAAAAAACCGCTCATTTCTGACCCAACAGGTCAAATTTCTTCAAGAAACTCGAAAATCCCAAACCAATAGCAACGGTGGAAACCAAGGCAGCGGCGGCGATGATCCAGAAAACTTTGTTTCCGATCATCGAGGCCAGAAGACCATCGCCGTCGTCACGATTCGCGACGCCTACTTTTGTCGAGAGGGCCGACGTTAGGGCTTCTGGAATTATAAAAACATTTAAAAACTGGTTCTGGAACTACTAACTCCTCTTCGGAAGTGAAATATCAAAAAAAAATCTCTGATTTTCTCGAATTTTCTCACCTTCAACGGCCGAGTTCTGATGCCTTATCAACCTCCTGGTCAGCAGCAGATCGGTCTGATTGGCGCCACAAGACGGTGGCTGCACAAGTCAACCATACAGTAGCCCTTGAAAATCACCTACCGTAACCCCTTCACAACCATCTCCATCACGCGTACAGAGGCTCAACTTGCACACGAATTTGAGTGATTCTGCGTCCTTAAAGTATACATTTCTTGAGGTCAGGGAATTTTCTAAAAACTCCGATATTGAAAACGTGGCTGACAGCATAGGCCGACAAGGTGTCATCGGAATAAGTTGGATCGGAAAGGATGGCCAAATCCGAAGAGCAGCTAGAGATAAATCAGAAAATCAAAGTGCGATGGGGCGAACAAACCCTCGAGAATCGAGGAAAGCAAATCGGCGCTCGACATCATCGCTCGCATAGCAACTGTGGATTTGGATACCGTAGACGTTGTTCGTTTCTGGGACAGTTGAATTTTCAGGATACTTTCAGTAATCTTTCTTCAAATAATGACCCTCCATACACGCCCACTTTTACTCCGTAAAGTGTCGTGTGTCGTGTGCATACACTGCGCCGCTTTCGCGCAGAAAATTGCGTTTATCTAGAGGAATTTCGATTCGTCTCAAAGACCTGTGGCAATACGGCGGTCTGCGCCTTTAATATGCCGTGTTATAATGACGTCACGTGGGAACGGTGGTGGATATTTTGGCTCCGGCCACCGTTTTTTTCTTGGTTCCGCATTTTTTTCCACTAACAAAACCGCCGCGCATAGAAAGTTTAGAGCTTGTTTTTCTGACCGATTTCAACCAGTCAAGCTCCATAACTTTATTTCTGACCTACCTTTATTGCCATCGCAATCCCATCGATGATAGATAGTCTGTCCGACGACGGCTTCTTTGACGACGGGGCCGTTGGGCGAGTTTCCGCGGATCGAGTAGGAACATGTCGGTGGAATCGAGCTCAGAGAGATTGTCTCGGCGATTGTGAGCTCACTAAAGGATGGAAAAAAAAGTCGATACGTTAAAAAAATTTTTATAGAATGTATGAAACAAAAAAATCGAGCAATGTAGTTAAGAACTATGACTCCTTGGAAGATTGATAAAAAACTTTTTAATCAGGCTTGTGAAGAAAAAAAAAATGTGAAACGAGAAAATGATGCTTTGAAGGGATATTTCTGAAAGTTTGTAGCCTAATTCAAAAAAAAAAATCCAAACCTTTGAGAAATATCCAAGTTGGTGGAAAGTTCGGCCTCGTCGGGAAGGCCGATGAAGCATTGGAGAAGGTAGGCTCGGTCCTCTCCAGTCACCAGCTTTTCGTCGTGCAGAAGATGCAGAACCAATGAGGAATTCAGTCCTCGCGGATCCAGCTGTAAAACATATATTAAATCAATTTACGGACGTCATTTTCTGTTATTCTTTTACAGTTCGCTTTTCTTAACGCTCATTTTTCAAACTTTACAGGAAGTCGAACCTTTTTGAATGGGTCTCGATGTAGAACTTTCAATAGTTCTGAGACACCTTGAAAATACAGCAAAAACTCGGGTAAGTCTTGGAATATCTACTCAAAATGTGAAAGTATTCCAGAGGATCATAAAAATCCGGAAAAATCATGGAAGAATTCATTTTCATTTCCATAAATGCATAAATTTGTAAGCTATCTTTAGGAAAATCAACCGAAAATTTGAGAAAAAAAAATGGAATATGACCTTTAAGTTGAAGGTCAGTCGTTTCTATTGAAATACTGTGAAGCTTTAGGAAAAAAATTACAAAAAAATTAAAAAGCCTGAAATCTACATCTCCGTTTTTTTAGAGGAAAAACCTAAAATATTCAAAAAAATTAAAAAAAAGAAAATATATAAAAATCCCTAGAAGACCTCTTCTTTCCGAATCGATAAATGCAAAAATCAAGTATTGAAAAATTCTTCGCAACTTTAATAAAATGTGGAAAAAAATATGAAATTTATAATAAAAAAATGAAAAAAAGTGACTTCGCCCTTGTACACCTCCATTACTACGGTATTTCAAAATTTCCTTTCTTTTCAAATTTTAAAGTTTGATAATCAGAAAAATCAAAAAAATCTGAATGTCTTTTATTGACCTTCTCATCCTGAATCGATTGATACAAAAATAAAACCCCAAGAAATCTTCCTAATCTTAATAAAATTCGAGAAAAAAATATGACATTCCTTATAAAAAAAAAAAAGCAAAAAGCAACATTGCTCCTGTAGACCTCCATTACTACGGTATTTCAAAATATCTTTCAAAGAAGTTTTTTTTGAAATTTCGAGTTCGAAAGATCTAAAAAATTGAAAACTTACAATTCCTCTAATAGATCGTCTCGTTCTGAATTGATTGATGCAAAAATCAAGTATTACAAATTTTTCACAATCTTAATAAAATGCCAAAATGGAAAATTCCTGATAAAAAGGTCCCGAGAAGAAAATCCGCTGGTTGCTACGATATTAACTATCCCAAAACCTTAGAAACTTAGAGAAAAAAATTAATTTCGAAATTCGAAAAAGGAGCTGCTTCGTATCGATTTCCACCAGGTAAAACAAGAGTTTTCAAGTTTATCAGTGATAAAATGATGGAAATTCGAAAAAGTCCAGCTGCTCCTTATTGATTTCTACCACAGGAAGGGAAGAAATTCCATTCTTATACCTATTAAAACATCTTTTCTTCACCTCTTCGTTTCGGGACCCATTTTTGGGCAGTTTAGGGTTTTATTAAGGTCATTTGGGAGCAAAACTTGAAAATTTGAAATTTCTAAGCTTCCTAGAAAGGCTAGTAACTTCGGGAATTCGGTTAAAAACAGTTCAAAATTCAACTGGAACTTAATAAAAAAATCATTTTTTTAATGATAGGAATTACAGTAAGACAGCTTTATCAGTGTTTCAATGTTTCTTAAATTTTTTCGTTGTTTCAAATTTTTATTTTTTATCAAATAATGTTCTAAATTTTTTTCGGTGTGTCAATAAAATCTTTTAAGAACCTTCAAAGACTGTTTTTCGGCGTATTTCAGTCAGTTCAGCCCATAGTTTTGAGAATTCCAACTTCTTTTCTTCAGCTCTTCGTTTCGAGACCCATTTTTTTAGAGGGGGTGGGGTGTGTTCAATTAGGGTAATTTTTTAAAATATTACCGATTTGACTTGAGTCACGCCACATTCCTCATTCGCCACGAATAAGCTGGTGTTGCCATTTTGTGAAACCGTCTGAAAAAAATGTTTAGTTATCATTTTTTTGGACTCTACATGATAGAAAAGGATATGTTTATAATTTTAAAAAACTGAAAAAAATAATTTTTGAGAAAAAAATTAGAGAACCTTCCAATGAAACGTAAGCCTTCATACTGGAAAATTAAAAAAACTCTTTTGATTTAATTCAATTTTTTCTTTACACTTCACACTGAAATTGAATGATCTTTTACCCTGTATTTTCAAATGAAAAAAGAGGAAGCAAAAAGGCGAAAAAAAGGTCACAGAAAGGCAGCAAAAAGGCCGCAGAAAGGCAGCAGAAAGGTCGCAGAAAGGCAGCAAAATGGCCGCAAAAAAGCCTCAAAAAGGCAGCAAAAAGGCCGCAAAAAAGGCCGCAAAAAAGGCAGCAAAAAGGCAACAAAATGAATCCTTCCCCTTTTTCTCGGATTTTAGAGGCTCAAGAATAGGTGGAAAAAGGGGGAGGCTGCAAAAATGGTGCATAAAAGCCGATTAAATGGCGCAAAAAGGCAGCAAAAAAGGAACCTTCGTCACCTTAAAAGGAAAATTTCTATGAACCCTTTTTTGCACCCTTTTCGACTTTGCCTATGTTCAATGATTTCATAAAAACTCAAAAATGACTCAAAATTATCCCATTTTTCTTAAATTCTTATAGAAAATACATCAAAAAAACTCATCTCAAAATTCGCCAAAAACCATTCAAGAACCGACCGTTTTGCACTGGGGCACATCTGCGTAGCCTTTCACGGCCGCCAATCCTTTGAATCCTGCCGGGGGCGTCAGGTTGATCTGTGAATCATTAAAAATGCTGAGGGGGGGAAAAAAAACCTTGAAACCACCAGCAACACACTGTAGATGAACAATTCCATTGGATTCGACGGCAGCGGGTCTTGGTGGATTTTCTAGACGAATAAAAGAATTAATCCGAGCTACAGGGCTGGGGGTACAAGGCATGTAAAAGCAGTGAAAATCGTCCGCTACAATCACAAGAAGGTCTAGATGTTCTACGCACCGTTCGTGATCAACGACAGTTTCTCGAACCGTCAAAAAAAATCTTCTATTATACCATTATTCAGCGAGAATCTTATTTGAAGGCTGCATAAATGTGTAAATTTTCAAATTTGCTAAGCTACAAGGGTAAGGTACAAAGTATACCGTCAGAAAAGACACTAAAAACCCCTTTTCTTATCTCAACTTTCTTGTATGGAGTTTGATCTTCCTGAAACCTTCTGGAGTTGGAATGACTGTCCTTTGTAACACTCAGGTGGAACTTCGATTCACAGAAGAAAAACCCAGCGTTATATGGCTTCAAAAAGACTGAGCCTTGTGAGGAATTTTTGAGTTTTTTTTCGAATCTTTTCTGACGGTACTGTAAATCAAAAATTTCTCACAAACTTCACAACCCTTCTCCAGAATCCTAAACATTCAAAAAAATCTGGAAGTTTTCATAAATCTTCTCCGAAGCCAAACCAAACTCTTCAATATCTGCAACTGCCCCATTCTCACTAAAAACCTATTTCGAATTAAATATTTCCAGTAGGAGACTCTGAACCCTCAAGTGGTCACTATCAACACAAAAAGTAGCTCAAAATCTTAAAGTTAGGTTTTTTCTCTTTCAAAACACCGTTACACTGAAACGATGAAAAAATGTCTCTCAAAGTTATATCAAACGTTTGGAACGTATATAATTCTAGTCATTTTCAGATCAAAGTGAAGTTTGAAACCTCCAAGTGATCACTTGGAAAGTTCTTTCAAGTCAATCGAGCTAGAATTATAAGTTGTCACCATGTCTCTCTTTGGAGTTCAACAAGTTCAGGAAAAGGTCAAAACTCAAGCGATCACTTAAAAGCTTCTTTGAAGTACGTGAACCTCAGGAGAATCTAAAAACCCTTAAGTGATCACTTCGAAACTTCTCCAATGTAAATAAAGCCTAGCAAAACCCTCAAGTTGTCACTATAAATCTTCTTTCAAGTTATTCAAGTCAAGGAAAAGCTAAAACCCTCAAGAGGCCACTTGATACATTTTGCAAGTTTCAACTCTCAAAACTCACCCTGGACGAGCTTATTATCCGCTCTTCCAGGCATCACCGTTGTTGTGGCGATTTTTTCAGGTTCTGCACTTGGAGCTGGACCAGCTCCACCACCGCTGACATGAGCAATACGTCTGGCGATCTTCTCGGCGAGTTGTTGATGAGGTTCATCGTCCAAGGCGAAAAGGTTGTCGGCGCGGTGGGCGGCGAGTTCGGAGACGTAGTTCTTGTCGGCTTTTAGTGTCGAGATGACCAGAACCGTCGCTCCGTTCTCCTTGGCCAGCTGGAAAAGTTCAAATGAAATCTTTTCACAAGGGATGTCTTTTTTTATGAGCTTTATGAGGTTGAAGATTTGGCCAGAAGATTCTAAAAGCCTCAACCTGCAAAAATAACTAGTTTGGGCCCAGAGCCTCAAAACGGCTCATTTCAACGGGTTATGAGAGTTTTCTGAAATGGTGTCCTTTCTCAAAAACTTGGGTGAGACTTTCAGGACCTCATTCCTCCGGCCAATTTTCAGGAAAATCTCAGGTAAAATAAGCTTCTTTGATAGCATTATATCTCAAGTTTCGAGAGAATTGACAAAAATCAAAACAAGCAAAAATCATTCAGGGAATCCCTTGGCTAGCTGGAAAAATTGCTTCAGTCTGAATTGTCATAATTCAAACTTATAGCTACTGAACTCGAAACAAGAGGGGCTACAGTGAAAGGGAACTTTCTTTGGTCGCACTGGGAATGGCTTAAACCGTAACGTCTTTTCGTTTGTTTGTTTTTTTTTTTAAAGCTCTGATTACTTTCAAAGTGCCAGTGCAAATTTTGAAATCACAGCTCAGACCGCAACGCAACCGCAACGCTTCGAGCCATTCTGCATGCGGCCAGAAGGTTTCAATACCATTCAGTTTTCAATTTAGATCAAAATTGAGGCTATTTTAGTTTTATTACTATTTTCCTCTATAAAATCTCACAAGTATTTTTTGAAGCGATCTTTCCCGCTTAAAAATAGACCTATAACCAAGTCGGAAAGGCTAAAGGTCACTTGAGAATTTTGAGCTTCTCCTGAACTTGCAACCTTACAATTCTCACTAAAAACCTATTTCAAAGAATGAATTTCCAGTGGGAGGCTCTAAACTTTCAAGTCGTCACTATCAACTCAAGTAGTAGCTCAAAAATCTTAAAGTTAGGTTTTTCTCTTTCAAAACATCGTTCCGAATCAATTGTTATTTTGCAATCAATCAACGATGAAAAATTTTCTTAAAGTTATATCGCAAAATTTGACAAGGTATATATATCTAGCTTGATCAACTTGAAAGAACTTTCCAAGTGATCACTTGGAGGTTTCAAACTTCACTTTGATCTGATAATGACTAGAAATGTATACGTTTCAAACGTTTGATATAACTTTGAGAGACATTTTTTCAGCGGTTTAGTGATGGAAAATTAACAATTAGGTCGAAACGATGTTTTGAAAGAGAAAAAACCGAACTTTAAGATTTTTGAGCTACTTCTTGAGTTGATAGGGACCACTTGAGGGTTCAGAGCCTTCACTGGAAATTTTTAATTCGAAATAGGTTTTTAGTAAGAATTGGAGAGTTGCAGTTCCTGAAGGATTCAATTAGGCTTTGGAGAAGATTTATGAAAACTTCCAGATGTTTTTGAATTTTTAGGACCCTGGAGAAGAATTTTGAAGCTTGTGAGAAGTTTTGATTCAGAAAAGATTCGAAAAAAAGTCCCAAATTATTTTTATAAGGCTGAATCTTTTTGAAGCTCTATAACGCTGGATTTTTCTTCTGTGAGTTGAAATTCCACCTGAGTGTTAAAAACATCAGTCACCACAACTCCAAAAGGTTCCAGAAAGACCAAACTCCATACAAGAAAGTCGTGATCAAAAAAGGGGGTTTTTTCGTATCTTTTCTGACGGATCTGTGTAGCTTAGCCTTGTAGCCTAGCAAATTTAAAAAAATTTACACATTTATACAATTTTTCAAAGAAGATTTTTCTGCTGAAGTATAATAGAAGAGTTTTTTTGACGGTTAGAGTTAAAAATCCCAGAAAAAAATGGAGGACTCGATAAAGGGACTATTTTTTTTTTTAACTTTACAGTTTCTCCAGCTGTTCATCTGAGAGAACATTTAAAATTTGTACTACTGGTATCTTCGTGCATTCTGAACTTTAATTTAAAAAAGATATATTCTGGCGATTTCTCTGTGCCCTCCTCGTCTCTCGGTGACCCTCTCATATTGCCGTGCTATTTTCCTATTCCCCACCGGCGAGAGAACAGAGAGACGCAGACACTCGAAAACTTTCAAGTCGCGGTGAATGGACTATAGATGGTTCAAGGCTAGCTTGGGACGCTGTAAGAGGGCGTATCCCGTCTGCGCTCTCCACGAGCCAGGCGCTATCTCGTACATTATCGTGTCAGGACCATTTTTTCGATGGCTCAAGCCAGCCGTGAATCAGCTAGAGTGGGGAGCTTGACAAAATTTTCAAGTCTATTTTAAGAAAAATCACCTGAACAGGTTCTTGAACCCTGTCATCCGTTTGGCCATCAGTCACAATGATGAGAATATTCTCAGCGTCTGGTCGATCGCCCTGAAAATTATTTGACGTCTTCAAAAATAAGCTTTTTTTAGATTCAACAGAGCAAAAAAGGAAAGAAAAACTGATTTTTCTACGAAATTTCTCTCTTCCCGACTCTCAAATAAATTCCGTTGAATTCGAGAAAATATTCAGAAAATCACAGAATGAAACTTGAAATAAAATTAAAATATGAAAAACTCCGTTTTTTTAAGTTCGAAGAAACTTCAACACGTGGAAGCCTTCAAAAAATATTCAAATTTTAAAAGTTTTAAAAAAATGCTACTCGTACCTTGGCAACGCGAATCGGACGTGTCTGGGCATTCCTATTGGCCACTTTAGTAGCGTCTTTAGTACTCCCTTTAGTGATCTCTTGAATCGCTCACAAACTTTCGGAGCACGTTATCGTTACCTAGGTCCAAGTAGCTAGGGAATGAAATATTCGAGCAAAGTTTCAGAAAATTCTGGAGTTTGCCGTTAAAAATAGTTTTGATAGATATCAAGTAACGACCTTAGATAGTTCTATTAGCAATAGAGCGCACTTGGCGGCCTTTTTCTGCCTTGAAACCACTGGAAAAATCTTTTAATCTTTCCGAAACTCACTATTTTTTGGTAAAAAACTGGCAGAGTTGAAATTATCATTAAAAAGAACTGCCTAACAAATTTGCTACAGAAAATATCAAACTACCATCTCAGATAGTTCTTTTATCGATAGAGCGCACTTTGAGCCCATTTTCTGCCTTGAAACCACTAGAAAAATCTTTTAGTCTCTCCGAAACCTTCTCTTTTTTTCGATAAAAGAGATCTGGAAGACTTAGAAAAAAAATTTAAATTATTATTTAAAAGAGATCTTTTTATAAATTAGCTACAGAAAAATATATCAAGTTACGACCTCAGTCAGTTTTATTATCAATAGAGCGTACTTGGAAGCATTTTTCTACCTTAAATCCCTTAAAAAAACCTTTTTAAAATTTATCCAAATATACCCTTTTTCGATAAAAGAGACCTGGAAGACTTAGAAAAAATTGAAACTATCTTTTAAAAAACCTGCCTAACAAATTTACTACAGAAAATATCAAATTACCATCTCAGATAGTTCTATTATCAATAGAGCGCACTTTGAGGCCTTTTTCTGCCTTGAAACCACTCGAAAAATCTTTTAATCTCTCCGAAACCTACTCTTTTTTGGTAAAAAACTGGGAGAGTTGATATTATCATTAAAAAGACCTTTCTTACAATTTAGCTACAGAAAATACTAAATTACTTCAGATAGTTCTATTATCAATAGAGCGCACTTGGCGGCCTTTTTCTGCCTTGAATCCACTGGGACCTTCGAAACCCACCCTTTTCTTGGTGAAAGCGAACTGGGAGACTTTCGACAGGGCTTTTCCCAATTGACTGCCGCCAGCCATGTACTCCGTATCAATGATGTCGTCGATCAGGAATTTCTTGCAGACGTGCTTTCGGAGCGAAAATTCGAGGTACGGTTCGTCGTTGTACTGTACCAACGAGACCTGGAATCTTTTCTTTTTTTACTGTTTTTTTTTTTGAAAAAAAGCTTCCAAGAATCCTTCTCGGTTCCTTTTTTCAATCGTCTCTCAAAAATTCTTTTTCTATCATTTTTTGCCCTTTTTTTCTTTATTTTTCGGCCATTATTTTATAAAGCTCAACCTGAACTCAATAAAACCCAAAAGTTACTCAGGAACGCCAGAGTGGTCCCTATAGGGGCAAGCTAACGGGCCTTTGAAGCTTATCCTCCGTAAACTATTCTACATTAGCCATAGTTTCCAAAAGTGACCACTTAAGTGTTTTTAGATAGAGCCTCTTTAATGAAAGCATTCTAGTAGTTTAATATCATGAATTCCATTGGAAAAGTCATTTCCATGAAAAAATTCATTGAATTTGCGTTTTTTGAATGGAAAAATGTCAACAGGGGAATAGTCGATAAATTTTTTTTGAAGGTCTCATTTTCTAAAGACCCCTATGGGGACCACTTAAGCTTGAGCATCTTAGTAGTCTCTAAAACCTTACAGGGACCCCTCGAGAGGGCACTTTTTTTCCCTACCCGCACCATCTGAACTTAACCCCTTGAGAGGCTGTTATTTCGCCTCATCCCTTCAGGGACCATTCTGGCGTTCCTTAGCAAGAATCAGAGTACGAAAAAGCTGCTAAAATTGGCCCTATATTTATAGTCTGTTCAGATTTTAAATGTCAAGTGCAATGACGTCATTCAAAAACACTCTGTGGATGGCTCGCTCTCTGATTGGTCCATCGCACCATTATGGGCGGAGCTTGAGCGACGACTTGACATACAAAATCTGAACAGACTATATTTTTTCGACAGTCTTCTTTCTCAAAATTTCTCAGTTCCTTATTTTTGAGCTTTTCTCGATTTTTCTTTTTTTCAAACCTTCTAGAAACCGTACCTGAACCCCGTTGGGGCCAATATTATTGAAATGTTCGACGGTGTCGACGATGAGATCGATGGCTCTGGAGAACTTTTGTTCGGTGAAGGCGTTCGAGGAATCGAGAAGGAATAGGACATCGGTTCGATTTCGATCCGAAGGATCGTTGGGGGTGGGGCAGGGCTCTTGAAAAGGACAATTATTATCGATTTTTCGAAATTTTAAAACCATTATTAACGACGATCGAGTCAGGCAGGGGTTGGATCTCCTGTTGAGTTTCCGGTTTTTTCGACGATTTCTGCAAATTCGTCATGTCTTATGTTCAATTTGTACACATGATTCAGGAAATAGGATATTTTTCAAGATTCTGAATATCACCTTCAAATTTTGAATGAATAGGCTCAAAAAAGACGTTTCATATCTTTTATTTTTATTGAATTTCACTACATTTCTCTATTTGCAAAATACAAAACGTATCAATTTCCGTTCAAGTTTGTAAATAAAAAATTGAACTAATGAATTTTCAAAAAAAAGCTTTCTCTCCGTCTCTTTCAGGCCGCATTTGGAATGGCTTTTTCATCTTGTCCTAGGTGTAGCCATTCCAAATGCGGTGTTTCCCTATACCAATGTCTGAACCTCCTTTTTTGCACACTATTTCGCTAATTTTATCCTCCTAGACATGAGCTCAGGAAAAGGTGAATGAAAATAAAAAGTAGGTTAAAAAAATCAATTCAAAAAGGGGCGTGGCCAACCAATAACATGGAACTGTTCGTTGCAGCAACGTTTCCGAATTTTTCGAATTAAATCAGATTTGAATATCGATTTTACCAATGAAACCGGATACTTAAAAGATGACCCTAATTGGTTGGCCACGCCCCTTTTTGATCTCCAGCTCTTTTCTGATCATCACTGTCCTCCATTGTGACGCTTAGCCAAGCTAAAAATTAGTATCCTCATCAAGGGAACCTTCAAAAGTTTTTCATATTTTTTTATTTTTCGAGCTTCGAATCGTCTTAACTAAAAATAAAGACTATGACGTCATAGAAGTTAAAAACAAGCCAAATGACGTCATTTGATTGAAGTTTGTCATAGAAGTTAAAAACAAGCCAAATGACGTCATTTATTGATGACTTCATTTGACTGAAATTTTTGATGACGTTATTTGATTGAAATCTGCTTCAGTGACGTCATTTTATTACTTTTAATCTTCGATGACGTCATTTCCGTTCAACAAAAATTTGGAAAGGCAACTCGAACCAATGGCGTTGGGTTAGTGGGTGCAGTGATGTCACGCGATTCGGATGACGTCACGGTGACGTGGGGCGGGGCTTCTTTTGAGGTCGTCGGCAGGTTGGGGAGCTGCTCGCGGAGCTCGTCCGACTCAGTGTACTCCTCAGTGGATTTTGTGAAGGCGATCGTGGCCATCGTGTGGGCGACGGTCGGTTTTGAGGTCGTCGTCGATGTCGATGACGTCACCGTTGTCTCCAGGACGTGCCACTTCTGCTGCTTCTTCTCTTCCCCAGGCTCTTCTGAAGACGTCTCCCAGGTCTTCATCTTCTCCTTGGGCATCATGTTGGCCTCGCCGAAGGAGGTCGGCTTCGGCTTCGTCACGACGACAACTTCAGATGACGTCGTCCGTTCTTCGTCGCTTTCCGGAAGTGGAATGGTGATCTACAAAGGGTGTTGGATGTGAGAAAAAACAGCCTCGGTAAAAATAGCGCAAGAACAATAGCCTTGAACAGAAAAAAGTTTTGAAAAAGCGAAAATTCGTCTATTTTCTCAATGGAGCGCACAAGCCACAAAGATGAAGAGCAATTCAATTTTTCAACCTCTTTGTTTTCGTTTCGGTGCGATTTACGTAGGATTTTTTTTTTGAAGTTAAGAATCACTGCTATTTCTCAATGGAGCGCAAATGACTCAAATTCTTCGGCTAATATTCCGCGGCGCTATTTTTTCCGAGGCTTTTTTCTCATATCCGTTCAAAACATGCATTGGCACACAGCAATCCATTCAAACACTCCAAAAAGTTAAATAAAAAGCTACCGTAATCGGCTCAGTCGTCGTCGTTTTCGTGGTGGGAGCCGCTGTGGTTTTTGAGGGCTGAGTGGTCACTAAAGGGATGGGAGGTACAAAAAAAAGGGGAATTATTGATTTTCGAACCCCTGGAAGTCGTGACGTCATCTTCTTCGGAGCTCAATGAGACGACGCCGATGTGAGGCGGAATCCGGGCTGGTTGGACCTGGAATTTTCAAATTTTCTTCACAAATTTATCAAGAATATTAGATCCTATGATCCTGAAAATGAAAAATGAGTTCCAAAAAGAAATGAAAACCTCAATCAGGGGTTTCTTCGTTTTGAAAGAAAGCTCTTCGAGCGTCGGAATGTGTGGCCGGGGAGTGACGTCATTCGACTGAAAAATCTTTTTGATGACGTCATAAGTTTCTTAGAAAGAGCATCGTACTCTAATGAGAACTATAAATACGCTTGAATGACGTCATTCAATTGGAAAAGCTACTCTAGTGACGTCATCATTCGAGAATTGGTTGACGTCATTAAACGGGAAACTCCCTTTTGTAATTTTTCAAAAGCATCATGAAACTACATATTAATCTACTTTGAATCCGCTCTAATGACGTCATAAATTTGAAGAATTTTTCTAAATGACGTCATTTTCCAAAAATTTGATGACGTCGATCGGCTCGTATAGTACTACAAGAAAAGAATATTGCTCTACTATGAGCTATAAAAATGCTTAAATGACGTCATTTAATTCAAAAATCTACTCTAGTGACGTCATCCTTTAAAAAAAAAATTTTTATGACGTCATTGGGCTAAAAGTCTTTTTTTAATGACGTCATAGGTTCCAGAAAGCATCTTAGAAACAACATATTACTCTATTATAAACTGTAAATACGCTCTGATGACGTCATCAACTGGAAAAATTGTCCTCAATGACGTCATTAAATTAAAAAAGCTGCTCTAGTGACGTCATCCTTCAAACAAATTAATGACGTCATTCGATTGAAAATAAATTATTATTTAATGACGTCATAAATTTCGTATAGAACCCTAGAAAAATCATTTCAATACTCTACTATGAGCTATAAATTCAATCAAATGACGTCATCAAAAATTTTTCTTGATGACGTCATTCGATTGAAGAAGCTATTTCGATTACTATGACGTCATTATACTGAAAATTTCTTAATAATGACGTCACAAGTTATAAAAAATACCATACCAACGGCATTTCACTCTAACATGAGCAACAAATTCCCTCAAATGTTGTCATAAACATGGAAATCTCCCTAATGACGTCAATCCATTCAGAAAAACCACTGCTTAGGACGTCATCATTAAAAATTGAACACACACCTTTCGAAAACTATTTTCATTCAGTTTTCTTTATTTTTAAAAAAGACTCGAAACAGGGACCTCAACTATCGGGCTTTGGGGCATATTGGCGGCTGCGAAGCTGCTGGCCGTAGTGGTGGTGACGATTTGAGGGCGAGAAGCTGAAGATTCGAAAAAATCAAAAATCGATCATTAATTCCGATTTATTCCATTCATCAACACTTGAAATGCGCTTTCTAGAACTCGCCGTTTTCAATAGAAAATCCAAAAAAAGAGAAAATTCACGCGATTTTTTTTCTTTTTGTACCTCATCCTTTAAATTTTGATACTCTGGAGTTTTCAAATCAATCAGTACCTTTAAAATCAAATTTCCACCTTTTAAGAGAAAAAATATTTATTCATTTGTTTCTACCTCATTGATTTTTGATATTATCCCATTTGTCAAGCCAATCAGTACCTTTGAAACCAATTTTTACCTTTTTGAACAGAAAACGTCCAAAAATAGATGATCCTCTTAATTTTCATTCATTTGTACCACCAAAGACTCTGCTAACTGCGCTCCATCGCACAAATTCCTATCTTACCTGCCGTAGAAGTTCTATGTGGAAGAGTTGCCGTGACGGTGGAAAATTCTTCATTATCCGACGAAATTATCGTCCCCTATGAAATAACCATAAAAATACTTGATTTTTTGATTGAAAACCTCAAATGGAAGTTGATTGGAGTCTTCACTGAAGTCAATCGTCGTTACAGCGGTCTGAAAATATTTTTTGAAGCTCAAAAAAAGTTGAAATTATTTCTGAAATCTGCGAAAAATGCATGATTTTCAATTTTTAAGCTGGAAAATGACATTATACTCCGTTTTTCGTGAATTGTTATTTTTCTCTGCGCCCTCCTCGTCTCTCGGCGACTCTCTCATGTTTTCGTGCTATTTCCCTGTTTCTCTGACTTCGCCGGTGAGGGAGCCGAGAGACGCAGACAGGCAGAAAATATCAAGAAAGGGTTAAATCATAGAATAAATAGAAACCCACAAAAAATTAAATTTTCCCTTTTATTTTTCGAAAATATCGTTTGAAAACTATCTTCCCGAATTTTTCAATATAATCATACTACACTTACAAATGAATTATTAATTTTCCCCCAAAAATTAAGAAAATATTTTTTTCCACAAATTTCCCAGATTCTCCAATTTTTTCTCGATCCATCAAGCTATCAAACTCCTCTCAATTCTTCTCCATAACCTTAAAATAATTGACCGAAAAATCAAACTTCTAAAAATTTTGCCCATGGCGAACATTACATTATCAGTGATAAGAGAGATGAGTCAAGCAGAGAAGCGATGAGAGAGTACGGAAAAGGGAGAGAGCGTCAGACAAGCATAAAATTTGCACGGAGATGTCTGCTTTTCTCATTTTTCATCATGTTTTTAAGGGATTTTCGTTATTTTTATTTTTAACCAATGAAAAACGAACTTAGGAACTGCAGAGTGGTCCCTATAGGGCAATCTTAGGGACCCTCTAGGGACCACTTTACGAACCTCTATAGGGGCCTCCAAAGCTTGCAAAAGTGGTCCCTATAGGGAGAAATCAAGTCGATAATTTTTATGTACTCTATGCGAAGAAGCGTTTCCATGCAAAAAATTAAATAATTGAGCGTTTTGAATGAAGTTAAGTGACCCCTATAGGAGCCACTTAAGCTTTAAGGGCTAAGGAAACAGGCCCCAAACCCCTATAGGAACCCCTTAAATTTACCTCTATAGGGACCACTTTTTCAACCCCTTCAGTGGCTGTTTTTTTCGTTTTCTACCTTACTTTTTTTTGAAAATCTTTATTTCAAACACCATTTTTACACTATAAATCTCAAAACTTACAATTATGGAAGGTAAAAAATATTTCACGGAGCGATTTTTATTCTTTTTTCGCAAATTTTTCAAAAACCCAAGTAATTTATTGAAATATTTTTATTTTTCATTTCAGTACGAGATTTTTTTTCGTTGAAAAAAATTTCTAATTCTAATTTCTGCGGATAAGAGATAAGCAACATTAACGTTTCGATTTCTTTTTTTCAAAAAAATGGTTTTTTTCTGAAACATGAATGTAGTTTTTAGCTAAAATAGTTATTTTTCCATTAAAAAGTAAGATGAAAATCACAAACTCATTTTTTTCAAAAAAATCGAAGAAGACCTACTGATTTTTTTAAACGCGTTGAATGATTTGAAAGCTTCACATCTATGTTTTTCATCCATTTTTTTGCGCAAATATTCTACACTTTTTTTCTCAACCCTTTTTCCCACTAAAAACCCATTGAAAATATACCTTATTCGGCTTGAAACCGGGAACAATGAAAATATGTTGTCCATTATCTCCATATTTGGTCGTGGCCCGTTCGGAAGTGTAGTAGGGGGTCGTTGGGGGTGTCGTGGACGCTAAAATGAACTTTGCAAATTCTATAGAAAGGGGAAAATGAATAGGACCCTATCTTCAATACAACAAAAATACACTAAAAATCTCGGCTTTGAATTTTTTTCCTCCATTATTTGCTTAAAAATCCTATCGAAAAATTCGTAAAATGGCAAAAATCCTCTTCTCTCTGATCAGGATTCGAACCTTGGTCATCAATTCGAATGACAAGGCTCTAAACCATTCAACCAAGGCATTTATTGACTCAAAGGGTCGGACTAAGTTCCTAAGCTGAAAGGGAAAGGCTCAAAAAAGGCCGCAGAAAGGCTGCAAAAAGGCTGCAAAAAGGCTGTCAAAAGGCCGCAAAAAGGGTACAAAAAAAACTCAAAAAGGCATCAAAAAGGATCTCTTTATCGAGCCTTCCATTTTCTGAGGTTTTAAAGACTCAAGAAATTGTGGAAAAAAGGGGCAGCAAAATAGGTGCATAATAACCGTTGAAATGGCGCAAAAAGGCAGCAAAAAGGAAAATTTCTATGGAGCCATTCCGACTTTGCTTATGGAATCAAATTCTCTCAATGAGAAACTTTTTTCTGTATTTAAATAAAAAAGACGTCATTTCTACTTTCTAATAGAGATGAAACCCGGCAAACTTAAGTTTTAAATGAGTATCTTAATCATTTCACTACGACTCAAGTTCGATCTGGTACTTTGTCTGCATCTCCACCTAATCTTTCCCTCAGTTCACCTTTTGTGGTGGTCGTGACGGCTTCTGGAGTCGTTCTCCTGGTCGTCGTCGTGGGTGTCGTCGTCGTCGACGTCGATGACGTCATCCAAGGCCGCCACATGGTCGTCTTCCGCGTCACTTCTGGCGCAGAAGTCGTTGTCGACGTTGTCGTAGGCCTTCTGGTTGACGTCGTCGTGGTGGTGGCGACGATTCTAGACGTCGCCGAAGTGATGATTATCTTCGGAGTCGTCGTCGTGATTCGCCAAGTCCGTGGCGGCGGCGTTTGTTCAGTGGTTGGCTCAAATTCAGGGGCCTGAAAATGGCTTCTAAAAATGATACAATCAGGAAAAATGACTACTAGTTATTCTACTAGAAATCTCATCAATAGGGCTTGATTTTATAAATATCTGAAAAATAAGCCCCGCTTCTGAAGCTTTTGCGCCCCACAGATAATCCAAAAAAATTGGATTTCTCCTATATTTTTTTATTTCAGTTCGGTCTTATATCAAAAGAAACTTTGAGTTCATTTATAAACCTCAAAAAAACTCAATTAAAATCATTGCCTATCAATCGCGCTCCATGGATAATCGAGGATTTTTCTGTCGAAATATCCTTTTTTCACCATTTTTTTTCTTCCTCAAACTTATTTTCAATCATTTTTTCAACTCCCATTCTAGAAAAACCACTTCTTACCTTAAATTTTTTTCCACTAATTTTTCGGCGAAAAATTTAGAAAAAAATTATCTTTTTTTATAAAATATATCAAAATTCCAACGATTTTTCACCACTAGATACCTCTTCAAACTGTTCAGACTTCTGCTGCTGTCACTTTCAAAGCCACCTCATTAATTTTTTCCTTCTTAAAATTCCACTTGAGACCCACCACATTCTCGAAAGGCTCCTCGCTGTCCGCCGTTTCTTCACTATATTCTTCAGAATCAGCCGGTTTTTGAGGCTGTTCGGTTGTCGTAGTTGTTCTAGAGGTTGTAGTTGTTCTTCTCGTAGTTGTTGTTGGTCTTGGAGTCGTGGTAGAAGTTGTTGTAGTTGTTGGAGTTGTGGAGGTTGTGGTGGGTCTAAAAATACTTGATCTCAGAGCTTGATTCAGGTTGGTCAAAAAAAGTCTGGTTTCCACTAACTTGGGAAAAATTTACCTTACTTTATAGCCTGTGTACCACGACTTGGAATTTCCCCAAACGACACTCCGCTGTGTCGCTGCACGCCTTTGCGAACCTTGCCCACGCTTTTAATTTTTTTTTCTTTTATTAAGGTACTCTACTTTCATGTGCTCCCACAGCAATAAAAATCAATTGAAAGCGTGACCTAGATTCGAAAGACGCTTCGCAAACGCACGCAGCGGAACATCGGAATGTCGTTCGGTGAAATTTCAAGTCGTGGCACACAGACTAGATAAGGCATTCTTAGGACTTTTAAATACTCAACAGCTTAAGAAAAATGGCTAAAACTTTGCGGCATCTGTGCTCTACGGATAAAAGCGATTGAACCTTTTCAAAATTCAACTTTTTCTCATAAGACAATTTTTCAGCTTCATTTCCATTTTAAAAAAAGTCGCATTTTTCTTTTAAATTTCGTTTTGGGAAATTCCTTTTAGAAAAACAAAAAGAGAATCCGTTTAGTGGACCTTTATCCGCAAACTGACATCTAAAAACTATGTAATTTTTTTCAGAAATTGATAGAAAATATTCACAAACATCTGAATAATTACAAAATGTTCACCTTTGAGTAGTTCTAGCCGTTGTAGTCGTCGTAAACCTCCTCGTAGTTGTCGTTTCCTGTTCGTTAACTTCATTGAAGCCTTCTTCTGAAAATAATCAAATTTTCTTTTGATAAAAATGTAAGATTTATCTTCAAGATTCCATAAGCGAAAAATTGTTTTTCAATAATGGAAAAAATCTTGAAAACTTGAGTTTAAGTCTTCTACTTTCAGAAATCGGAACGGAACTTAAAAATCTTTTTTCTCTGGGTCTCTTAGAAACTTTTCAACAATTCTTCCACTGATTTTATTCTCAGATATAAAGACGAAAAATGGAAAAAAATGACTTTATTTATCGCAAAATTAGCTCCATGGACAATATAATCAAATTATGATTCTCAAGCGCTTTTTTTCGATTTTCTATGATCCTAAAAAGCTTGATTTTTGATCAGAATCGCCCAAATTTGACCTCTCTTTTGTTTTTTTCCTGGTCAACTTAAGTAATTATCATTTCAAAATTGATTTAATTATTTTTGATATAATATTTTTAACAATTTTTCTATTACTAAGCTCTCGGTGACGCAAGCCAGAAGTCTGTGAGAGCTTCTGGTGACCTCTTTAGCGACTTCAGCACCCTTAAGTGATCCCTAGAGACGCTCAGAAACTTCCGAGGCGCGTCCGGTTTCCGTTACCGAGATCAGAGGATGTCGAGAAAAAATTTCGCTCACTGATTTCTCTCCACGGGTGCTTTTTAAAAGAGAAAAAGGGAAGACAGCATAAAACCCGCCTTGATTTTTTTGAAGAAACCCAATTTTTTCCCGAAACAAACCGATCAATTTGCTCAAATCCTCCTCGGTGACTTCGGTGTTATCGATGGTATCGCCCAAATTTTTGGCCAACTCATCGACCAGAGCTTCTTCCAGCTCTTTTCTCAGTTCTCCGTCCATATCCGTCGTGCTGCCGCCTCTCATTCTGAGGAAAAATGTTTTCCTCGCAAGTTCTTTCAAATGCGATATAAAACTAAAAATATGTATTGATAAAACGTGGCAAAACTCCTTTCTCTCTGATCGGGATTGGAACTTTGGTCATTAGCTTGACAGACGAGGCTCTTCGCCATTTCACCAAGGCTAACCTCCCAAATAATAACGATTAAAACTTTCACGAATCTCATTTCAAAAACATTTTTTTTCAAGTAGAACATGAAATTGAGAAATTTAAACAACTGAATATCTAGATAAAATCCATTTTCACTATAAAACGTGTCCCTTGAAGCCTTCGAAAACATTCAAAAATCCAAAAAACCTATTGAGAACGACGGGAATCGCCCTGTTCAACTCCGTATTGACGGCCTTGTTCAGCTTGTTTTCCATCGTTTTCGGCGAACTGACCATCGCCCTCACTTCGACAATGTTCGCTGGTCCCGACTCGACCATTTGCTGAACCCGAAAAGTTCAGCGAAAAAAAAATGGAGCTGGAGATTCCAGTACCGTCAGAAAGGAAGAGTTTTTTTTGCTACATCTTTCTCTGTACTGGGAAACTTGTTAGTGGCCACTATAGGGTTATATAATATTATTTATTTACAGGCAGAACAAAATAACATGTACAAAAGAAAAGAAGGAAAAAAAAAATTGACATTTGCCTGAAAAAAAATAAATAAAAGGCACTTGAGGCCCTCACGAGTCTCTGAGCCAGGGTTTTGACATTTTAGTGGCCACTATAGTAGTCAAATTAGTGGCCACTCAAGGGGTTAAAAACTAGTGGCCACTATAGTGGTCTAAGGGCTACTATTAGACCGCTACAAATTTTAGTGGCCACTTTAGAGGTCAATGGATCAACATAACTGGTCCAATATGTTTGTTTTGAAATTATCAGAGTTACTGGAAGGAATACTGGATGAAAAACTACTGAAGTGGCCACTAAAACGGAAAATAGTGGCCACTTTAGTGTCCTCTCCAAGTAGTCATTGGTGAGCCTCTATAGTGGTCACTTAAAATTTTCCAAGCTCCGTTTTTCTTTCTAAGCTGACATTCCCCCATGATGTTTCAAAAGACAGTCTTCAGAAAGTTCCTGAAAGGTTGGAAAAAAGTTCCCTTGTGAGGATTTTTCATTTTTCTCTCAATTTCATAGCTTTGCCTTTCACTCTTGAAACTCACATCCGCCTTTTTCGATTCAACAAACTCCAAAGTGTCTCGGTCAAAGTCTTTCGTGATTATTATCGGGTCCGTATGTGTTCCAGGGCCTCTGAAAATTATTTTTCTTAACTTTCAATCCAAAAAATGAGTATAACTGTCTGAATGGTTAATGAAAAGACTTTCCAGGTAAATGCTTGAATTCTTTTTCTTATTCCCTTTTTGTTGGAAATTTCAATAAATCTCAAAAAAAGGACAATGCGAAAATTCATAATACATAAGTAATTTTGATCCCGTTCGAAAAAATCTATGTAGAAGAAGAATCACATATGTCTCAAGCAGGAGAACAAATATTTAAATAAAGCGTCAAAAAATGGAGAGTAAATTTCCAAGAGCCACTGCCTGGGGGCGGGATTTGCGAGATCAGGCCACGCCCCTTTTTTGAAGCGATCTGGAGCGCCATTCACTAACGCAAGTTCATTAAAACTCTGAGTTTGGGAAGTCCTTGAAAATCGGCCAGAACACTCATTCAAGAATTAAATAAAGATTCTGAATGTATCGGCCTGCAGAACTGTCTAGTTTTCGAGAAAAACACATCGCATTTTGAGATTTCGTGTGGCAGTTATCTCAAGTGTTCTTTCATGGGAATTTTCTTCGAACAAAACTGGTGAACAGTAGTAAAACTGTGGGAAATGGGTGAAGGCTCTTTTGACAATATTTCGCGGGTCGGCCCCAGGACGACCCGCCAATTCGCCTTCAAAACGAACCCATGAGAAGTCCCGATTCCGAAAACGCCACGGACGGGAGGGGCTCGAAGTTCCGTATGAGATTGCTTGTCCTTGGCGTTGAGATAAAGATGGATGATTATATTGTTGACCGGGTCAACTGGTCCCTAAAAATACAGATTCTTCGAGTTAACGAAAGTGAGGGGTAGTGCTGGAATCTCTATATTTTTTTCTAAGAATTTTGTCTACATTATCTGCATAGCTGGTTCACTGCTAGATCAAAAAAGGTCCCGAAACGATGAAAAAAAAGAAAAAGTACATGATTCGAGGAGAAAGCAGACAGGCCACGCCCCTTAGTGTCTCAAGCAAGCCGTGGCTATATCGAACATAGCACATTGGAAACTGAGGGGCCACTACAGGGTTTTGACGCTTCAGTGGCCACTATGGTGGTCAAACTAGTGACCACTTAAGGGGTTGTCAAAATTATCAGAGTCACTGGAAGGAATACTGGATGAAAAACTACTGAAGTGGCCACTAAAACGGAAAATAGTGGCCACAACAGAGGTGGGTTTAGTGACCACTTTAGTGTCCTCTCCAAGTAGTTCTTGGCGAGCCTCTATAAAGGCCATTAAAATTTTCCCAGGAAACTTTTGAAAAAAACCGGCCAAAATTTCATTTTATTCCATTTCTCCGATTTCCTATCCAATCAGAAAAGCCAGAACCTCAAAAATCATTCAATCATTCCCCCATCAAATTTACTTCAAATTTAGCGGGATTGACTTGAATCTGCGGCCTCAGGCGTCGAACATCTGTGCTCGGCGGCTAAAAACTCGTTTAAATAGGCCCCCGTGCAAGTTACCCCAATTTTGGTGGATTTAGGAAAAGAAACTTTAAAAAGACAGACTGTGAAAAGAATGGTGCAGTGCTCAGAGACAAAACCCTTCCCGTTCAAAACTTTGAAAAAAATCGGGTCTCACCTGGAAAACTGTGCGAGTCGGCGCGGTTACGGTAGGCAGCCTGAAATGGCCGGGTCTTGGAGCGAAAGCGTCGCGCGTCAGTTGGGGTTGTTGGAAACGCTGTGGGTGCTGCTGATGGAGCTGCTGCAGCTGCCAGTTTTGAGGGGTCTGAACGTCGTTATTAAAGGAGCATAGCGACTTTTTTGAAGTTTAAAGGCACATGAAGGGTAATTTGAATTTTTAGAACTTTGACGCGATTTATTGAACGCGGGTTGTGACTAGTTTGATGAAAAGGCTCACTTTTTCCAGTATAAAAATTCAAAAAATCTTCCTTTCTATGCAAAAATTTCTTTGCTATCAAAGTCACATATAATCAATCCGATTCAGCTCGGGACACAAAGAGGGCGTGGCCTGTCTGGGCTCTCCACCAACCAGGCACTATCTCTTTTCTTATCGTGTCAGGACCCATTTCTCGATGGCTCAAGTCAGCTGCGGATCAGCTATAATTTAATCGTAACCTGAACATGACGAGATCTATGATCAATATTGATCGATGGCCTAGCGAATGACGGTGAAATTGGCTTGTATGGTCTGAAAAAACAAAGTGTTTTCTGTTCCAGATAATACTTTTGAAGACATCTCTAGATTATGGTTGTACTTTTGAACTCTTATTCTAATCAACAGATGAAAAAAACAAATGAAAAACGAACTCCTGTTGAATTTTGCCATTGAACGGACGTGCCGGCGCTGAACTTGGATGACTTCTTGGCGGATTGAAAGTTATCGGTTTAGGTGGCGGCTAAAAATAATAAAGTTATTGAAACTGAGAAAAAAACTAAACTGAATATAAACGCATATTCAAAAAAACGAGACTAGTTTTTGTTTCAATATTGAAAGGCACCGTCGAAATGCATAATCAAAGAAAAAAACGCTAAAAAAAATAAAGTTCCACAGTTTAAAAAAACGTCGAATCTCTAAAAATTTTCCACCATTCGATATCAAATTGAATAAATAAGTACAGAATCATACAAAAAAACTAAAAAAATCCCTAAAAATTGAAAAAAAAGTTTCTCGTATGTGACTTTGCGTCTCGTTGCCTACACCATCAGCTCAAATTTCACGCGCAAACTTCAAATTTCTTGCAAAAAAATATTTTTTTCTCGTTAAAAAAAAAGGAAGATATTACTTCTAAACTGTACAAGAAATAAAACCGAGACACAAAAAGCTGGAAATTGGACAAATTTTAAATGAATTCAAAAAAACTATTTTATTTTTTTAATGCTATTTCAGAAATGCTCTTGTTTAAATGTTTATTCTGTCATTTCGCATTGAAAGCTAGGAGTCTTCTGACCTATTTTTTTATGATAACTCTAAAAAAAATCCACAATTTTTGTCGAGAAAACCAACCTGATAGCCTCGATTAATGGACCTCTGCGGGAGCGGGACATGTGCGGGCGGTCCTCGGAACATTTCCCTAATCGGAATCGCATCGTAAGAGGCTGATGAAGCCTGGAAGGGTGTAGAAGGTGGAAAATGCTTTACAAGTCTTGGGGAACCAAAACTCAAACTTCGGTAGGTGGAAAATTGTCTATTTTTAGAAGAAAGCTGTGTGAAATTATTTCAGGTCTGGAGAATACTTATTTCATTGTTTCTTATTTTTTTGTTTCAATTTATTAATAAAAGCTTAAATGAGGATGTCAAAAAGACCAATAATTTTAATATCATTTTTTTAAATTGAAAACTCGCCTTATCAAAGAGAGGTTCAACAAAAAAACCCCGTTTTTTTCCAAGTTAATTACTTCTAATTTATCAATAGAGCACACTTGTTAGTATTCAAAAAAACCAAGATGCCTTTGGAGATATTTTTTTAGCATTTAAAGGTACCTTTACACATGGAAAATGTTCTGAAAGATTCAAAAATTCGTTCTATTTTTGTTCAATAAATATAAAATTTTTCCTATTTATTTATCAATAGATCGCACCTTTAACTGCTCTAACCGTTGAATTTTTTGAATAGAGCGTTTTTTTGACAGTCTGGAAATGTGAGCCATCATGATCAATTTAGTAGCGTCAGAATACTCCAAAAAAACTACGATAGAGCGCAAATTTGGGTTATTTAAAAAAATTCCATAGTTTTTTTGTTTTTTTCTTTTTCGAAGTCAAGAAAAAAACTTATGAAAAAAACAAAAAAATAAGGAAGTGGAAAACCAATAGAATGGAAAATTTCAAAGAAATCCTCACCAAAAATGGGAAAACCAGGAAGAAAACCAGTGTTACAGCCCGCCTTCGCCGCATTTTCGGCCCTGAAAGTTATATTTGTTACCGGATTTTTGTGTTTTTTGTTATTTGAGAACCTTACGAGGGACAAAATGAAGGTTTTTGCATATAAACAATAAGGAATAAAAAAGGTTGAACATTTTTCTCAGCTTCAAAGGTTCAGTTCCTTCAGAAAAGATACGAAAAAACGCCTTTTTTTGATCACAACTTTTTTGTATGGAGTTTAATCTTTCTGGAACTTTCTGGAGTTGTAATGGCTCATATTCTTAACACTCTTGGGTAATTTTAGTTGACAGAAAAAAAAATCCCAGCTTTGTAGAGATCCAAGAAAATTGAGCTCCACAGGAAATTTCGCGCAACAAAATTTCCTATCTTTTCGAACGGTACTGTACGTATCTACATGGGAAAAAAAAACTCATTCCCAGCATTTTTTTTAAGAAAAACGTTCAAATCCTTAAAAGAAGAGAAAAAACCGGTTTGCCATAAAAGGAGAGAAAAACATTGACCACCCTGCGGGAGGTCAACTTTCCCTTCGAATTCGGTGGTCACTCCGTGAGAATGTCCATTTCGTTCAATTAATTAATGATTGACCTTTGAAAAAAAATGGAAAATCTAGTACTGGAAAAATTTTTATTGGCCTCTATAGGGTTTTGACGTTTTAGGGGCCACTATAGTAGTCAAATTAGTGGTCACTTCAGGGGTTAAAAATTAGTGGCTACTATAGAGGTCTAAGTGCTACTACTAGACCTCAAAAAATTTTAGTGGCCACTTTAGGGGTCAATGGATCAACATAACTGGTCCAATCTGTCTGTTTTGAAATTATCAGAGTTACTGGAAGGAATATTGGATGAAAAACTACTATATTGGCCTTTAAAAATTTTCCCAGTGGTTCACAATTTCTACAGGGAAAACAGCCGATAGAAATTTTTCGAAGGAATTTTCTCGAAAATTTGAAATTTCCTGACCTAATCTCAGGTTTTAAAAAAGCTCATCGCTTTCCAGAAACCATTTTGAACATTAAAAATCATCTGCATAGTAAAAATCTTCTCAAAAATTGCGAAAAAAAGATCTCAACAAATTTATCAGTAGAGCACGCTTGGTATCTTCAAAAAAGCCTGTGGATGATTTTCTACTTTTTTGGTATAAAACCTAGCAAATTTATTCGACAATCACATTTTCAGGTCTTTCAAACCGGAAAAAAATTCCTAGACCTTCAAAAATATCTCAAATTAACAATCAAAAAAACGACCATAAAATTTAATAATTTTTTTCCTGATAAGTTGAAAATTTGGGAAAACGAATGGGAAGCTTCAACACATTTTATATCATACATATAACAAAAAAACTTCAAGTTACAAATAGTAGGTTTACATATATTTATCACCAGAGCGCACTTGGTATCTCCGAAAAAGCCTGGGGACATTTGAAAGATTTTTTTACTTTTTTTTTGGTATAAATCCTAGCAAATTCATTCAAGCATAACATTCTCAGGTCTTTCGCACCAAAAATTCTAGACCCCTAAATTATCTCAATTAACCACCCAAAAATGAAAAAAAAATTCAATAATTTTTCTAATGGAAAATAATGAAACAATTAATGAAATGGGTTAGAAAATCTAGTAAAAGCCTTGATATATACTGTCGTTAAGGACGGATCGGATATTCGGGGGGCGAAACAATAGTAATTGGGTGCAGGGTGATGAATTCGTCAGTGTAAAAGTGCGATTTATCGGCTGATTCCCACTGATTTTATGGGCTTTTCCTTTTTTTTTGAATAATTGCGTGTTCTGATAAGTTTATCATTGTCTAAAAAAAAGTGCAATAGAGCACATTTGATAGTTCAAAAAACTGGAATTTTTAACGGGTGTTCAAAATGCTATAACCAGTAGATTGGCTCGAAAAAAAAATCAGTTAAAGTTTTTTCTGAGGGTTTTTACCGGTAGAGCGGTCTTTTTAAGCTTCTGGAATAGTTTTTGATTATTCCAGGCTTTTTTGGACTTTCAAGTGTGAATTATAGCAATTTTAGATTTTTATCAGCAGAGCATGAATGACCTTTCCAAAAAGCCAAGAAAATAAATCGGATTGCGCTCTACCGATAGAAATGCAATTATTAAAAAAAATAAACATTGCCGATAGAAATTCAAGTTCAATTTATGATTTTTATCGGTAGAATGATAGAAAAACAGTAAAGGAAAAATAAACGCTCTATGAGCTGTCCCTGAAACAGAAAAGTCTGTCAATGAATAAGATAAAAGTTAAAAATTCAAAAAATAAAGTTTCCAAAATCCGTAATTTGAAATGAACTGAAACTAATAAAAACACCATCGAAAGAATCAAAAACAAAAAGATGAGCATTTGAAAGGCAATTCCTGAAACAGGAAAGCAGTGAGAGGAAAGATCAAAAAGGCATAGTGGAAAAGCTTCGAAATACAGTATTTTTGACAGATTTCAAATGTTCAGGATATTCATAACAAACACAGAACGGTTCAGAAAAGTAATATGGACCAAGAAACAAAAAATTGACTCATAAATAAGGATCTGAAAGCAGAGAGATACTGAAAAACTGAAAAAATTCGAGTTTTTCAAGTTTTTTCTTCGGTTTTTGTATTAAAATGACTGTATAAATTTATTTTCAACTCGCTCAGAGGCTGAAAAAAAACGGGAAAGCTCTAAAATCAGTTAATCAAAGGGGAGAAAGTTCGTGAAATCAGGAATTTTTGAAAGTAAAACTTAAAAATTGCACCTTGAAGCGATTTTTTTCTTGTTTTTTTCCTTATTTTTTTAAATTTATTACGTAGTAGAATTCTATGGGGAGAAATTTGAAATACTTTGAAACCCAAAAAAAATAAATATATATCCAATGAAAATCCTATGCATTCACATAGAAAAAAGAGACCAGAAAATGAAAATCTGAAAAAAAAAATTATAAAAAATCATCTTCAAACCGCTTTTCATCGACTTATCGGTTCAGAAAAGTGAAATTCCTTGGATTTTTTGAAAAAAGGAAGATTGAAAGCATAACTTGAAATTAAAAAGGTTCAAAAAAAAGATGAAAAATTCAAAGTTTCCAAGATTCCTCCAAGGATATCAAAGCCACAAATATGAACCATGACACAGAAAATTATAACGTAAAAGTTTGGAAATCCAGGACATTTGCCAATTTTTGGGTGCGGCCTCCGCGTCGGGGGGCGCTTTCCCTTCTGAACTGCCATAAAAATCGGGCAGAAGGATTACGGTAATATCTCCTCGGTGTAAAACATGCCCTTCTCTCATGTTGGAACGGCCAGTGGAACAAGATAAATGGCAGGGGGAAAACTTTAACAAGTGTAACATGATGTATAAAAATGGATAAAAATCGAATGGATCATCTAGTGAGGTTCGTGACGCAATTTTAATGAAATTCCAAGCTTCTTTTGATTTTGAAATGTTTGATCTCTATTAGCCATGAAGAAGATGGATTTTAAAAGCATGAAAAAAAAAAATTAAAAACCAGAAGATATAAAGAAAAAAGTGTAAGATTGAGGATCGAAGCTTCGTGAAAAAAAAAACAACTAATAAAATTTTCAGTGGCCACTATAGGGTTTTGAAGTTTTAGTGGCCACTATAAGGTTTTGACATTCTAGTGGCCACTATAGTAGACAAATTAGTGGCCACTCTAGAGGTCTAAGTGCTACTACTAGACCACTGAAAATTCTAGTGGCCACTTTAGGGGTCCATGGATCAACATAACTGGTCCAATCTGTTTATTCTATAATTATAAGAGTTACTGGAAGGAATAATGGATGAAAAACTACTGAAGTGGCCACTAAAACGAAGAACAGTGGCCACTGTAGAGGTGGGATTAGTGACCACTTTAGTGTCCTCTCCAAGTAGTCCTTGGCTCTATAGTGGCCACTGAAATAAAATTTTTTCCAGTACTTTCAAAAAATTACGTCATACACTCAAAGCATCCAAAAAATGTTAGAAAAATTCAAAACTGCAAAATTAAAGTTAAATTACAAAATAAAGGAAAAGGTCTATAAATTTACAGAGTACTTAGAATCGATTCAGAAAAAAATGAAGATAAAGTTTTTGAAAAAAGTCTTTCCGTGAAAACCGCGTCGCGACCGCAATGCATGTATCTATCAAGTCAAAAAACCCAAAAGCCGGAAAAAGATTAGTAGAAAAAAAATTAACTGTTAAGAGAGGTCAACA